CTGGGAGTACGTATCTTTGTGCTCCGTGCTGCGGCGCGGTATCTGTCCGTACACAGGGCCAAAGTCAGAAAATACCCGGGCTGCCGGGGAGGGGCCGCTTGTACGTGTTGGGAAGGGCCACAGAAGACTTGTTCAGGACGAGGACGATGGAAAACATGGATGACCCAGGCGCCGTGTGCCGTGCCACCTCGACCCCGAAAAGGCTCTCCCCGTCCCACAGACTTTTTGATACCACACCATAACTGACGCCAAGGAGTCAGATCAGTCTGCGCGGTGTGGCACCGTGGCACGTCAGGTTCGACGACTTGGCCGATGGCAGCTACTACGCAGTACGTACGGATCCAGTACGTGATACGTTCAAGCACTGGAGGTAGGTATGCTGTGCTACCTATCTCAAGTGCCTCAATCAACTGCAATCATGGCTACCTTACCGAATATGCACGCCGCCACCCTACGTACCTGCCGAAGACCTTTCTTGGGAACCGTGCCCTCTGACGCCTTCCACCTTTTCTTCCTCTTCCCTTACCCTCCGAATCTCACCCTCCTTCCCTTCGTCTTGATCATGATGGGGGGGCATCATTCACTACTCATTTTGTTTTCTTGCAGCAGTCCTCGTTCGGTCTTTCTTTTCACCACCTCCGTCCTCCATTTCCATCTGGACTCCCGGGCCGTCTCTCTCACCACCCGGCTCACCTTGACACCTCGGTACCATCGTACCGCCCCAAACGGCCTGCATATGCGAGAGATGGCTGCATCCCTCCTACGCCCACACGCACACGCACATCCAACCTACCTTACCTCGCCTTACAGTACGTACATGCTGTACCGCGCAGGGCACGCACACAATCTTTACTTCGTCCAAGCCAAGGGCTGGGGGAACGGCAGGCATCCCCGCCACACAGAGACAGACAGACGCACGACGACGGCCACGCCCCCTCACGCCCCTCCACCCCGTCGACTCTGCTGTTCCTCACTCGCAATTTATTCTCTCACACCTTCCACCCCTGAGGGACGCCCCCTCACCCATTCTCCGGTCCTCACCTCCAGAGTCCCGAGGAGGCCAAGCCTCCAGCTTCTCGCTCCGTCTCCTCTCCCACCCATTCATCCATGATCTCCTCCGGCCTGTCGGTCGGCGGCGGCGGCGATGGCCACAGGATCCCCATCCACCTATTCGCAGACGGGCGAGTTCCCAAGCGACGCCCACAGAGACGCTCGCGTCATGTGCGTGCCTCCTGCCTTCTGCCTTCCACACATGGGCAGTTGTTGCATATCCGTACACACTCGAGAGGCCGTGAGAAAGAGGCCGCATCATCACCAGCAACATTCCGAGAGAAAACAGCCGCTACAGCTCCTGACGATGGTGTTGCGTCGGGAGACCCTATAAACCGGGCCTGAAACCTCGATGCCCATGATTTTCGCAGATTTCGGGCCAACCGAGCTTATTCGAGTCGAAGAAGGCAAGGTTCGTTCATTGCAACACAGGGCCGAGATGACGGGCCTTTCAGACATCAGCAGCAAGGAAGTAGGAGCGAAGCCGATGAACCACCTCCAAGCCCATTCCATCCCGATCATCAGCGCTGAAACCGAAGATCTTAACCGGGGGGAGGGGGGCCGAATAAGAAGAGACCCGACACTCCAGAGAGAAGTGTTTTGAGGACGGCCAGGCGCTTGTCTCCCAAAGCCAAAAAAAAAGGGTGGGAAGCTGGTGGAGGGCACAGTGCCCAGTAAGGTAATAAGAATACTGAGCTAACTGACTAGCGGACAGTTGCGGCACGGATGAAGTCACATCGGTGTTCTGGATGGATGGATGCTGTGGTGCAGCGATGACATGAACCAAACTCAAAGTTCGTCTTTTCTTGTTGGTTTTGGCTGGCATTTCTTCGACGGTGCGATCCACCACCACCACCCCATCCCCCCGATCAGGATCTCAGACTTGGGGGGACCGTCCTGGTTGGTGCTGGTGCATGCACCAATCTACCAATCTTCCCGCCCTGGACACCGCCCAGCCCAGCCCGCCGCCCAGGTTTCGTTAGTGAGGAGAGCCCAGCCAGCCAGGCGGGCAGCGGGCAGATATCCGTCGAGACGCTGGCCTGGCACTGGCTGCTAGGGTGACGGCCGCCGGTATCTCATCTCAGAGACGCATTCCCCGGCGGAGGGACCCCAATGGCTGGCTATTTGCCCTTCGGTGAATATTAACCTCTCCATCCCGCCTGAACGCTGACAACCCAACAGCAGCTCAGCGACACGTGGAGTTTGCCAGAATGCAGTCTAGCGGCGGTGGCGGCGGCTGCTGCTGCTCAAGCGCAGCGCTTCTCAGTATTTTTAATACTCCCTAATTATCTGACGGTTGTTTCAATCCATTCCTGGCGAACCTGTAAATCTGTATTTGATCGGTTCCTGTTTACCTATTTTAAGGAACTCGACGGACGAGCGTCAAAACAAAGTTGAGAAGAGGCTGCCTAGGCGGGAGAAGGGTTCTACAGCAACAAGCAGACTGCGATCACGGCACAGATCAACGGAGATGCACCAAGTCTCGGTGAGAAGTCACCAAGTCCGGCCATAAAACGACGCTCTCGCCATTTCCGGTCCTGATTAGCGCCAGGTATCATCTCTGGCCGCATTGGCCGATGATGTTGCCGCTTCTTCATCATATTCGCCCCGTGCCGCAAGTACCGTTCTTCAAGTCAAATAAGGCATGCCTAAGGCAGTACCATTTCGTCAGGACCCATACCCTCGGTGAGCTTCCGCCGCGGAGCCTAGGAGATGGCATGGCGTCGCGATGTGATGCGCTGCGCTGCGACACGGCTGGCTTTTGTTTCAAACCGACTTGCGGATGGCATGTTTGCGCTGGTAATAGCCAAGGAGCCCATCTTGCAGATCATTCATCATGTGCCTTGTATCCGCGAGCGGGCAACGTCGTGCCCCTATTTATTGCGCCGCAGACCAACTCTCTAGGCATACCTCAATGAGCTATCACAAGGTGCGCCGCTGCTTAATCGACGTACTTGCACACGTTGCAACGGGACACCAACGAACAGGAGGAGGGCAGATGGCGGGCACTCGATGATGGCAACGCGTACCTTGGGCTGAGGCGGCATCACGTTGCGCAGCAGGACGCAATGCGCTGCTTCGACTGCGGATAGATGGTTGAGGACGGCTGGCGGCGGCAGTTTCCCACCGTGGCTTCGGACATTGTCGGATTAATCACCAGATTCGCGACGCACGACTCGCAGAGTGCGGGTGATGAGCGAGATTCTCTCTGGAGTCTGCTGGGGGGCAGCTTACCTGCGACAAGGGGAAAAGAAGCTTCGGGGCCCACTCGCAGCAGCAACACGAAATGGAGGGACCGCGGCGCGGACTTTGGTGGTGGGCAATCACGCATTTGACGACTGACAGGCGGGAGGAGAGGGTTCACAAAGCGACGCGATACCTGTAGGCCGCAGGTGTGCATACGCAGTAGAAGAGGCGGAGAAACAAACGCAGCAGAGCGACGCCGGACTCGATGGCACGAACAAACGATCAAAAGAGAGGGGTCGCGTCTACAAAACGTGTTTTCGCTTCCTTAGCCTCCAAGATTGTCCGTCAAAATCCTCCATTCGCGTCCACATCGCCTACCGCAGATTTCCGCAGGTGAGGTCGTGGTCTCCAGCAGCCAAGGCACGCGGCGGTTGTACCCTGCGAATATGGCACCCATTTTCGGACCACCAAAACTAGAACCATGTCAGTCCCCTCGTCAGGGCTCCAACCGTAGGCGGGAGAGGGGCGAATTGCGGCGAGTGGGAGCCTTCATTGATCTGTATCTTTGCCGTACTTCAGTAGCTGGCGTGCTGGCGTGCCGGGCGAGGTTTCTGGCGGGCTGACCCCCGGCTCTGCGAGCCTGAAGCGGCTGCGTGCTGCGTGGAAAGAAAGTGACGGGCGAAGGCGTGGCACATCATCGGCTCCAACAAGAAGTACGTATCTTGGGACAGGTGAGATAGGTAAGGTGAGGTATCTGCAAGGTTAGGTAAGGTAAAGTCAGCTAGCAGCGAGGATTGAGATGAGATGGAATGGTTAAGCGTGAAGGGAAGGGAAGGGAAGGAGGGACAGATACGTACCGCTACCGCTACCGCTACCGCTGCCGCGACGGCGACCTTAGCTCCCCCTCCCCTTCTCCATCCTTGCCCCACATCTGGCACCCCCAGCATCGACTTAAATAAAAAAGCAGCGTGCGAGTGCTACATAGGCGCTAGGTACGTACCGCAGTAGAGGTAGTACGCAGGCTACGCCCCCCCTTGGACGTGTGTGGTCGTGCAGGGGGCGTGGCCGTCGTGTCGTTTCGCTTGGGAAGAGGGAGGGTCCACTCCACCCCGTGGCGTCAACTCAGTGGGAGAAAGGAACGGAAGGAACAAAGGGTACGTCCCTTTCCCCGGTACGTACTCCCTCCTTGCTGCCCGTTCACTCGTGGGTAAGGTGAGTTTACCACAGAATGATGGAACCTACCTTAGGAACCTCTCGCAGCCTCCCAACTTCCCCTTCTCGTTTTCTTCCCCCATCCCCAACTTCCCACAGAGCTGCACTGGGGGCATTTTGATCGATCGCCTTCGGGTCTCGTATCCTTTCCTTTCCCAATCCCATCATTACACTCTCCTGGGAGGCTGTACGCCCGACCCTTTCAGTCGCGACTTGTCGTTTTTTGCTTGGATTCGACTAAACTTCGTCTTTTGTTCGTCTCTGGTTGGCCCCCAGCCTCCTGGTTGACGGGCTCCAACATTGAACCTCAAGCTGGTCCAACGGTCGCGATAGCCCCCCTTTCCCGCCGGATCCCGCAACTCAATTCCTGCGGCTCAAATATATTTGCGCTCGTGTTTTCGGCTCCGTTTCCTAATTTTCCGTAATTATCATCTTGCCGCGGCTGCAGCAACATCATCATCGCCTTTGCGCGATCGTCAGACTTCAGGACACCCATCGAGGCAGACCCGCAGCTGGCCGCGCACATTTGGTCTCCTCACCCTCCCAACACAATGGCCAACCATCATCCCTCGCCAACGATGGCTATGCAGCCGCAACAGCAGCATGGCCCTCCGGGGCCTCCTCCGCCGCCGGGCCTGCAGTACAGCCAGAACAATGCGCCATCGCGCAACATTCTCCTGATGAACGAGGCCGTTTGGATGCAGATTGGTAGGCATTCCGCAATCGATGACGCGCCTTGCACACGCTGACAATCGACTGCAGGCAGCTTTGCTGAGCTTCTCGGTAACCTCGACGAGGCCATGAAGGCCTACGACCGTGCTTTACAAGCAAACCCCCAGTCTGTGGCGGCCATGAACGCCATCAGCTTGATCCTGCGCACACGCGAGGAGTTCGGCAAGGCTGTCGACTACCTGCAAGCGATCCTGAAGATCGATAACACCAATGGCGAGGCCTGGGGCAGTCTGGGTACGTGGCGCGCTCAGCATCACACTCGCGATTTGCTAACAAGACATAGGTCACTGCTATTTGATGATGGACGACTTGCAGCAAGCCTACGCTGCCTACCAATCCGCTCTCGTCAATCTTAGGAGCCCTAGGGTGTGTAGCGATAGACTCAAAACTTGACCGAAGCCTACTAACATCTAAAGCAGGAGCCTAAGCTCTGGTATGGCATCGGAATCCTCTACGACCGGTACGGCAGTCTGGAACACGCCGAGGAAGCCTTTTCCCAGGTCATGCAGATGCAGCCTGACTTCGAGAAGGCCAACGAAATTTACTTCCGCCTCGGTATTATATACAAGCAACAACAAAAGTTTGGACAGAGTTTGGAGTGCTTCAAGTACATCGTAAACTCCCCGCCCCCTCCTCTGACCGAGGAAGACATTTGGTTCCAGATCGGTCATGTCCACGAGCAGCAGAAAGACGTAAGTCGGCATTGACCCTCACCGCAGGCTTCGACTAACCTCGTCACAGTACGACAGTGCCAAGGCTGCTTACCAGCGCGTGTTGGAGCGCGATCCTAGTCACGCCAAGGTCCTTCAGCAGCTCGGATGGCTTCATCACCAGCAGAGCAGCAGCTTCCAGAGCCAAGAGCGTGCCATCGAATTCTTGGAAAAGTCTGTTGCCGCCGACCAAGGCGATGCGCAAAGCTGGTACCTGCTCGGTCGCTGCTACATGTCTCAGCAGAAGTATCCCAAGGCCTATGAGGCATACCAGCAGGCTGTCTACCGCGACGGGCGCAACCCCACGTTCTGGTGCTCCATTGGAGTTCTCTACTACCAGATCAACCAGTACCGCGATGCTCTTGACGCCTACTCTCGCGCGATCCGTCTCAACCCGTACATTTCTGAAGTATGGTACGACCTCGGCACTCTGTACGAATCTTGCAACAACCAGATCAGCGATGCTCTCGACGCATACCAGCGCGCGGCTGAGCTGGACCCCCAGAACCCTCACATCAAGGCGCGTCTGCAACTGCTCAGAAACGGCGGTGCCAACGGTGGTCAGCCCCCGAGTGCTCCTCAGCCGGCCGACGTGCACCCTCAGGCGTACCAGGTCGGCCCGCCCGCCCCTCAATGGGGCAGCTCTGCCCCCAGCCAGGGTCAGCAGCAGGGACAACAGCCGCCTCCGCCTCCTGGTCCTAACGGCCCCGGCCCCAACGGCTGGGGCAGGCTCGCGGACATCAACCCTCCCCCGCAGCCACCCAACCCCTACGAGCAGCGCGGCGAACCCTTCCGCGGCCCGGCTCCCCCTATGCCGCGCCAGCCCAGCCCGCGACAGGAGCAGCAACAGCAGCAGCAGCAGCAACACGGCGGTCGCCCGCCCTACCCCGAGTCGGTCCGCCGTGGCCCGACCCCTCCTCCTCCGTCGCACTACCAGTCGGGACCCCCTCAACCTTCTCAGCAGTCCCACCAAGCTCCGCCCACATCGGCGCCCCGTATCCCGAACCCCAACTACTCTCAGCCCTCATCGGCTCAGATGCCTCCCATGCAGACCGGTCCGAACGGGGGTCCTCCGGGACAACCGCCTCAGTTCCGCGGAACCAACAGCCCCCGGCCTGGCGAAAGGCCCATGCACGACAACCGGATGCCGTCTCCCAAGTCTGCGTACCCTCAACACCAGCCTCCCCCGCCTCCTCCGTACGGTCACCACCCTGACGGCCCCACTCCCGGTCCCATGGAGGCTGGTGCGCCGCCCCCGCCTCCCCCGGGATCCATCGCTGAGTCTGTCGCGCGCAGCGAGCATGATCGCCCACCATCGGTGGGACCTAAGCGCATGCGCGAGTGGGAAGAGGAGTCCTCCCACAAGAGGCCGGCCAACGATGAGAACCGCGCCAGACTGGACGATGTGCGCCCTAGACGCCCGTCGACTCCTCCTGGCTCCCGGGAGCCGTACCGACGAAACTCGTCGGAGGCTCGCCGCTTCGAGGACCAACGCCGCGCCGAGGACCAGCGTCGGGCGGACGATCAGCGCCGGGCGGAAGACATCCGGAGAGGCGAAGAGCAGCGCCATGCCAACGAGGGTTACCACCCGTCCGAGGCGGCGCACCACCAGCCCAGCCAGCCGATGCCTCCCAACCACCTGCCGCCCATGCAGTCCGCTGCCGCGCCGATGCAGAACATCCTCCATGACGGCCCTCAGAACGGTCCTCCGGGACCTGCATCCGGACCCGCGCCCGGCGTCAAGGAGTACCCCGCCGAGGAGAGGGCGCCCATCGAGCACACTCCCGCGCCTCGCCCGCCTCAGCCCAGCGAGCCCGAGCGTGCGGCTCGCAAGATGGAAGTCGACGAGGACTACGATGATAGTGGTGAAGACGAGAAGAAGGCTGCCGTTGCCACGACAAATGGATCCGGCCCGGCGCCCGCATCAGGAGAGACCAAGACGCCGACGAGCGCAAGCATCAACGGCATGATGGGGCCAACCCCAAAGGTTGAGTCTACTTAATGGATAAATGGCAGTTTGACGTAGTGCTTTTTTTTGTTATTGTCAACGTACATCGTATTCCCTTTTCACTTGTATACCATTTCGTTCCTCAAATCTCGTGCCTATCTCGCGAATCTCACTTCGTTGATGGACGGACACACTGGCGTGGCAATTAGGTAGCTTATGAAAAGAATCTAGTGGACTTTACTCTACGTCGTAATTGCTTCTGGTGTGATTTGGCGATCTGTCTGATGTGGCCAAGATGCTGTTTTGCTCCCTTGTCCTTACCGTAGATACTTATTGCCCGTGTTGCCATGGTTGATGCGGAACTTAGTCAACGACCTGGTCTGTGAGGTCTGGGCAGTCGAGAAGATGGTTAAGGGGCTGCGAAGCCAAAGCCTTGGTCGTTAATTGTTCGGCAAGAACCACTCTGATGATGGAAGTGCGACCGACAGAAATGCTGGATTCAAGTCGGGATTGGGGTCAAATGTCGCAAGACGCCACACACACGAAGCCCCACATTGAAAAGCAATTGGTCGTTATCTCACTCGCGCCCTGGAAATGGATAACATCGTGTCAGCTGAGCCATCACCTTGGGATGCTTCGATATCAATTTTTTACCCGACATATTCGGACAGTTCAGACACGGAGGGGAGTAACGATTATCAAAATATGACGCGCAATTCTCGGCGGGAAAAAATGCTATCTAATGTTGTCTTTTGATGCTACCTACCAAATTACGAGTCTTGAGAGCTCGGGTTCGCCCTTTGAAGGCGCAATCAGACTCGGTGCCTCTTGTTCTCGGGCACCTTGATTAACTCGTCTGACTCCCTTGCGTCAAACTGAAAGAATAGAATAGGAATAAAACCATGCGCTGTCCACACCTTTTTTGTCCTCGAATTGTCCTCGAATTGTGTCCCTTTCCAAACCCATATTGTTTCCGCGAAAGGACTCTCAGCTTGCCTTCTGACGCTGAGTGCTGAAATCCCAGTCCGTAAGAATGCCACCGAAACTCCCTGACCATGCGAAAAGCTGCGATCCAACGACTTCGTTTGACGTGCTGCCAACCTTGTGCATCTCTCTTATGTTCAGCACCTAGTCCATGTCGACGAAGTCCCCACCAGCATTCTCATCTCTGCAGTCATTGAAAAAGTCGGCCCAATCCTCGTTCCAGTCGTCGAGCTCCCCCTTCGTCTCGTAAGGTTTGTACTCTGGAAGTGTCTCGGCAACGACGTGTGACCTGGGCGGCAAGTACGGAGAAGGGACAAGACCCGGGTAATCCGGAAGGATGTTGACGGCGTTGTGTCCGTCGAGGTTGGACGTCTTGCTGAAGGCGTGCTTCTCAACCCAGGCGCAAGGTCGTCGATAGGCGGACCAGCAGACGTGGCAGGTTTCGGCGGCGACTTGCTCGGTGGTCATGTCCAGTCCCACGATCTCGGCGGGATCGATCTCGGCAGCCGTGATCGGCTTGTACTTGATTCGGATACTGCCTCCACTGGTGGGCATGCGTGTTCCGTTGAGGGCGTGGGACACGGCGCACACCCAGTCCTTGGCGTAGTTGGCATCGGGCTTTCCTCCTAAGAGCAAATCCGGCCACATCACCGCCATATAAGTCCAGTTCTCCAGGAAGGTGGCTCTTCTCGGAGCGGCGCGGTCGATAGTTGTGCGCCTGGGAATGAGCCTCATGGTCTGGGCCATGTGGTCCCAGACGACATCCTTGACGTCAGGGTTCACCTCGGGGGCCAAGAAGTTGGGAGGGTTCTGATATTTGTAGTTGCGGACGAACTGCATGACTCTGGAGGCCATGACGTAAGGATCGTTGATGCTGAGGTCTTTCTGATGCGGATGGTACTGATCGTTCGCAGCCGGCAGCAGGCGACCCTTTCTGGGGAACATCTTGTTGTTCTGGAACCAACACGCAACCCGTTTCTGGAGTTGCTTGTCAAACCACTCAGCGCAGATACCGAAGGAGCTGAGCTCGGCAAAATTGGTCCAACCACCGTGAAGAGGTGCTCGGAACCAAGTAACTTCATGGGGCTTGCCATCGTTCATTGCTTGGACTGACACCACAATCGGCGTACCGGGAGGTGGAGGAGACGGCGAGTGCTCGAAAGTAAGGGCCATGGTCCAGCTGAGCGCCTCCGGTTCAAACGCGGCAGGAATCTTGATGGTGAATTTGGGTACGCCGTTGTGCATGACGACCACCGAAGGTGTGCGGAATACCGACATCATTCGTCCGTCGCCATTGATGACCTGGTACCGGAGCCACTCGCGTCTGGGGTCTTGTCCTTCCTCGAGCGGCGGCCGCGGTTCAACTCGGAAGGTGTGTTTGGGTCCCTTGTCGACATCATCTTCGCGAATAGAGACTATGATCAAGGTTAACGAGGCAACTTCGTAGGAAGAAGGTAACTCGAGTGATGTAGAAAAAATGACCTACCCCGACAAAGATTGCGCTTGCAGTCGATGAGCTGGGCGAGGATGTTGCCCTGTCTGCTGCTGTCTTTGCACACCATATATCCCTCGGTATCTTTAGGAATAGTGATCTGCTTCTCGACACCCGCTTCATCCTTGGTGACAATTTTGGTGTCCCGCTTAGTTTTAATTGCGATCATTTCTTCCGGGAGGACGTTGCGAAATCCTTGCTCCTTCTGGAGAGGGGTGAGCGGGAGACTCGTTGCCATGTTGAGTGTGTGACTCCAGGTGTTTCGTTGGTTGTGGTTGTTTAGTTTTGGGGAATCAAGGAGATGGACAATGGAAGAACAGTTTTGGGTGAGAAGGTCGACTATTTGGGCGTTGAAGAAAGTCAAAGGCCAAAAGAAAATCGAGAAAAGTCTGCCTCCAGCCTGAGGTGTCTTTGTCGAAGGCAGCCCAGGTGAGGTGAATTTTTTCAGGCACGGTTGAGGAAGGTGCCGGAGTGACAAAGGAGGCCGGGCTCTCGTGCTCTTCCAATGGCGCCAAATCATTAGTACAGAAACCTTTTCAGAGTCTTTCCAGAGATGGACGAGATCCCTACGGTTGGAAAATGTTGCTATGTAAGGTAGCAAACAGTCTGCCTCAATCCGCCCGTGAGAATCAGCAAGCTACTGAAATCTCGTTTCTTTTCTGCTTCATGTCCTCGAGAACGGTCAGGATTACCCCGCCTTCTTGATTGAGAGAGATGTAATGAGGTTGTCTACAAAAGTAGACGCAGCTGAAAAGGTTTATGACCGAAACCAACAAACTCAGGATGTTGTGGCATGGCGATTCAGTTCGTGACCAGCAATGGAAGACATGAACTGGTGCCATAGGATAGATTGTTTCTATCACCGTTACCTCAAGAATTCAAGAGCTCAGGTGGCAAATGAAATGTGGTGTAAGTCGTAGAGATCTTCCGTGGTTACTAACGCTTTCAGCCACCACTTGTTGTCATCGTCGTCTTCTCAGTTGTTTCTCTGTGGCTGATAGAAATGCAATACACGAGGAGATATATCCATTCACAGAACGCCGTTCATAGACCTTCTTTCTTATGTCCTCTATACATCTTCGTCGCTGTCGCTGTCGCCGTCGTGGTCTTCTCCGTCGTCTCTCTTCTCTGTTGTTGACCTTCAACGTTGTTGCTCTTCGGTTATTCGACAGGCAATACACAAGAAAACTTTACTTTATGTATGATTTGATCTTGAGGACCTTCTTTCGTATGTCTCTTACCTGCAACACACGTTCGAGTATTATGATGTTGGATCGTTGGCTGTCTGAAGAAGTGCCGACTGGAGCCAGGGTCGTCCAGTAAGGTACCTTTTCCCGGGCTTGAAGAGCCACCTACCTCCATAGTAGTAGGTCTTGGCAGCTCCTGAGCAAGCCACGAGGGGCTGAGAATTCTGTGCTCCAGGGGACCCGGCCCGGGACTTGGCGCGGGTGGGGGTTGCCTTCTGGTTTTTTTTGGCTTGTGAGACATGCTATTGGTCATTGTTACGGCCATCTTCGCTTAGGTTCACACACAAAAAAAAACAGTCCAGTATTACTAAGCAGGCCCTACGCCGGCCAAAAATTTCCTGCATCCACCCACCAGCAACACCACTTTTTCGAAGTTCGCGATCTCAACACCTCCCCCTCCGGATCACCACCTCACCTCCGGATCACCACCCCGTCGACGGCCTCACTTCCTACTAATTCTACAGGATACTCGCTGGGATTCAGTACATCCAGGATGTCTCACAGAAAGGTACGCATTTTTCCAAACATTTTTGATACCTATATTTGCGATGTTGGTGATGCTAACTTCAAAATAGTACGAGGCGCCTCGCCATGGCTCTCTGGCCTACCTCCCTCGCAAGCGTGCTGCCCAGCACAGGGGCAGAGTCAAGTCGTGGGTGATTCCCTTTTCCTTCAAATTGGTTGCTCTTGGAAGATTCCGGAGGCTGGATTTCCTTGGTGTTGAACTTTGGTCGATTTGGAGATCATGAGGCTAACATGATGCGCTTCTGAATAGCTTCCCCAAGGATGACCCTAAGCAACCTTTGCAACTCACGGCGGCTATGGGTTACAAGGCCGGCATGACCACGATCGTTCGCGACCTCGACCGTCCCGGCGCCAAGGCCAACAAGAAGGAGGTCGTCGAGGCCGTCTCCATCATTGATACCCCCCCTGTACTACCAACGCAGCCCGCTTGGCTTTGTGCCTATGGCTAACATCTTCCAGATGATCGTTGTTGGTCTTGTGGGCTACATCGAGACTCCCCGCGGTCTGCGCTCCCTCACCACCGTCTGGGCCGAGCACCTCAGCGACGAGGTCCGCCGCCGCTTCTACAAGAACTGGTACAAGTCCAAGAAGAAGGCTTTCACCAAGTACGCCAAGCAGCACTCCGAGAACTCCGGCTCTTCCATCACCCGCGAGCTCGAGCGCATGAAGAAGTACTGCACCGTCGTCCGCGTCCTCGCCCACACCCAGATCCGCAAGACTCCCCTCAAGCAGAAGAAGGCCCACCTCATGGAGATCCAGATCAACGGTGGTTCCGTCCCCGAGAAGGTCGACTTCGGTTACGGCCTCTTCGAGAAGCCCGTCTCCATCGACTCCATCTTCGAGAAGGACGAGGTCGTCGACATCATCGCCGTCACCAAGGGTCACGGATTCAGCGGTGTCACCTCCCGTTGGGGCACCAAGAAGCTTCCTCGCAAGACTCACAAGGGTCTGCGTAAGGTCGCCTGTATCGGTGCCTGGCACCCTTCCCACGTCCAGTGGACTGTTGCCCGTGCCGGTCAGGACGGTTACCACCACCGTACCTCTGTCAACCACAAGATCTACCGCGTTGGCAAGGGCGACGCCGACGACAACGCTTCCACCGAGATCGACGTCACCAAGAAGACCATCACTCCGTATGTTTTGCCTTGTTCCATCCCAACTCAAGTTCAACTACTAACTCATCTTTAGTCTTGGAGGCTTCGTCCGCTACGGCGAGATCAAGAATGACTTTTTGATAGTGAAGGGTTCCATCCCCGGTGTGAAGAAGAGAATTACAACCATTCGAAAGGCGCGTATTTCTTGCGATTTTGATGAAGTTGACGAGCTAACTTTTCCCCTAGTCGATGTGGACTCACACCTCCCGCAAGGCCCTTGAGAAGATCGACCTCAAGTGGATCGACACCTCGTCCGAGTTCGGACACGGCGCTTTCCAGACGCCTGCGGAGAAGAAGCAGTACCAGGGTACTCTCAAGAAGGACCTTGCCACCGCTTAAATGGGGTTCTGAATTTCCTTGTATCATGGTCATGGCATCGGTGTCGACGGTTCTTCACGTATTACTATTCGGATGGTTTGGGACACCTTTGAGGTTAAAAATGAGTGCCTAGGAATCAAAAAGTCAAACCAAATGATACGTACATGACCAGACGCATGTTGTTTCTACGGGGCTCGTGCTATTGATGAAAGTGACATTCTGCTGCGTTGAAGATTTAATGAGCTTGATATCAACCTAGTTGAAGTTACTGGGCGCGGATTCTCAACGATCAAGTCAAATACGAGATTACAGCGCAAGTTTTGCGTTGTTATTGCGCATCAACTCGGGAGCTTTTCAAAAAGGGGTTTGCTGCGTTTTTGAGCATCAGTAATTGAATGAGCTCAATTGAATTGGCAGACGGGACAATCAGCCAGAATCTGCGTAGTGGGGCATTCAGGTCCGACCACACCTAGACATTGCTGCGACGCAAAGCGTAGTTGCGTCATTCCCAGATCTACCCTGTCCAACCACATCGTACATGCCGCAACGAATCGGTCTCGCCCTATTTCTCCCCTTCGCAACCCCTCCATCAACACGAATGACTGCGAGAATCCCCAGAACGGTTACCAGAAATCTCTACCCCAGAGCATTTCGCACCATAAACCGAAGCTTCCCAACGAAAACGGCCGTCAGAACTTCTCAGGTCTCCTCCCCACGAACGACGGTCTCCAGATTCTACACGACCACTACACCCCTCAAAATGTCCGACGCAGACTACGCCGCCTTCCTGGACAAGGCGAACCAGGACCCCAACGAGGGCTACGCCAAGCCGGCGAGCAAGGGCAACGAGTTCAAGGCGCAGGACGAGGGCGCAGAGCTGCCCAAGGCGATCCAGGATGTGTTGAAGCAGGACAAGGTCTACATCTCGGACGCCGACGAGCCGTTTGTCGGCGTAGCACTGAACTGGAATGAGGGCGGCAACGGTTTGCCCGACGAAGGTTTGTCAACAACTTCTTTCTTGGACTCGTGTGTCATGTCAGGAACTACGTTGCTGACTTTTGATAACTCCAGTCGAGTTCGCGCAGTTGATCGAGCACCCCAACCCCGAGAACGCCGACGTCGAGCTCCAGGACCCCGTCGACTGGGACTCGAACGGCGACTACAAGGACATCATCGAGGCGGTGCGCAAGGCCGGCAAGGGCAACGACGTGAGGGTCTACAGCGTGCCCAAGGGCGGCGTCAGGACGGAGTGCTGGGTTGTCACGACCGAGGGCAAGGGCAAGGGCGCAAGACTTGTTGGTGTCAAGGCCTTGGCTGTCGAGAGCTAAGTGAATTTCTCATTTCGGCTCAACAATTGTTCAGCAAGATGGACGTGTAAAAATAAGAAGTCATGAGCTCAGCTCAGCTCTATGATGCAAGAGATTGATACCCAACATATTTTCACTAAACTAAAGTAATCCGGGTATGGTTCGCCTTGTCCCATTCGAAGACACGGCCTCTTTTCCCTTTCAGTATGGTAAATCCCAGCCGCCTATAGACCATATTCGTTTCAGTCCATTCTTCGCAGCGCATCAACGCCAGGAGGCCTAGACGCCGACGCCGTTTCCCGATACTCTCGCCAAGCGCCAGACACTCGACAACTGTCCCATCGGGAACGCACTCTTTGTCTTCAAAGCAGTCCGGCGCAAATAATTCCTTGTATAGCCCATCTTCCATGTCATTGACGGTGAAATCGTAAGACTCCGCATCATTCGAAGTGATGGTTGCTCGCAGTATTGGCCCAGAGATGTCAATGGATCCGTCAGATACCTCGCCCATTGGATCCAACCCCTTGAGCGTGCATTTTGCATCGTGAATATCGCAGAGAGGCCGATACGGTTCTCCAGACCTGGTTGTCGAACCCAAGGACCACGTGAAGCATGGCGTCACCGTCGCCACAACAGAAGCCCAGGACCACGAAGGGGCGCAGTAAACGTATGGAATATCGGCATATCCTTGTTTGTTGTAGAACTCGTCATGGTAGCACCAGGTGAGGTCTGCGAGCAGGCTCTTCCGCCATAACCCCGCCAGATATTCATCATCGCTGTCCCGAAAAGCCAGGCATCTCTTCGCGATCCCAGATATCGCGGGCAGCTTGTCAGAATCATATGTCAGCTTGCGCATGGCGTAATCACTGACCACGCGATGCCACTTCTCGACCGGGTCCTGTTCATCGTTATGGAACTCCATTGCCGAATGCTGCCTGTTATTCGGGTGTCCGCACTCGCATATTACCCGTGTTTGGCGACAGGACCAAGATACTTCCTGCGGACCGAAGCGCAGGCACCGCCGTGAGAGTCTGGACTCTTGAAAGGTCCAGCCGCGATCCTGGAGGGGGTTAAGCTCATAGGACTTCCATCCATGGGGGTTCAGGCGAATGTAGACCGATGTGCCATCGAAGGTCCCGAGGAGGTGATCGGGCTCCGTTGGCTCGGAGAAGATACCGGTATGCACTCCTGGGGAGTATTCTGCGCAGATATTAAGAAAGGCGTTTTCGTAGATGGAAGCCATTTGCGAGGCTTGTTCTTCCCAATCTGCTCTAACATCTTGTATAATGCATAGGGCATCTATCCAAAGATACCGGATGCCCAGCTTTTGGGTAAGAGTGACGGCGTCGCGCAGGGTTGGCGGGAGACCGTCGAAGCCCTTTCCGTCCAAGAAAACAGGCAAATTGTCCCTGGTCATCAAGAAGTCGTGGTCTTCTCCCCAACGATAGCTGAGACAAGCATAGCGATCCTTCTCCTCAGGCCCTGGTTCTCTGAGGCGAAGCTGCCCGCCTTCAACTGCAATGACACGTTTTGGCAGCTTAGTGGGTTCTCCCGGTCCGCACCTCTCATGGCATGATTGGCATTCCGCAATCCACGCTTTTGCCTTCTTGGTTGTGTCGTCGGATCCAGTGGAAACGCCGATTCTGAATCGGTCAACCAAGTCAAAACCGTTGACTCTCTGCAACCTTATAGCATCACGATCGTCAGGCCTGAGCTCTATTCGATCTTCAACAGAAGAGGTGAATATCTCAAGGGTCTCCAGAAGTCCGTGCCAGGAAAGTTTGACCGATATGTAGAACAAAGAATGAATTGACCCATGGTAATCCGGATTGAAAAACTCAATGGACACCTGCTCCAAGCCGGAAAAGTCGTTTACATTTGCGTTTGGACAAGCCTCGCCTATGCGTGCCAAACCTGACTTGCTAGAGAGCGAGTATCTTCTGTCGTCAGAAATGGCTCCATCTTGCCAATGTCGACGACTTTGAATGTCCGTGGTGCCCGAATCGGATGGCCTGTTCGTTTCGCCTGACAGAAAAACTCTCACGGCTTTCTCGAGCAAACTGCAGACGAAGCATCCAATGTTGTTCGTGCGGGAAACATGACCGAGGGACCATGCATGGGAGATAGGGAACCTCAGCATAATCCACTCCTGCAAGCAGGATCCATAAAATAAGGCAGCAGCTCCGAGATCTACAGTTTATCTGGCTTCCTAATCAGCGAGCTCCTCCCGTATATCCTCGTGAGTAGTAGGCAAGGCAAACAATTGAAGATGATGAGCGTGCTGAGACCGACGATACCGGCTATGGCATCCATATCCATGATTTTGAGAGGCACAGGCGCATGTGTCAGGTTCGTAACCACAACGAGTGATCTGTGTCCTTCAGAATGTATAATACAAGCTGAAAACGTAGCTGAGTGTCTCAGGTTTAAATACACCAACCGTGTGATGCCGTACAATTCGTACCTAACTTAGCTCCGTTGACGTTGTCGTCTAATGTTCTAGACAAGATTGGCGGACCAAGAATCCAAGACAGTTGGGCCACGGAGCTTTGTTCTCTGAGTCGCCGCCGTTGAGCGCGGGGTTGCCACAAACGGACGCTTATCGCAACGCTCCGGCAGTGACGTTCCGCTTATCGGGCCCTTGCGCCCCTCCAAGTCCGCCGGGCCAGTCCAAATAATTAAGTCGACTCCGGGAAGCTCAATCAACCCATCTGATTACGGTGACTCAGATACAACACAAACCAACGCCTCACCAGAACACACGATCAGCCTCGCCAGCGGACCGGAACAGAATGTCGGGACCTGTAAGTCCCCGGACCTTCTCAATTGACCTCGCCGCACCCATGTAACTGACCAGAAACCCAGCGCGCCGTTGTCCCGTCCCTCGAGACGGTCAGGTCCGTCCTGGCCGCCCCCGCCGGCAACAAGAAGCCTACCCTCGTCCCCGTATATCGCCAGATCTCCTCCGACCTCATCACACCTTCCGCCGCCTACCTCAAGGTCTCCGCCGCCCATAAGGACTCCGACTACTCCTTCCTCTTCGAAAGCGCCGCCACCGAGCGCGTCGGCCGCTACAGCTTCGTCGGCGCCGGTCCCAGAAAGGTCCTCGCCACGGGACCCGGCTTCGGTCCGGAATGCGACCCTCTACCCGCCCTCGAGGCCGAGCTGGCCCAGCACGTCGTCGCGCATGTGCCGGGTCTGCAGCTCCCGCCCATGGCTGGCGGTGCTGTCGGATACGTGGGGTATGATTGTGTGCGGTACTTCGAGCCCAAGACGGCGCGGCCGATGAAAGATGTCCTGAAGATCCCGGAGAGTCTGTTCATGCTGTTCGACACTATTGTGGCATTCGACCGTTTCTATGGCGTGATCAAGGTCATCACATATCTTCACGTCCCGGATGATCTGGCGCAGTTGGAGACGGAATACCAAAAGGCGACAAAGACGATCGACGAGCTCATTGCGGTACTCAATGCCCCAGAAATTCCTATTCCGGAGCAGCAACCGATCAAGCTGAACCAGGAATACACTTCAAACGTCGGACAGAAGGGATACGAGGCGCATGTTACGGAACTAAAGAAGCACATCGTCAAGGGCGACATCATCCAGGCGGTCCCCTCGCAAAGGTTCGCCCGCCCAACGAGTCTGCACCCGTTCAACATCTACCGCCACCTGAGGACGGTAAACCCGTCACCATACCTCTTCTACGTCAACTGCAAAGACTTCCAGATCGTCGGCGCGTCGCCGGAGCTGCTCGTCAAGTCGGAGGGAGGAAGAGTCATCACGCACCCCATCGCGGGTACGGTGAAGAGAGGGAAGACTCCGGAAGAGGACCAAAGATTGGCGGACGAGCTGCGCAACTCGCTCAAGGACCGCGCGGAGCACGTCATGTTGGTGGATCTGGCGCGCAACGACGTCAACCGCGTGGGAGACCCGTACACGGTGCGTGTAGACCACCTGATGGTCGTGGAGAAGTTCAGCCACGTCCAGCATCTGGTTTCGCAGGTTTCTGGCGTGTTGAGGCCGGATCAGACGAGATTCGATGCATTCCGCAGCATATTCCCCGCAGGCACGGTATCTGGAGCACCCAAGGTCAGGGCGATGGAGTTGATCGCCGAGCTGGAGAAGGAGAAGAGAGGTATCTACGCCGGCGCGGTCGGTTACTTCGGTTACGGCGGTGTCAACGAGAAGGGTGAGGAGGTGGAGGGTGCTATGGATACGTGTATCGCACTGAGGACGATGCTTGTCAAGGACGGCGTGGCATACTTGCAAGCTGGTGAGTTTACCCCTATTCGTGATAGAGATGTGACGATGCTGATATTAGTGACACAGGTGGCGGCATTGTCTTCGACTCGGATGAGTGAGTTATCCCTCTTCATGCGGTAAAACTTCGCGTGCTAACTGAATTGCAGATACGATGAGTGGATGGAGACGATGAACAAGCTCGGCGCGAACATGCAGTGCATAACGACGGCGGAGGAGCTGTATTATGAGCAACAGCAGGCCGCCAGTAAATGATAATAGATGAAAATACATATGATTCACAACGATGTCAAAAGCTCTTTTGTCTGGCTATGAAGCTGGCCGACACGTTTTGCACAGAGTGTCAAGAAACGTGGATTTTGATAGAAATACGCGTTGAATCCAGGGGTTTACTCATTAGGATATGTCTTCTATGTCTTGATCATGGACCCTAGGAACAGCCCGAGAGCCGTGAGCGCTAGGGCCAGAGGTGTCGTTGCGTTCTGCAAATCTCCCTCGATAAGACCGAGTAGATATAGAACACAGAATATAAGGAAAGGGGACAGGCAGAGGAGAATGTAGACCGAAGTCATGAGAGCCGAGCGCCGTTCTTGTACGTAAAGACCCCAGAACTGCTCCCTCGCCTTACCTCTCTCGTTGAGATAGAGGTACCGCTGTGGTATGCAGTCCACCGTGTCGTCGACCCCGTCAGCGCTGTCATACGGTAACTCCTGTGTCTTCTCAAGTATTTGGTTGTAGATGTGTCGGAACTCCTCCGGTGACACTGGCGGGTCGTGCTGCGCGGGCCGGGGATAGAAGTAGTAGTCTTTCTTGTCGGGTTCGGGTAGTCCAAGGCCAAGGTGTGCAATACCACCCTGGAACCTCCGGAACTGAGAGTTGACTTGTTGTTAGTTTCAATCAGCAGTGTGTGAGGGTGATGATACTGCACACTGAGGAGTGATGATAAGAAGTCTCGCAAAATATGAGGATACAAGAGGAAAAGAGAAGACACAAGAGTATCAGTTGAGAGTGAAGATTTGACAGTTGGTGTCTCCGAGTACAAGGAAGGCTCAAGTCATATGAACTTACCTTGACAAAATCGCAATGGGAGAATTTGTACGGCGACAACCAATACCTCCAACTTCCCTTGAACTCTCGATATGCTTGCCTCAACTCCTGTCCAAAGTCGTCGGTCTTCAAGTAAAGGGAGGGAAGTTGCTTGAAGCCACTCCGGCCTGTTTTGGCAACTAAGAACATATACCTAGGCCGAGGAAGCTCTTCTTTGCCGCTCGCCTGCTTCCCCTGGCTAGATGGCGCAGGTCCATGCATACTGGACTCCGATGAATCGCTCGTTTTGATAGATATTGTTCCTAAAGACGATACAGGACCGGTTGGCGGAATCTCCGCCGGCATACCGGATGCTGGTCGACTTGCCGACGAACCGTGTTGTCTCTCATTCAGGGGATAGCGCTGCAACAACACAGCAATGCTTGCGAACGCCGAAGGAACGACCTCCCATCTCATGTCGCCACATTTCTAAGACAGTATGTGAGCTACACGAGTTGAGGGGTTAGATCGGGTTTCCTCGTGGACTTACACATTGCCAACCAACTCTGACCTCGGATGAGCTCATCTTATGTTTGGGGGATGGTAGAGGCCGCCAGTCCCAATTCTCTCCAGAGATGGTCTCAAGCCATACTTGGATTCGATCCAATCTCGTCGGTGTACTTTCCACATCAACGAGTATGCGTTCCGGTCGTGATTCCTTCAGCTCGGTCAGTATGACTTGCATTTTCGTCCTCATTGCCCCCCAGTAGCTGTCACTCATGTCCTTCCCCTCCAGTATCTTGGTAACCATCTTGGCAGCCTGCGAATGGAAGGTGGGATTAACAAATTCAGAGAGTGCCCTAGCCATCTTCTCAAAGGCAAAGCTATTGTGGATGAAGGTGCTGATGTTGCCAAAATCAACATCTGCCGATTCTTCTTTCCCCCCCTGCGTGGGCTCGCTGTCCTCTACCTCCCCGTTCTCGGCTTCGTCTTCCTCGTCCAACTCAAGGTCGTTTTTCTGCACTTCGGCTCCTATAGCGGTAACTGGCGCGTCCTTCTCTTCAGACATACCTGACTCTTCAGAAGGCTGGAGAATCACAGGCTTGAGATATTTCTCAGATACTCTCATGGTAACCGCCGAGGCGATAGGAACTCGATATTGCCGCAAAAAGACCGCGGATTGAGTTTCCTCTTTCGTCGTTGCCTCAATCACCAGCTCTTGTCCAAGACGCCTTAATAGACGGGCTAGATTCCTTCGCAGTCGATCGGAAGTCCCTACTCCCTGTTGGTGGACGGCTGCCACGAACAGCGGGATCAACTTCTCGTTATTGACAAGAAACGATATTGCTTTACTGAGACCAGACTGTGCCGGGCCTGATGCCGCGGATCCGACTAGGGTCGACGAGGACTCGAATGAAGCCACGGAACTTGTGTCCCAGTCATCCAAGTCTTCCTCCTGACCCAATCCCTCGTTCTGGACCCCGAGCGGCGGGAACAGAGGTCCCACATGACTGAAGTACGCGGGAGACTTGGCTAGAAAGTCCCTGAGGTGTGGTGATTTCACGAGCTCCTCACACTTATCCCAGGTTGAGTACTTCTCGGCCCAGTCATCCCTCCAGGCGAATATCGAAGGGTCCTTGATCTTCATCAAGATCGCTTCTTGAAGGCGTAAGAATGCTTTCGCGTCGCCTTCGCCGTATTCCGGGGGTATCGCCACATCAAAGAGTCCGTTTAGCGAATACGCCAGGTCTTCCAACCTCGTAGCATTCCGGCTTGCGGCCCACAACATCCTCCGAGCGACAGACACGTTGGCCAGACTGCCCCCCTCGAGAACGTAGGGGTCGATGCCGGTTATCTCGAACAGCAATGACGATATCTGGGACCGTCTCCCCAAGTATTCCCATCGGCGAGAGTAGAATGCAAGATGAGTGGGAGCTATGAGTTCCTGGAGCGTCCATGATCGAGTAAACCACCTGCTGTGCCTCAGATGAGTGTGTTGACCGTCGAGCGCAGTGATGACCGGGAAGGTGAGAGAGGGCAACGTCGGGAGGTCGACATCGGATAAGTGAGCGATGCAGAGCGCAGCAGACCTGAACAGCCGGAAGCTAGAGTTGATCGACTCGTCGAGCTCCTTGGCGTCGGCTCTGTCCGTACAGCATGTGTCGATCCAGATGTACTGCAGCCCTTCACCGCGCGCGATGCGGCATGCCTCGCGTACCTTGGAGAACCCGGCCTTCTGCTTTGCCTGCTCCTTATCCGCTACGAGATCCTTGTAAAGCACTTCCTCTGGGCCCCAGGTGTGAGATAGAACTGCGTAGGGTGCCTCGGCGCCATTTGGGAGGTGCACGAAGTCGAGTGAGTTGGTTGTCAGAAAAATCATGTCGGGACACAATGAGAGAGAAGAGGTACTCCCGAGTCAGGCGAGAACTTGTGTTCCTCGCAGATCTTTCGCGCGAGGGCTGTGCCTCAGATGTGTTCGTGCTTGAAGCTGGAGAAGTTGCATTTCACGTGGCCCAATGAGATGCATTCTGCATATGCAGGTGAGAGGAGCAAGTCGTAGGATTTGATGAGTGGCCCTGATTGAACAGTAAAAGTAGTGGGGTGATATTTTCGACTGCATCGGTGCTGTAGACTGAGCCCGCGAGCTATCTTTCACCTCGATTAGGGTATATAGAGTTGAGATAATGTTCGAGTTGCCATGGCCAAATGATGAGACTGTATACGGCCTCAAAACCACAGTCGGTAACTCATAGATGTTTTCGTTTGTAGTCAGCAATGCGTTATGCTGCCGAATTCTTCCGCTGCCCGGGCCTCAAAGATTTGTCGTGGATCATGTAGTCTCCCTCACATGATGCTATCCCCCAGCTTCCGCTGCAACTTCTCCCCCTGATCCTCCCTCGCCTCCTCCGCCTGTCTCCTCTCGATCGCCGCCTTACGGTTCTCGTGGAACGACTTGTCGCGCGCGACGCCCTCCCGGCGCCACTTCTGCGGCGGCTTGACGCCCATCTCGGCCCACCGCGACCACACGTTGACGCCGCGCCGGAACCACCTCTCCTGCCTCTTCTGCTCCTCCTCGGGCGACGCCTCCCACTTGGCGCGCAGGATCCTGCGTATCGCCTCGGGCGACATCTCGAACATGGCCGCCAGCTTCGCCGTCGTGTACTCCTCCGGGTACTGCGCGTGGAGCGCCTTGATGCCCGCCATGGCGTCCGGCGAGAGCCGCTTCATCGGCCTCCACCCCTCGGGGAACTTTTCTTTCAGCGCCTCCTTCTGGATCTTCCAGTGCTCCTGCTTGTTGTGCATCTCCCGCCTCCGGGTCTTGGCGTGTTCCCGTCTCTCTTCTTCGGTGAGCTCGCTCGGTCTTTTCCTCCGCGGGCCCTCGGCGAATCCTTTCGACTCCCATTTTGATACCCCAATCTTCCTGAATCCCTCGCCCCCCTCATTCTTTTCTTGCTGCTGCTTCTCTGTATTCCTGGCTGGCGTCGTGCTGGGCTTCTGGGAAATCGTTGTGAATGTGGACTTTGATGTGGTTCGGTATGCAGGGAGTAGGTTGCTGCCGATGCGCTGCGGCAGTCGCGTTGCTGCGGGCTCGATGTGTAGCTGCGACATGCTGGCGAGCAAAGCTCGTAGGGGGCTTTGGCGGCACAAGCAATGCATGATTGCGGTTTCGTCGGCCGAATCGTTTGGGGAAAGGGGACGATTGAGGTTTGTTGGCTCGAGATGCAGTTTGGTCTGAGGATGCGACTTGGATGCGGAAAAAAAAAGTCGCCCGGCCTTAATTTTTTAGAACTGCAGTCCCTAGTCGCGGCGGGATGGAGCGCGCTACAGTGGGGCCGCCGCAGTGGCTCTCCGGGGAAAGGGTACCGCTACGCCGGTGGCACCGGCCAAGGATCCGGTCGAGCGCCAATTAGCGTCAGCGTCTCTTCGTCATCACTTTGTCTTGAGACATTGGAAGTTCAACCAACTCCTTACAACTTCAGGAACACGATCTAGACTCAAAATTCCTAACCATCAAATATTGATACCAAACAAATTGACAGCGACAATAACAAATGTGTTGCTGTTGCTCTTCTGACTACGGCAGTACAGAGCTACAAACAACCAAATAAGCCCAACCCCGCACAAGCTGCGCGGATAGGCTACTAGCTGAATTGCATGTGCAAATTCATGGCATCATCCATGCTCCGCGGTCTCCAGCACCAGCTGGTGTTCGCCCTCCATCCCATCTCGTACCAACCAACAATCGGGACTCCCTGCCAAGAGGTGGAAAATGTGACCCGGTGATTCGCCAGGCGTAGCCGCCGCAACCCCTCGTCCGAATAGGGTCACCAGCTCGGTTATGGTTTCTGGCTTCGTAAGTGCCAGCGGGCATGTGTTCGAGAGAACACGACAAAGAGGCTTCGAGTCAACGAGTTGAACGTGATCAAGTCTTGAGTGTCCTATCATATGATTTACGGTTGTTGTTTCCAGAGTTAAAAAGCCCTTGACTTTCCTTAGCGCTAAGCAAGTTCTGGGGAGACAGTGTTTGAGTTCGATGAAGTCATCTCTTGCGTTGATTTGAGTATTGCCACTGAGTTCAGACTCAAGTGGAGTAGGCAACTCCAACACCATACCATCTCACTAGCATCCGGTCATCTCTCTTATTGCTGCCTCATTACCTTCACTCAATATACTTACAAGATACTTACTCATCTAAACGCACTTCTCATCGCCACTCACTCTCGTCTCTTACCAATCAACTCTCCCAATGGCAGGCTTTCTCTGGCACAGAGGCAAGGAGTGGGTATCAGCCTGGGACTACTCCTTTAGATGGACTGATGAGCATCTCACATCCGACGACCTTCGGCCGTTGATATACACATACGATGAGCTGGGAGCTCAAGCCCTGGACAGACTGGATGAGATTTCGCCACCCGTCAAGCCCCCAACACCCAGCGAAAAAGGAGACAACTCCCCAAAGGAGAAGTGCCCTCACCGAGATCTTTACGCTCTTTTGAGAGACAACGCCGGCTCCGATGAGATCCTGGGGAAACTATGGACGGAAGTAAACACCATCCCGGAGTGGGTAGACTGGGCCCAAATCGAGCGCGGTCAAAAAGTCTTCGTCCGCTACGCCGGCCCAGCCATTTTCGCAGTAAGTCCAACGACACCCCTTAACACAAGAAGCACCCACTAACACCACAACAGCTCACCTTTCAATCCCTCGTAGGTGGCTTCGGCGGCCGCCGCGTAGTCGAGACGCTCGCCCGCACAGGTGGCTTCGGCGTCAAAGTAACCCGCCGCCGCCTCCTCGAGACCTTCCAGCACATTCTCCAGGTCACCCGGGACCTGCCGTCCATCCAGCCCGGCGGCGAGGGCTTCGCGTCCTCCATCCGCGTCCGCCTCCTCCACGCCGCCGTCCGCCGCCGCATCCTCGCCCTGGCCAAGGAGAAGCCCTCCTACTACGACGTCCAGGCCTGGGGCATCCCCGTCAACGACCTCGACTCCATCGGCACCGTCTCGACCTTCTCCGCCACGCTCATCTGGATCGGCCTGCCGCGCCAGGGCATCTACATGACGGACCGCGAGAAGGAGGACTACCTCGCGCTGTGGCGCTGGGTCGCACACGTGCTGGGCACCCCGACGGACGTGTTCGAGAGCGTCGGGCGCGCGAGGGCCATGATGGAGAGCCTCATGGTCTCGGAGATTGAGCCGTCCGACACGTCGCGCGCGCTGGCGACCAATGTCTTGACCGGGTTGAGCAACCAGCCGCCGTCGTACGTGTCGAGAAACTTCCTCGCGGCGGAGACGTATTGGTTGAACGGACCGAAGCTGGCGCGGGCGTTGGGGGTCGAGCGGCCGCCGTTTTACTACTCTCTCCTGGTCGTCGGGCAGTGCATCTTCTTCATGGTGATGTGTTACTCACATCGCTTGTTCCCGGGGTGGGACGAGAATCGAAATAAGGTAAGTGGTATCACCACATGAAGTTGTTCTCCAACTAAAAGACACCCCTCAGAAACTCCAAAAGGGACTCTTCAACATAACAATCAACAAGCCCGAGCTCGGCGCCCTGGGAAAGGAGACCAACTTCGAGTTCCAGTACATCCCGACGCTCGACATGATGTCCACCGAGGCCGCGAGCCGAACTCACCACCACGACGCAAACCCGGCAGACAAAGACAGCGGCAGCGGGCCCTCCCCCGCGCGGGTGCGGCGCGTGCGCAAGACGGAGCGAAGGAACCTCGCGGCGCTCATCCTGGCCCTCGTCGTCGCGGGACTGCTTTCTTGGCTGGGTGTGAGGAGCGCCTCAGCGCTGTTTGGGAGCATCGCCGGGATGTCGCCGTCGGCTTGGTGATGCGAAAGTAGACGATGGGCCCCCGGGTCCGGCTGGGCGAACGGTTGCAATGCAGGAAGGAGCACGGGCGTCGGGTTGATCCCGCCTGCCGCCGGTTGGTCGACCGGTCTTTTGGAGCCGTGGTATTTATGTATACGTACTGTTTTCCTTGTTTGCGAGCGAATGTTGGATCTCGTTCCCCCAGACCTGTTTTTGGGGGTGTCGATCAGTGTATCTGAAGATCAAACGGTTTTGTCTTGGGATTCTTTTTGTGGGTTCCTCGGTTGTCTCCACGGCATGAAAGTCGCTGCCGCAGCTCTGGTGTGTGTGGTGGGAGCATAGATCGTATGTCACAGTGAGACAGACTCAGGGAACCACTCAGTTGGTTGGGTTGGTAATCAGCTTGTTTCGTTTCGCAGCACCGTCATACGGTCGCTGTGACGGGGAATCTAGTGTACAGAAAATATGTGCCTCTCTGCTAAGAAGAGACGGCAGGGTACTAATGAAACTTTTTTACCATGGCTCGGCAGCAGCCATCCTCCACGAAAACGACAGTCATTCCTTTCCTCTCAGTTGAAGTGACTCTCCGATCCCAAATGCGTAACCTATTCTTTCCCTCGTAACGCCGTCGCAAGATATAAACCGTGTGAAGATGCTAAGTGCGCCCAATCCTGGTTCGCCGCATATCCGTGTCGTGTCCAAACGCCAGAACCATTATCGCTCCTTTGAAACAAACTGTCTTCATGCGTGGTGCATGAGCTCCACTGGCGGGCGAGCAGTGTGCGCCATGATGGGCTTGCTGTTCTCGATGGGACTGATTTCCATAGGCTCGTCCGTCATATCCTCGAGGCAAATGGCGGGGAGATCGGGGCTGGCACCCTGGGCATCAGGCTTGTAGAGGAGCGTTGAGCTGCGGCTGCGCGTTTGGTGGGAACCGTCGACAGGGCTGATGGGTGTCTCGATGCCGGAGGGGCGGTGGTGGAGCTTGGCGAGAGCGTCTGCCAGATCCTCGGCGTGGACCATCTTGTTAGGAGCGTCCTCGAGCTTCATCTCCCAACCGTGAGGTGGCGAAGGGGGAGGAGAGATGAAGAAGAGCTTGCCGGCGTCGGGGAGGGCGAGGTGGCGGTCGGTAACCTCAACGGGAGTGGGCTGGCCAAAGTAGACACGGACGCGCTCGCCCATTACTGCCTCGCCGTCCCAAATGCGACGGACGGCGATGGCATCATCTTCCGAGAAAAAGGAGACGACAATTCGGCGGAAGGACTTCAGAGGTGCCCATGAGTGAATCGGCGCCGTCTTGGTAACCAGGTCGCGAATGGTCTGCAGGTTATCGGGACGGAAGACATTGGTGTCGTTGAGGTTTGTGAAGAGGAGAGTGTTTGACGGCGGCGTGGGCTGGACGAGAGGCGGCAAGGAGGTGAGGTCGAGGGAAAGCGACTTGTTGGAGCCGGTTGACCGTCTAGAGAAGAGCGGGCGGGTGTCTGACTTGGGTGATTCCATTTTGGTGGTTGTGAGGTTGTGTGTGTGTAGAGGTGGTTGGTTGCGATAGTGATGGTGATGGCGAGACGTGTGATTCTCGTTGTTCTATGTCGATGATGTGGTGGGCTTGGTCATCTGCAGTCAAGGTGATTCGTTGACTCTTGTGTCGTGTGTATCTTGTTTTGTTTGGAAGTAGGGACTGGAACGAGGCAAGATGATGGTAATGCGGGAGGCGGCCTTGGTTATATGTTTTGAGAGAGTGGCTGCGCAGCGGCGGCGGCAGCGGTCTAAGGCCGCTGGGTCCCGTCGGGCGGAGTGTGGGATGGTTGGTGGATGGATGGCTGAGTGGACACTGAGGTAAACTGAACTGAACAGTGAGAGGGGTGTGCAGTGTTGGGTACACTGTAGGTAGGTAGGTTGTCTGTGTGATGAAACGGCAAGGCCACACGGACTCACGGGCCCGTTTGAAGTTTCGCCGCCTTCGAGCCGTCGCAGTGGTGGAGACGCTGGAATACGTCCGTGGTTCCTTATCCGGCAGCGTTACCCTGTACCTTAGGTAGGATGTTGGCAACTGCCTTCTTCCTTCCATTTACACGAGGTCGGATGATGAGATACACTCATGGTTACTGGATAACCGTACAGCAAGAACCTTGGCGAACAAGAGTAAGACTAAGGTACTTCAGTAAGGTAAGGTACTTGCCGCTAAGCACGGAGCATGTTGAGCACAGAGTTGTCTAGCACAGGGCACCTTACAACACCAGCACGTCGGCAATGGCAAATTGAGGCTGTGCAGAGAAAAGCGAGAGGGAAAAAAATGCTTTTCCTCACTCCAGACTCCAGTAGGCTTGGCGATTTCTGCTAGGTTCGTTACCCAAAAAAGTCAGCAAGCGTGTTATCCCGTGTGTTGTGTGTGGCCGTCTCCTCAGTAATGCTCCCTCAATGCTGGCCAAACCCTTGCAAATGGTTGAGTTCCCCTGCGGCCTGCTGCGGTTGCGATTGCTGTTGACCGGGCTCGAGTGGTTCAAAGGAAACGGTCCATTGTGGACTGGACTTTCAGTTCAGTGATGAGAGACAGGCCTCGAGTTCGTTCGCCCCGCCCCAAATCGAATTGTCGAGAATGCCATTCGCCACCCCAGCCGTATTCACTTACGCAGTTGCTTTTCTCACCAGCGCAACTCTACGAATACTGCGCGTACGAATAGATACGTATACGTACCGCTGTGATAGCGGCATCATTCATCTCCGCCTCAATCGGTAATTTCCATTCCACATTCTTTCCAACACTGACGGAGTCCTGTTCAGGTTTCCGTTGAGGGCAGTGCTACCTTTCCGTTCCGCGACCCCCAAAAGCCAAGGGCGACTGACCTCCTCATCGGTTACCTCAGCAGGCCTCCCCATGCAACAAACCCGGCCTGTCATCACCGTAGGAAACGGGGTCTCTCGTCTTCCCCACGACCACCCGAGCGTCCATGACGGCAGACGTCCAGGAATCGAAACCCGGCCAGCATATCGACTGCCCTGGAGCTGGCGAGAAACAGCGCCTCGACCCGCTAATTGGCCGCAGCTGCATGCCCTGGGCGCATCGCCGTCTCTGACCCCAGTGCCATCATTGGCGTTTACCAACCTCACGGCTCTGCAACCACGATACGCAGCACCTTGTGACCATCGATCCGCATCCCTCCATCTCGGAAACTTCCACCTGCGTTGGTCTTGCCATTCGAATACTGTGCCTGACCGCAAACCACCCGTGTGTCTTGGCAGACGAGTGACGGGAAAGCCAGCAGGCTAGCACGACGATCAGAGACAGAAGACGGACGTTGTCAAGTCAGCCACCCACCGAAAGCGCCATCTACTTCGTTACCTTCTATTCCCTCTGTCGTCGCCTCCCGAAGACATGGATCTTTCGAACCCTTCCGTTACATCCTCGCAATTGCAACTTCATATGCAGCTATCTGCGGGCTGCTGCAGCTCTAATCAACAGACTTGCCCAGTCGGGACTCGGGCATATTCCGACTATCAACGTTACCATCAAAGCCATTGTCGCAACTGTCATTTGCCAGCAACATCGACAACACATCTCCCCGCTCTCTCGCTATCGGCGCAACTGGCAAGGGGTTCGGGGTCGTTACCCCACATCTTCAACTATGAAGCCGCGCCAAAGAGGGACCGGGGCTGTGTAACGGGCACTTTCACGACGATTTGCGGTCACGATACTTCAGCGCTGAAGCACTTGACCACTGTACCTATGACGCCTGGATAGTGCGGCATATAGTGTTGAGTTTGGGGGCGCCGCCTCCTTACTATGTAGACCGCCTCCACGACCACGTCGCCCAGGCTCTCTCACAGCTTTTGTTTCTGAGAGAGTCAATTATTGTCAGGCCATGATAGTTCGTATGGCTGAGCCGTGTCTTCCTAGTCTTGGCTCGATAACTCGTCACCGCATAATACGGATTACCGAGGCTTGGTACAAGAGTGCCGATGGAAGCTCAGCGACCGCAGCAATTAAGCCATCGTGTTATGATTCATGGTCCAAAATCACCGAGAACGAGGCTCTTCGCCATCAAAACATTGTCTACAAGGCTTGAAAAGCCTACCGGATGTCAATCTCCCCTACCAGCTCAGCCCGGCTACGTACGAGTCGCCCTACGAAGAGCCCTCCGCTCAGCCAGCTCGGGGCAAATTGCACTGAACCTCAGCCCCTTCCAGCGCCGCCGAACAGACACCACGACGTACGCTCGTCCAATCCCACGCATCCGTCAGCCACGATTTGGGCTCCGTGTATCCGCAAGTCACGGATGGAAAGGAAATTTGATTCAATAGCGCCATCAACAACTCGGCCAAGCCATCCGTCGCAACAACATTCCACTCTCCTGGCTGAAGACATTCAATGTCTCAACTCAAATGATCCGGTGCCACGCCGAACTCGTGCCGCCGCATGCCCGGCTGGCCCAGCTTACTACGGATACGTACCGGTTGCTGGTGGTCAGCAACTCTTCGTCGGTTCCCTCGCGATCTGGAATGAGGCTGTGCAGAACACCAAGACTTCCGACCTGCCAGATTGATGTTTCGCTCTGCAATCGGCTTCCCCAGACACCGTTCTTGGCCAAGACTTTGCGTTCCTGCGCTCCGCACGCAATGCTGCTCTCCAATGTCCTTCTGACTTTCCGTCCACTCTATCGGGGGCCGATGGCTTGTCGGGTACGTTGCATTTTAGCGAAGAGCTCGTTCTCGAACTCGCATGTACAACAATCATTGATCGATCCACCCACAACTCTTGCTTTTGTCGCGAAGCGCCTCTGCCATCTTGCCAGTCGAGCTCTTCGGTGGTGGAGTGATGTTCCGCATCTCACAATGCCAACCGCTGGGCACGGTGCTCTACGAACCGTTAGCTACCGTTTCCTCTCAACTGCAGACTCTCTGACACTACCTACACCATCGATGCGCCTGGCGGCTTATCTCCACGCATTGCGGGGACTTCCTTGCTACAGGAAGTGCCTGCCCAGTAAGATGACCGCCTGATAAACTCCTCATCGAGTCGGGTCTGAGGCATGGTAAACTCATCTCATTCTGTTTGAAAATGTCGCAAGGATCCTGCTTCAAGACATCAGAAATTTGCCAGCAATCACGTCTGAACGGACGCAATAGACCGGCTGTTGGACATGGGAGCGTGGCTCAGCTCTCCCGGCTGAACGAGTATCGCAGCTTCCCATACGTTGCGAGCAACAGACTGAACTCCGCCCTATCTCGGGAGGCTTGAAACTAACTTGCACGACCGTCCCAACATGTTAGGACGACGGGCCAAAATTCTGCCTGCCCCCGAACGCTGCTGCGCTCGTCCGCGCATTGTAAGTTTGTGGATGATACAATCGATCTGCAACCCAGGCGTCACTGCTTCAGATTCAACCTGACGACTGAATCTTTCGCATCCGGGCATGATTTCATCGTTCGAGAATCTCGCAGAATAAACATGGCGCCGCAGATCCGCATTCCGAATCGCCCAGGCGCCCGGGCACTCGGCCGTGTCAAAATGTTTCCACGGTTACTAGGCTATGCGGCCCGGTACTGCGCAGCTCAGGTCCTCTTTGACGATGGACATCAAACGAACAATTTGAAGGGACGATGTCTGTGAGGAGACGGGTTCAAGGGATCTAATAAACCCCCGAATTCGCACTGAACTTTGCTCAGAGCGCAGTCGCCCGTCAAGCTTCGTCGACGAGTGAGGTTGTTGTAGTGGTACAAGTTGGTTTTATGATACATGGCGTGATATAATCACGAAATGAGAATCCGGCTACTGAAGCAGGGCGAACAAAGTCATGCTTTCGTTCTTGGCAACAAGTTTCCCACGACACACTGCCAGCGAAGCGCACAACTCACATCGGTATGTTAAGGGATCCCGACCCCGTTCGCAGGGACTCACTCCAATAGGGTCGTCCCGTCTTCGCGGAACGCACGAGTGTTGGCGACACAGCCCCCTTACCCCTCAACGCTCGACGTCGAGCACCGTCCTTCTCTTACCGGATCTCGACACCCAGCTTTTCCACCAATTTCCGGGTCACCTCGTTGTGTAGGTCGTTGGTCTCGTCGTTAGTCAGGGTGCGCTCCAAGCTTCGGTAGTTGATGCGATAGCACATGCTGCGCCTCCCCGTCTTGGGATGGGTGAACTCGTCCACAAGCCGGACGTCCTCGACGCGGTCACCGGCGATATCCCGAACCAGCTCCATAACATCGTTCTCATGGAAGTCCTGTGCACTAGCTCTCGTGTTCCCGCCGGCTGCTGAGATGCTGCGCAACCAGAAGGAGACGTCCTTGTGGCAGGCCGGGTACTTGGAGAAGGGCACAAAGCGCTTCATGTTATCCAGCTGGTCGGACACGCCTTTGAATTGACTCAAGAATCTCTCGTCCTGAGACCAGAAGAGGCGGATGTCGGGTATCTGGAAGAGCAGCATGGCAATTCGCTCCAGACCAATGCCGAAAGCCCAGCCCAGCTGGTTCGGAACTCCGGCGTTGATCGGGATATCCTGCTTCACCACACCGCAACCCAGCACCTCCAACCAGTCGCCGGCATAGTAGACCTCAAGTTCCCACGATGGGCTGGTGAATGGGAAGTATGCCTCCACCCAGCGAACCCGCAGCGGCTCGTCCTTGTAGTTAGGGTCCGCCTTTGCTGCTGCAGCCTTTGCTCTCGTGAAGATTTCAACAACCATGAGTTCGAGGGAGCGCTTCAGGTGAGCGCCAATGGCCTCGGCCTCGGCTGGCGTGTGGTGTCCCTCTTGAAGAGGGTTCCGCTCCGCGTCAAAGGCAGGATGCGGGTCCTCGACCTTGACGTTGTGTGTTGGCAGCTTATTCACGTCCTCCCAGACAGCAGCCGCGATGTCGCCGTTGGGCACCTTGGTACGATCCCACATGCGCGCGCCCTCCATCTGGTGGAAGACGGGGTAGTGGCTCCTATCAATGGCATCTCGCCTGTACACATCGGCGCTGATCAGGTATCCTTCGCTCAGGTTCTGCTTGAACGTCTGCGCCTGGTGCGCACTGGTGTGCGTCCTCAGCAGTGTCTCCTTGTTGAAGTAGTAGGTGTCCGATTTCGCTCGGCCAGGGTGATCCAAGGGGAAACCCAATGAGTCGAAGTTCTGGTGCGTCGAGACGACCGGGTCGAACGTGTTGTGGTACTTGTACGTCGGCGCGGGGAACTGCGACTCGATGATCTGTCGGGTAATGTAAACTGGGTGGTCCTTTTGCAGGTGCAGCTTGCGCGACGCCGCGTCGAGGACGTTCTGTGGGACATTGAACCACTCGTCGGTCGTGATCGTCTGGCCGTTGACTTCAATGGTCTTCTTCTGCTGGCCTAGAGACTTGGAGATGGTCGAAGGCTCTGCAACACTCACATTCAGCAAACAATAGCGCATGATCGGGGCATTCCGGTCTCACCTGCGGAATACGCGCGCCGGCAACCTGCCAACGATACGATCGGGCTCCATTGTCGTGGAGCTCTCGGGCAGATGGCGCCACGGAAGCAGCTGTGCAATTGCCTCCCCGCCAGTCTCGGGACGAGCATGTTGGGCACCTGTTGGCCTTTGGCGGTACTCAAAGGCGCTCGGGGTTATGTTTTCATAACGGGCACCCGAGAGTCGTCGGGAATAGGAGCGGTGACTCGACAGTTTGCTCTCATTCGGAAGAGGGGAGCTCTCGCAGGTCGTCCCGCCGATCGCCAGAAAACTGACGGGCTGCACGGACCATTCGCCGTCCTGTCTTTTCCACTCTTCGGGGCGGTTGACGGCGCCAGGCCTGCCGACCCGGCGCAGGGTTCACTCTTAGCGCATGGCACCCCTGCCGGCCAGCCCGCCGACCATGACGCAGCAGGTCGTTCGCTCGTTCAAGCGCCGATAAAAAGCGATGCAGCCGAGAAGGGGTGATTTTGCTAAGCAGGCAGGAAAAAAAAGTTCGTGATACACCGAGCCGAACGAACCATTCGGCTTCTTCCACTCACCACCAAAAACGCTTCTGGACCCCGAAGTCGGCTTTTTTAGCGTCAGACGTCACCGCCAATAACTATTAGCAGTGACGTTCCAAAGTCGCCGACATCCACTCGTCGGGAACCTTGCTCTGAAGGTACACCGGGATTTTTTGGATATCAATTCGCAATTAAAAGGTCTCTTTTGCCGCAGAGCATCTCCAATTGCGCCGCCGCGGAATGAGTATAGTATACGAGATTCCATAGCTGCAACAATGCAGTCCGCCGCCAATATGGTCCCTGCCGCCTCAGCTCCCAGCAAACAGGCCGACGATGCGTCCTCACCGTCATCGTCTTCGCCATTGAAGACCGTCAGTGAAGATAAGCAGCAGCAAGCGCAGAAGCAGACGACGAAACCGGAGAAGAAGACGAATGGCTCCGTGCGATACCCCTTTTGGTTCGGAGGCAGCGCCAGTAGTATGGCCGCCTGTGTAACCCATCCTTTGGATCTTGGTGAGTTTTTTTGCCGGTGGTCTGGTGTTTTATCTCGTGTTACCTCCCAGCGAGAGTCTTGCATGATAAGCAGCAGCGGTATCGCGATGTCGGAGTCTACAGTGTGCTGACAATGTCTCAGTGAAGGTACGCATGCGCTCCCGGACAGCACCCCGACCGACGAACCGACCAACAACCACATGAAGCGACATGAACAACATCCACAGCAAGATACTCACATGATGCCTAGGTCCGCCTCCAAGTCCGCCGCCCCGACGCGCCAAAGAACATGGTCGGCACCTTCGCCCACATCGTCCGCAACGACGGCGTGACGGGCCTCTACAACGGCCTCTCCGCCTCCCTCCTGCGCCAAATGACCTACTCCACCGTCCGCTTCGGCGTCTACGAAGAGCTCAAAGTCCGCATGACCCGCGAGAACGGCGGCAAACCCCCGTCCTTCCCCGTCCTCGTCGCGATGGCCTCCGCCTCGGGCTTCGTCGGAGGCATCTCCGGCAACGCCGCCGACGTCCTCAACGTCCGCATGCAGCAGGACGCCGCCCTGCCCGCCGCCGAGCGCCGCAACTACAAGCACGCCCTCGAGGGCATGCTGCGCATGGCCCGCGAGGAGGGCCTCATGAGCTGGTTCAGGGGCGTCCTGCCCAACAGCATGCGCGCCGCCGCCATGACGGCCAGCCAGCTCGCCTCCTACGACAGCATCAAGTACATGTTCATCCGCCACACGCCCCTGGGCGACAGCACCGCCACGCACTTCGCCTCGTCCTTCCTCGCCGGCGTCGTCGCCGCGACCGTCACGAGCCCGATCGACGTCATCAAGACCCGCGTCATGTCGGCCAGCACGCAGGAGGGCCTCGCCCACACGCTGGCCAAGATTTACAAGGCCGAGGGCCTCGGGTGGATGTTCAAGGGCTGGGTGCCCAGCTTCTTGAGACTCGGACCGTGAGTGACCCTCATTTGCTTTGGGAAGACTAGGCACAATCACTAACACCGTCCCAGCCAAACTATCTGTACATTCATGTTCCTGGAACTGCACCGCAAGACTTACAGGGCCGTGACCGACGTCGGCAGCGACGACAAGGCCATCTGAGCAAGCGAAGTGCGCATCATTAGACTTGAGCGTTTTAGACAACTGCATCTTGTTTTTAGGGGGAAGCGGCGTTGGATAGAGGAGGCATTGTGCTTGCATTTCAGGAGTCAAGGGGATATACAAAAACGGAGATTGGATGTCGTTGGATTGTTTACGCCTTCTGGTACATATTACTTGTTGGTTCGGTATGACGAGATGCAAATGTCAGGGGCAGTCTGCTTCCTCTCATCATTCTGTTGTTCAATTGCTTTTTCCTTATGCCACAATCTCGCTCCTTGCGGGCGTCTGCTGGTCTCAGACCTCAGTCTATATGCCAAGAAAGCATTGTAGAGAAATTAAACCACACCCCCCTCTCTATCTCCTCTCGAGACTCACCGTCTTGCTACGCGTACCTGGGCCAATCTTACTTATACAACAAACCCGAAATGTCTTTTTATGTAAATGTGCCGACCAGCTTATGCTGATGCCTTTCCGTTGAAAACCTCGCAGAACTCCGGTGCCGCCCCGTCTCGAAGATGTCGTTAACGCCTTTTCTTTCTTTTCTTCGCCAAGCTCAGTTCCAGCCAGACTGACCCGAACCGCCATACGGTGTGGTCGTGGCGTAGGGTGTCGTCGCGTTGCCTCCCCACGAGCTCTGCGCGCCGTTGTTATAGGGCGTAGTGTAGCCCGGGTCCTGGCCCCACGGGTTGCCGCCGTCCATGTCGAGGTTCGGGCTGCGGGGGCCGTCGAAGTCGCCCATCCCGTCGTCCTCGGCCTCACCGGTGAGCATGTGCAGCAATAGCGCCATCTTCTCCTGGATGATCTTGATTCCCTCCTGGATGATTTGGTCGGGCTCCAGACTGCCGACGCCCTCGACTTCGAAGTAGAACTTCTCGGGTACCGCGTCGTAGTCGAACGGCTCTCCTTCCTGAGGAGGGTCCTCCATCTTCGCGTACTTGCTGTCGGGCCTGCACACCAAAATCAGTCACCGCGCTTCCGCATCGCGATGCGCCAGTACTGCTTACCACTCCAACTTCGCATCCTCCTCATACCACATGTCCAAATGGTGCAGCTTGTTATGAGGGTCGTATTCAAAGCCGACGGCAGCCGTGGGCATCCATTTTGCGTGCTCCTTGGCAATGCCCTTCTTTGCGATGCAGGACAGCTTGAGCTCCTGCCCCCTTCCCAGCTTGGCGATCAGAGAACCCTGGCCGTCCGGGTCCATTATGACCGGGTTGCCAACGGTGCCGTTCTGCCGGTAGCTGTCGACGGCAAGATCGCGAGCGTACACCTTCATCGTTTCGTCGGATGAACAGCGCGCCTGGAGGGTGAGCTTCACACTGCAGTTGTCACAGTATTGCTCGCAGTCGCAGTCGCGAGAGTAGAGTAGGCTGTTGACGTCCTTGGATTGGAGGGGGATGAGACCGAGGCGATGCGCGATGAATTCGTCGGCGAGGACGGAGGTGTTTGCCTCGATTTCGACGAGGTCGATTGCGATCGTGGGGACCTCGGCCTGGATAACGCGGCGCAGGGAATTCGCGAAGGAAAGGTCGCAGTTTGAAAGATCGAAGTTGACGTGGATATTATCGGCCTGAGCAGGGAATAGATTCATTAGCACGAGTGCCTCCTTCGAGAAGATGATGCGGCGTGGTTTACCCCCGAGATCTTGATCTGTGGCCCGCCGGTCTCGCCGTCCAGGAGCATGGGCTCGTACTCCATCGTGCCTGTTCTCGGTCGGATCGAGGCTAATGTGCGAATATGACAGAGTCGGTGCTAATGATGGACGAAAAAGCGCGTATCGATGCTCTTTGTGCAAGTTGTCTTTGAGACCGAGTCTCGACGCGAGTGGGTTGTCGGGGAGAAGGTGTTGATAGCTAAGCGTGGGGGAAGGCTGACGGATATTATTTTTGCGACAGGAGGCAAAGGAAGTCGCGCTCTCCCAATTGGAAGTTGCAGCAACCGTGCCCGAGTGCCTGCCTTCCGGTGCCTTGGCGCTAGTCGATCTTATCGATAAAGCTCTTTCCGGTCCCTCCATTCTCCGCGCCGGGATGGAGCTCCAATCCGGGCCTTGATTGGGCGCAAATGTTTCCCGTGAGCCCGGGGGTCTAGGGACGGCAATTCCGTCACTATCCGATAAAATTTCATTCCCTCTAAAAAGCTGCTCCGTACACGCGACCACCGCAATCGCCTCCCGATCTCGTCCAAATCCTCAACCCGCCCCTCCCCTCCCACCCTCGCAAAGCCACCCAAACCAACCCGCCAAAATGTTCAGACACGCCATCGCTACCTCATCCCGCGCAGTGCGCTCCAGCCTGCGAACCCAGACCCCCAAGTCTGTCTTCCAAAACCAGTTCCAGACCTCCCCGGCCTTCAGGATACGTGCTGCGCAGCCCGCTGTCGCAAGATGGTACAGCGACGCCAAGGAGGAGAGCAAGACTGAGGAGGCCAAGGAGACCAAGGAGGGTGAGAAGGCCGATGATGCCGAGTCCGCCCTGAAGAAGCAGCTTGAGACCAAGGAGAAGGAAGCTGCCGACTGGAAGGTTCGTCGATGCGCAATTACTACCCCACCGATGTCGGCTTTCCGAGAAAAACGGATGGACTAACACCCATTGCCTGACAGGACAAGTGCCTGCGCACCATCGCCGACTTCCGCAACCTCCAGGACCGCACGGCGCGCGAGGTCAAGCAGGCGCGCGACTTCGCCCTGCAGAAGTTCGCCAAGGACCTCGTCGACAGCGTCGACAACCTCGACCGCGCGCTCTCCATGGTCCCCAAGGAGAAGCTCAACGCCCCCGAGAAGACGGGCGACCTCCAGGACCTGGCCAACCTGTACGAGGGCCTCAAGATGACGGACGACATCCTCATGACCACCCTCAAGAAGCACGGCATCGAGCGCGTCGACCCCGAGGGCGAGAAGTTCGACCCCAACGAGCACGACGCCACCTTTATGGCCCCTCAGCCCGACAAGGAGAACAACACTGTCTTCCACGTCCAGCAGAAGGGCTTCAAGCTCAACGGCCGTGTGCTTCGCGCGGCCAAGGTCGGCGTCGTCAAGAACGCTTAAGCGGACTGATCGCCGAGCCCGTCCAAAGATCGACTCTTATTCGAGAGTCCCTACTTAAAACAAAAGAAAATTCATGGGGCTGGCCTGCCGCTGGGAGGTATCGGCGGCTACAGCCCGCCCCCCTTGTACCATTATGTTCTACGATACTGTGTCGATTCCCGGAACAGCGAACTGGGCGTTCCGGACGGTGTATAATGCTCCTCTCATGATGTTATTAAAGCATGGCGGAACGAGGGCCAAAATGGGTTGGCCCTCTCTGGAAGAAAGAAAAAATCGGATAGAATCTGGATATGTGTCTGTACATAGGCCTCGGAAAGGGATTCCGGGGTCTCACGATTCTCCTCAAAAGCTCTGGTACAATTTAATCACCACCTGGGAGACAATGATCTCCCTGTTCTTTCATCACTTCAACCATGGACCTCATCGCAAGACAACCTTTCTCGTGATCTCTTCAAAGACTCGGCTACACATTTCTGAATTAAGCCTCCAAGGCAGCCAGCCAGCCAGGCAGATCCAACAACATCGATTTTGCTTTTCCTCAATTCAGGGGGTATCGTACTCAAACATTGGGGGGCATAACTTCTATGCCGAATTATTGCGTAAAAGCAAAACAAAGAACAGAAGCTGACGAAAACGTTTGGCCAGCGATTGCCGACATTGTTGGCCTGCCATGCGGTGTTAGTCAAGGGTTCCACAGCTGACTTACAACCTCCAGCTTGGCAGTACCTAATAGTCGGCTCATTCTCAGGAACAAGACCTACAACGACGTCGGCTTCCTGACTTCTTATGTTGTCATCAGAAGGCAAACGAAACGAGACGAAGAATTGGCCATGAAATGCCGCCTGGAAGACTAGTCAGCTGAGAGATCGGCAAAGCTGCCGGGTCGCTCACGTTGAATCCCACCGGCAGGGAGCCTGTCTTACTCACAGTCTTCCTCCTCAGGATAATGCTCAACTCATAGGAAGAGTTGACCGTCTCAGAAGCATTCGGCAAGGTCAAGATTAGCCATCTTGTCCCGAAAGTGCTCCGAGACCGCCTTCCGAACGTCATCGGGACTCGCCAACTCGGCCCTCGCACACTCATTCTTGATCTGCCACTCTAGCAGCGCCAACTCGGCCTTCATACTCTGATTTTGAGTCTGCGCATGTTTAAGCGCGTCAAATTTGCTCTTGATCTCGTAACGCAGCTCGTGCAGATGCGCCGAGACTTGGCGCAGGATCCGTTTATGCTTGCGCTGACGCATCGCCATCTCCTCGGCTGCCTTCTTCTGCAGCAAATGGTCGACTGTCAGCCGGATCTCGCGCAGTTCGATCTTGGCGCGCTCGATGGCACCGCGCATGTTGTCGTTCTCCCGCGCGACCTCATCATCTTGAGCCTTCCAACGGGTGACGGTTTGCCAGCGTTGAGAGAGGATGAGCGGTGCGTTCTGAGGGGCAACGCCTGCCACGCGACGGCTCGAAGGGTCGTGCAGCACTTCGAGGATCTCGGCCTCGGTGTAGGGCTTGCGGTAGTCGTCTCCTTCACTGGAGGTATTGGAGGAGAGAGCGGAGCGTTCGGAGCTCGTCTCGAGAGGCGTGACGGGATCGTTGGCCTCGCGGAATTGAATCTTGCGGAAACTGCGGGCTGCAATGGGGTCCATGCGATCAAAGAGACCGAACCACCAGTTACGCATCTTGTGCTTGAGATTCACCCCTGTCAACGTGTCAGCATTTGTTCCCTCACAAAAGCAGTCGAGTGACGCATACCTGGAGGAGTCCAGATGATGGAGGGCTCGGAATCGACAGAGTAACACGGAGTGAGCCATCCGCCATCATTCACGTCTCTCTGGAGCTCAAATGAGACGGCAAGCCTGTCGATGGAGATGCGTCTGTACCTGTCATCAGTTGGCGTCTCAGGGCGCATGCGTTGGGCCTGGGAAACGTCAGCTCTTGTGTCTCTGAATAGCGTCCAAGGGCGTTTTACATCATCCGCCATAAAGACTTGGTTAGCCTTCGGGTCTCCTTCAAAGCAGCCTTCCGCGAGAAGACGGAAGGTGCAGGGCGAGATACGGCCCGAGTCCGGGTCACCTTCGTCATCCGAAATGTCAAATTCCTCGACTGTGATGAGTGAGCAAGTGTTCGGTGGGTAAGTAATAGCACACTTACCGAAATCACGGTCGGGGTCGAAGGGCTGTCTGTACGCGGACTCGGGGACCGAGACCTCAGGGGGTATGTAGTCCTCGAACTTGTATCTCTCGAACTTTGGCGATAAGTGAAGATATCTAGGACGAGGCACCTCGTATGCAGGCTTGCGGTCCGCTTCAGGAGGAGCATACTCTTTTGTAACCATGTTCGCCTCCCTCAGCATCCTGTGTTATGGTCAGCAACAAGTACACCATCATCAGACAGAGACTTCACTTTGCATAGTCTTCGATCTCTCCCTTTTCTTCGGAAACGAGGCAGTGCGACTTGGACGTCCCCTTCTGAGGCGATGTTGGCGCTTGATGGCCCCTACTTGAATTAGCTGGCGTCAGCAATTGAGGTAGGAAAAGACTCACGTTCTATCTTCAACCTCTTCATCAGCATTTTTGACCGTTCTCTTTCCGTATAGAGACCAGTCTGACTGCTGCTCGGGCTTTTCTCCTTGTTCAGTAGCATGGCGAGCCTGGTGAACAGATTCGTTCATGGTCTCGTTCGCCTTAACGACCATCCAATTGCGCAGAGCATCATTGCCAGGAAGCAGCATAGGGCCCCGCATCGCATTGTAAGCGATTACCATCGAGTCTGTCAATTTCCAGGTCTTCTTGAAAGGGTGATTCGCGGAGCAGCCAGGGACTCGAGGGGTCGGCTCATCTGCACCGTAGTCCACCAGGTTGCTCTGGAACATCGACCAGTCTCTCGCTCTCGGAGAGCCAACCATCCTGAAGCTGGCATTCTGTGCAATCGGCTCTGGGTAGAATTAGCAAATGGGTAGAAAATAACAAAATACGGAGGCGACGCGTATCGGAGCAAACGCAGGGATAGGCAGAAAGTGGATTGTGCAAGGGAAACAACAATGAGTGAAACCAAGGGAGTCCAATGGAGGAAACAAAGAATCGACATACCTTTTCGAGACGAGAGCTGGTATGAGGCCGCCGAGGATGTGGAGGAGAAAGCCATCCGATCTTCATCCATCTCATCGAGATCGTAGTGAATTACAGTGTCAGGAGCTGCGCCCATTAGCGTCGCACCTAGTCATACAGAGACGCCGAGACATACTGGAACAACGATTGAGATCTTCCAGATTGTTGTCTTGCTCCCAAGCTCCGTACAGCACCGTTTCCGCGGCATTTTGGGTGAGACCCAGACGATGCAAATCGTGAGGGCCGACGTTGGAAGCCGCTTCGTCAGCTCCGCACTCGATACCCTGCATGTAGTCCTCGGGAATATCAGAGCAATCATAGTCCTGGTACGGAATACGCTCAGAAGAGTATCCGGGAAGGTGGTTTTCGGAGCCACTCTTGTCACCGCGTGTTGCAAGCGTGGTGGTCGATTCGCGCGACGCCTCCTCGATCATTGACAGCTGATGAGGGCTGTGGGCGCGAACTGCTTCAGCCGCGTTGACAAATGCTAGACAACTTATGTTTAGCAATCTCAGGTCTTGCGAAGAGAGGAGATACCCTTCTTCATAAGAAGCAGACTAGGGCTGAGTGACACCTACATGATTGTCCCATCGAGTGGGTGGTTCGCTCCCATCGAGAGACCATGAGGGACAATGTTGTGTGATCTTGGATGGAAATCGATACTCGAGTTCTTTGAGAGAAAAATTGGATTTTTGACGCGAATTCTGTGATGAACGAAATGCAAGGAAGGTGCCAATTGGTAGGAAGTTCGATCTGTCGGTCGAAGCTCCCATGGACTCCAGGAAAGCGTGATATGTCTTTTGTCTGAGAATAAACCTCAAGCAGCCTGTCAAGAAGGTTTGATCCTCCAAAAAATCATCTGGTAGGAAGATGAATAATTGGTGAAGTCCAGAGCGATATGGATGCTTGAGGCAAGTAATGGGAAATGGGCGAATGTGGTGAGGAAGGGTGGGACGTAGAAAAGAGAGTGAGCGAAGAGGGGCAGCAGTGAATTGAAACTACTTTGTTTTCAAGCTTTGTCTGCATATTGATCCCTCTTCTTCCGGTAGAGACTCCTGCCCTTTGGCACTATTAACGACTAATGGTGGGACGAAAAAGGAGCTGGCCATTTGGGTGATGGACGGCGAGCACCAGCATCGTGAAATAAAACTCAGCTGGAATCGGCCCCATATTGAGCAGATTATCCCCAACTTGATGGACTGTTACCCAAGGAGCACATTTCTTGGGCTGGAAATGGTAATGAAAATTACCTGGGCGTCCAACCAGTTGGGATGTGTTTGTGTACTTACTACTCTTCAATGTGTAGAAATCCAAAACCCAAAGATGGTCAAGGCTCTAAAGAACACAGCTTCAAAAACGCCATCAGTTCAAGCATGAACTGTGTGCTCAAGCCAGGGGGCATCTTGCAATTCCAATGTGCAAGCATGGATGTGTACCATTGGGACGCAGTTCATAAATCGCTTTGTCGCACGATGTAGACATAAGTTTGGTGTAAAGGGAATAACTTATTTATGAGAAACCTCCAAAAAGTTTTAGTAGTGCCCCTTCCCATCTGAACGACCTTTGTGCCAAATCATATAATCCCATAATAACAAAAGGCTGGGTAAGCTCGCCAAAAGAGCCCGTCCTCAAGCCAACCACCCTTGATCATACACATTGTGTTGTGTTGGCATGCCCAACAGTTCTGAGGCCAGCCTTTCCAAAATACATAGCTATAGCTTCCATAGTCTCTTATTATCACTTCTTACCCTTGCCCTTTGCTGCAGTGGTCTTGCCCTTGGGCCGACCCCTCTTGGGTTTGGCATCCTCATCCTCGTCCTCGTCCTCTTCCTTGGCCTTCTTCGTGGCCTTCTTAGCTTTGGGTTTAGGCTGCTTGATTAACTTGTCCTTCTTCAGATCGATTTCATCCTCGTCAACCTCAACAGGCTCAACAACATCTGCATCGTCCTCCTCCTCAATCGCCTCCTCAAGGTCAGGTGCTTCTTTGGCGGTCTTCTTTGGCGCCAAAACGTTGCTGGCCTTCATGAAGGGAATAGGGTGAGACATTGCGTTGTAACTGGTATGATGTTAGAATGGTCGAGGTAATGATTGGATGGGGGGCAACTTACGTTCGTGTGAATGCCGCCTTCGTCTTCGATTCGATGTCAACCCGGCCTTCAGCTTGTGGCCCAACGCCCAATTCTTGAATGGCATCGAAATCGTCTCGCGTCAAGTAGTAGCTGTCCATCAGCTGGATGATGTCGTCGACGCAATCCCTGCCTTCCACCGACAAACGACGGATGAGTTGGTCCCACAGCACTGGCAGGTACTGCTGACGGATTTCATTGGCATCGCCGGATGATCTGAGTCTCATATGAGAGTGAAGCTCACGGACGAAGCGGCTCAGTTTACCGGTCTTGCTGTTGTTGCCCAGCCAGGATGTGAAGTTGGAGCCCATGAGCTGGCCAGCAACAAAGCTGGAGGGTCGAACAGTGCTGAAGACAGCGTGTGTGGGCATGAGACTCCACTGCTGTTGGGGTCCATGAATCATACGATCGACCAAGTCACCATCGCTGATACTTTCAGCTGCCTGGTCGACAAGTTCGAGGTATTTGAGATTCTCTTCCCTCTTGTTGTAGCCCTTGTGGTTGAGCGCCATTGGCTTGCTTCGAAGGTAGTTCTCCTGAATCATCAGGTAACTGAACTCGTGATCGTTGAAGTAGAGCTCGATCTTCTCATTCAAGGTGGTCTTGCTGGCCGGTGTGAAGAGACCTCCGGCGAGCATCTTCTGGCAAATATCCCATGGCTTGAGAACAACATGCTTCTCCCAAGCCTTCGTCATCGCCTTGCCTTGATCGTAGTTCATAGACGCTTGGTCGAGCTTCGCTGTTGAGATCATGTTGATGATTTGCCGGATGTCCTTGTTGCTGCCCTCGATCAAAGCATCCACGACCTGGACAGGGAGCTTCAGTCCTTCGCGATGGCAAATTGTCATGATGCGGGACCGCACTTGCTCCACTGTCGGGCGTCTGAATGGTATATCCATTGCAACGAAGTCGAATGGCTTCATCTTCGGCAACTTGCGTTCGTTGCAAATGAGAATGAGGGGGACCTCGGTCTTCTTGCAGAACTTGGCCAGGGCACCAACACCACCGCGATCGCCGGCGGACATTCCGTCGACCTCATCCATGATCAAAACAATATTCTTCTTGACTCCATCAACCTGCTTGCCGTCGCCGGCAAAGTAGCCCATGAGTGATGTGTTATTCATGATGTCGCTCACACCGTTTTCGACAAGTTTCTTGCTGCGAGTGTCGCTGGCATTGCTCTCGATGACATCGAAGCCTTCGAGCTTCGCAGCAAGATGAGCGGCAGTTGTCTTGCCGATACCAGGGGGGCCAGAGATAATGATGGCGCGAGTGCCACCCATTCCATCTGCACCGCGCTTTTGAAAGTCGTACTTCCTTGCTTTTGCCCAGTTTCTAAGCCAGGCCTGGATTTTCTCGACCTGCGATTTGTTGCCGCAAATGTGATTCAGCTGGGTTGGCGCGTACTTGGAAGTCAACAGCTGAACCGGAGCTGCCGCTGGAGTAGTAGAGACAGTTGTGCCACGAGCAGCAGCAGCTTGCTTTGCAGCCTTTTCTGCCGCGGCCTTTCTCGCCTTCTCCTCGCGTTCCATCTCTTCCGCCTGTTTCTTGACGTTCTCCTCTTCCTGTTTCTTCTTCTCTCGAGCCTTCTCGGCACCTTTGCCGCTACCACCGTAGGCTGGGAGCCGCCGAATGAGTTCGAACAAGCCCTCTTCATTGATCGTTTTGATACCGATGTCCTTGATCTTCTTCAGCTTGCTGGGACCAGCGTCGTCTCCAAGCACGACGTAGCTCGTCTTGCTGCTCGGGGCTCCCGTGACCTTTCCGCCGTATTTCTTGACCAAGGCTTGACCCTCCTCTCGACCAATGGTTTGGAGCACACCAGTGAAGACAAACGTTAGTCCGGAGAGACACTCATCCTCGCCCACGGGCAGCTCTGCAGCGCCGGCGTTTGGTGGCGCGACACTGCTGTTGCCACCGCCAGCATTCGCCTTGCGCCAGTCAAACTTGGCATTCGGGTCCCTTGCAGGAGGCGTAGGAGGTCGGACCATGGGAATGTCGTCCAAGATTGACTGGTAAGTAGCATCCTCGGGCTCATCGGCCTTCTTCGCCCTCGGAGCACGAGGCTTTGCTGGAGCTTTCTTCTTTGGCGGCGGTTGCTCTTCCTCATCATCCTCTGATTCCTCTTCAGGAGTCTTGCGCCTCTTGGTGCCGGCGGCTGCCTTGGAGCTCTTGGCCGGGGCCGAACTGGCAGCACTTCGAGAGGCCACACGCTTGGGCTTAGGCAGTACCTCGTCGTCGCTCTCATCCTCTGCGTAATCGTCGTTCTTGCGCTTATTCCGTCCTTTGATATCAGCGGCGAAGATGTCGCCATCGTCATCGTTATCGTCTTCGTCAACGTAGGCATCTGCGTCGTCGTCCGAATCGTACTTCTTGTAAGCTGTAGTGCTGCGCTTCTTTGGCACTGTTGTGCCATTCTTGGATGGCTCCTCGGTGGGCTTCGCGGCAGTTTTCTTGGTGCGTGGGCTTGTCCGGACTTCCGTTTCGGTCTTCACTTTGCTCGTCCGGTCGATCTTCGGCGAGGATGCGGCCTTCGAAGGCTTGGCTGACTTAGAGGATGCAAAATAGTCGCTGGCGGTAGTCTCTGTGCCCTTGATTTCTTCGTTCCTTCCAAATCGGTCAGCTAAAATCGATTATCGATCACTGGTCCTCGTACTTGATCCTCTTCTTCTCAGCAGCCTTCGCTACCGGCTTTCTGGCAGACATTTAGTACAAACTTCAACAGAGCAGACTTCCGGTTTCTTACGGTGCAGGTGCAGGTTCGTCATCGTCGTCACTGTCTTCGACGACCTTTCTGCCTCTCCGACTCTTGGGCGGCTCCTCGACCTTCTTTGGCGCGGGCTTGGGCGGTGCACCTCCCTTTGGCCCAAAGAAGGACCTGATGTCCGCAGGCATTGTGATTGTGGTACGTTTTGCAGCACGAGTTGATCAATTGATCGCAGTGAACGGTGTTTCGGGGTGTAAAGTAGTTGTTGCGGCGCTGCTGCCTAAGAAACGTGAGGAGTTGTCGGATGACCGAGGCGAGTATGACTTCCTGCCTGGCGTTCGAGACGGGAAAGCGTGCCCGTAATCGATTTCATACGCGAAAGTGACGCGAGGTCCGTGACCCCCGGTCGCCCATTCCATTTAAGCACGAAGGTGGGGTGTGGCTGAAGGAGAGCTTGGGCCCCATAAAAAGCAGGCGCCCAAATTCTCAGGCCAGATCAGCCACACCCTTGCTCCCCGGGCCATGGAAGCTAGGTAGGGTCATTTTTTTGGGATCACATCGTCAACCACGTTCAGCGGCAAGTCGCAACCATGAGGCCAAACGCTCCCACGGCGCTTCTCAGCGCCTTCCAAGGCCTCAGAATCTCCGCAGCACCGTCCGTCACGCCATTTGGTGCTGTGGCTCGACCCCAATTGGCCAAGCCGCTGGTCGCATCACAAATTCTCCGCGATGTCCGCCCATTCTCCTCGACGACCGCCAGGCAAGGCAACTGGCTCGAACCAGCGATCGACCGAACGAAGAAGATGATGAAGGGCAGGCCTCGCGTGGCAACTGGAGGATCAACAAAGGGAACGACGGTTATCTGGGGCGACTATGGCCTTCGCATGAAGGACCACCACCGAAGAATCAGCGCGAAGCAGCTCAAGAATGCCGAAGACACCATCAAGATGAGATTGCGTGGTCAGAAGTACCGTCTGTACAAGAGGGTCTGCTGTAACGTTGGCGTCTACATGTCTGGAAACGATGTAAGGAAGCCTCGGAAACTGGGATTTGGGCAGTTGCTAATACCATGGGTCAGATGCGTATGGGTAAGGGAAAGGGTTCTTTCGATCATTGGGCTGCGCGTGTGGCAGTCAACCAGATTGTTTTCGAAATCAAGGGAATGCTCCACGAGGCTGTAGCCAAGGATGCATTCCGTCTGGCCGGCAACAAGCTGCCTGGTGAGTAAATGTCGCATCGTGTGAGGAGAGATTCGGGCTGACTTGTAATCAGGCCAATGGGAGTTTGTTCACAAGGGAGAGGCACCGGTTGTTGGTATTACCAAGCTGGACGGTGTTACGTTGGAAGAGTTGAAGAGACCGAGAAAGCAGATTGCGCCTAAGGATTTGCTGGCTGAGGCTTCTTCCAAGCCTACGAGCGCATCTTCTGCCAGCTCACCTTCTGCTTAACTTTATGGAGCAGTCTGTCTGTATCATATACCCATTCCCATGAGATATCCGAGATTATGATAGGAATGGCTGTACTATAGATCACCATGTGTAAGAGGCAGCGTGGTATCGTAGTTGTACAACACAGAACAACATCTGCCTCAACAATCCTTTCATGGCTCTGTAAACAAGACAAAAGTTCAATCACTTAGACTATAACGCAACAAATGGGTATTCTTGCATGCATTTCTCGGGGAGCGACGTCGCGGGTATGAATTTGGCTAGCTCATGTGGCACAGCCAGTGCAGTGGGTGATGGGCCGGGCCGGGGGGAGTCGGGTCCGGTGGGCGAAGCACGGGCCATTGTCCACCAGCCACACTTTGGATTTTCCACTTAACGCGACTACGCCAGTCAACGCGTCTTCTACCCCAGCGCATCATCGCCAAAAAGTCCACGACTCAATCGGCCGCACTGCAGAACCAGAAGCAGCGAAGACAACGTCGGAACAACCGCAATGGCCCTCATCGTCGACAAACACAGACCGCGGTCGTTAGACGCCCTGACGTATCACCAGGAACTGTCAGATAGGCTTAGTTCGCTGGTACGTCATGCACACTCGACAGCTCCTCCGCATCGGCTGACAGGTTACAGGCACAAAGCGGCGATTTCCCCCATCTGCTGGTGTACGGTCCCTCGGGCGCGGGCAAGAAGACACGAATCGTCGCGACACTCAAAGAATTGTACGGACCCGGTGTAGAGAAGATCAAGATCGACGCGCGAGTTTTCCAGACTTCGAGCAACCGCAAGCTCGAGTTCAACATCGTCGCCTCCAACTACCACCTCGAGATCACGCCGTCGGACGTCGGAAACTATGACAGAGTCGTGGTGCAGGATCTCTTGAAGGAGGTGGCGCAGACGCAGCAGGTGGACCAGTCGGCGAAGCAGAGGTTCAAGGTCGTGGTCATCAACGAGGCGGACCACTTGACAAGGGACGCACAAGCAGCCCTGCGTCGGACGATGGAGAAGTACTCTCCCAACCTGCGATTGATCCTCCTCGCGAACTCGACAGCCAACATCATTGCGCCTATCCGATCGAGAACGCTGCTGGTCAGGGTTGCGGCGCCAAGCCATGAGGAGATCTGCGAGGTGCTGGCGGTTTCGGCGAAGAAGGAGAACTGGCCCATGGTCAAGGGCCTGCACATGAGGATAGCCGAGGAGAGCGGCAGGAATCTGCGACGAGCCCTGCTGATGTATGAGGCCGTTCACGCTCAGAAGTACGTCACACCCAAGGGTTCATGTCAAGCACCAGCTAACCAAATAACAGCGAGAAAGTTACGGACAGCACACCAATCCCGCCCCCAGACTGGGAGGCGCTGATCAGCCAGATCGCGAGGGAGATCATCGAGGAGCACACCCCGGCACGGATTCTCCACGTACGAGCAAAGCTGTACGATCTCCTCACGCACTGCATACCGCCGACAACGATCCTCAAGACCCTTACTTTCAAGCTGATCCCGTTGATCGATGACGCTCTGAAGGCCGACGTGATCAAGTGGTCGGCATTTTACGAGCACCGTATCAAGATGGGTACCAAGGTCATCTTCCACCTGGAAGCCTTCGTAGCCAAGTTCATGAGAATCATGGAGATGTACTTGATGAGCATGGATTTGTAGGCAAGCAAAGGTACATTTGGAGGCGTTCAGGGGTTATTTGGGCGGATGTTCTGTGGGCAACATTAATGTATTGGACCAGTGGAAAAATTCTAACACAATGACCTGTTCCCTTGATTTCATGATCGCGATCGCACATTTCCAGCGATTCCGGTTGCTTGTTTCGGTTTATGTTCGCGATGGCCGGATACGTGATTTTGCTGCGTTCCGTTTATTGAGCTCCCGTTATGCCTCGAAACCTGGACTTGAACTCACCCAACTAAACCAAACACGAGACAAAGGCGCGCAAGCTTGTACTCGTACAATCGACACCCTTCCATAGATTTGCAGGGTCAGTGTGAAATTACTGGACTCATTAAGCGTATTGTTAACTCTGTTATTTTGAGCTCAAAGTCCCCGGCATTGTGAATCTTTGACTTCATCTCCTTGACTCTTACACCGGTACTGTTGCGAGCACGAGATGGCAAGGTGTCTTTAGCATCTAATATCTATCCGCTCACTCTAGCATTTTAGCAAAAGATAGCTAGTAATTAGTTCAGTATCGACTTCTCAATGCAAGAGTGAGGCCATCTCAGCAAACAGATGACCCCACATCCAGCCCAGCCCGCACAAGTCACAAAACAACCAAAAAATGAATCTCAGACGAGGTTCCAAGGACCAACCGCGGTTCGAACGCGGGGCCTAGAGATAGTTTGCTGCTGAGAAGCTGCAATCTCTCGCTCTACCACTGAGCTATCGATCCAGATGGCTTGATGGGGATTAGTCATCGATGGCTTGCTGGGTCGCAGTCTCAGTTCATGGAGACTGCGCATGCAGAAGCGAGGGGGAAAACGAGTGGGCATCGTCAGTGGTGGGGCGGGACCCTGGATTCGGAATGTGTAACGTAAAGGCAACGGCGGGAGGAGTCACGGTGGCACAACACACACACACACAAAAGGCAAAAAAATGCGAGAGGAGGGGGCTTGAGGATGTCATTTGAACGCAAATTTGAATTGGTCTCCCAGTGCAAGATCCTTCAGCTCCATCAACAACCTAGGGCTATGTTAATTAATGTACAGGGCGAGGCCAGTCTAAACACAACGCTAGAGTTAGATACCCAGGGTGAACTCGACGCCGACGTCAATGTCGCGAGCTAGTAGTTCCAGTCAGCACGGTTCACAGAATTTGATGTCACTAGGCGGGGACCAAGAAAACTTACCCATCTTCACAACCTTGGAGAGTTGCACGGCCTTCTCGGCGGCAGTCTGGAGGTCGTCGATGGCGAAGATCTTCATGCCGGAGTTGCTGATAATCTCCTGGGCGGCCTCCATGTTGGTACCCTGCAGACGGGCAATGATGGGGATCTTGAGGTTGAGCTCCTTGACGGTGTTGATGAGACCGTGGGCGATGAGGTCGCAGCGGACGATGCCGCCGAAGATGTTGACGAAGATGGCGGTGACCTTGGGGTCGCTGGTGATGAGCTCGAAGGCCTCCTTGATGGCGGCGGGGGTGGCACCACCACCGACGTCGAGGAAGTTGGCCGGGGCGCCCTTGTTGAGCTTGATGATGTCCATGGTGGCCATGGCCAGACCGGCACCGTTGACGAGGCAGCCGATGTCACCGTCGAGCTTGATGAAGTTCAGGCCGGACTGGGCGGCGCGGACCTCGTCGGCGTCCTCCTGGGTGGTGTCGCGCCAGGAGAAGATCTCCTTCTGGCGGTAGTCGGCGTTGTCGTCGAAACCGAACTTGGCGTCCATGCACAGAACCTTGTGGTCAGAGGTCTCGGAGAGGGGGTTGATCTCGATCTGGGTGGCGTCCTTCTCGGTGAAGATCTTGTAGAGCTTCTGGATGGTGTCCTTTGCGTCCTCGACGCACTGCTCGCTGAAGCCGAGCTTAACGGCGATGTCGCGGGCGATCTCGTCGGTGACACCCTTGTGGATATCGATGTTGGTGGTGATGATGGCGTCGGGGTTCTCCTTAGCGACGGTCTCGATATCCATACCTCCCTGGGAGGAGGAGACGATGACGGGGGCCTGGGTGGCGCGGTCCATCAGGATGGCGAGGTAGAACTCGCGGCGGGCGAACTTGCGCTCGCAGATGAAGACGGAGTTGCAGAGACGGCCGCCAGCGCCGGTCTGCTTGGTGACGAGCTTGTGGCCGATCATCTGCTCGGCGAACATCTCAGCCTCATGAGCCGAGTAGATGACGCGAACACCGCCCTTGAGGCCGTTGTCGAAGGTACCCTTTCCACGTCCACCGGCCAGAACCTGGGCCTTGATGACCATGTCCTCACCACCAAGCTCCTTTGCGATGGCCTTGGCCTCGGCAGCGTTCTTCGCGACGGAACCCTTGGGGACACCGACTCCATACTATTTCTCGAGAAGAAGCGACAGAAGTTAGCTGCTGTTGGAGGCTCGTTGAAAACCTGGCGAAAAGGAGAGTGGGGCTATCGCGGGATGTTTTACCTGGCGCAGGAGGTCGGCGGAGAGGTACTCGTGGATGCTGAGGTTTCTCCTTTGCTGAGCAAAACCGGGAAGTCTGGCAGCAGGGGCGGCGACCCTGGGGATGGCAGAAGCCAAGCGGCTGCGTCCAAGCTTGAACATGGCGAAGATGTGGTGTAGATGGTTTCGCGGTGGGAGGAAGAGAAAGGAGATGACGCCCTTTCAATTAAGCCGGACTGGAGTGGAGATGGTCCAGATGGAGGAGAAACAAGAGAAAGGCGCTTTCGCAGAAGAAAAGGCCGGGGGAAAAGAAAACAAGGACCAAGAAGTCCAAGAAGGGGTGCGATGTGATGCAATTGGGGCTTCACGGGAAAAGCGCTATCAAGATAATCTCCAGCAGAAAACCAGAGGTGTCTGGCCCGCGGGAATTCCCGGTCCCGACTGGCTGTTTTTCGCCCGGAACAAAGCTTCGACCGAAGCGAGACAGCTGTCCTTGGGACGCTGAACCGAGCACCACGGTAAAGGGACGCGCCGCCGCTTTATGACCTGGAGGCGCTGTTGTTTTAGGTCGAAGTAGAATAATTGCTTTTGGAGCTCAGTACACAAGAAAAAATCCGAAGAAATTCGGAAAATTCAGACTTACTCTCTAAAATTCCAAACAGTCAGCATTTTATTATAGCAGAATAGTTCTTCATAATAGAATTGATCCATAGCTTTCTTCTTACCGCAACCTGGAAACGCCGTAAAGCAGCGGCTGACTTGAGGCCGTGGCCCGAGCTCCCGGATCGTCCCTGCAGTCACTGACAGCGAGCTGTGGCCCGTGCATCTGTCACCACGTGCAGCTTCTGCAGGCTGAGGTGCGTTGGCGCAACTTTCTCCAACTCGTACGTCACTTCCAGGCGTTGGAGATGCAGCATTCGAAATGCAAGGAGTCTGATTGAGGCCTTGAAACGACTTACATAAACAACATCCGCAGCCCTTCTTCATGGCCCATCCCGATATCCATATATGCACAGCGTCGAGTCCTTAGCGAGTCCTCAGTCCTCACTTGCTTCCCTCATTCGCCCACGATGGCGTTTGCTTCGATGAAGCGTCGCTGTGAAGCGCAGATGATTAAACTAACCCATATTAGCAAGGAAATCAAGTATGAGGACCAAAAAAGCGACACTCACAAACGAGAGAATTCAAAGCCCTGGCTGAAGCAATCGGCACAGGCCATGCCATGACCCGTCAGGAACCGCCCTTTTGAGAATAGCAATTGAGAGATGGCTGCTGGCCTTTGAACTATCGACTAGTTGGAAAAATCGACCAAAACCGACAGTCGTGGACCAAGACATAAACTGGAGGTGTCTCGATCGCTAGATGCTCCATTAGTCTCATACTCAGCATGAGGGTTAGCAAGATCCCAATGACCACGGATGTCACCATCCATGGCGCCAGATACCGGCTTGCGCTGCTGGAAAGCCACCAGTCGTTGGTCTCTTCGTGCAGCTGGATCAAGGTCGACAATGAAATGGATGCTGCGGAGTTGATCCTCTCTTTCACTACGGCCATTCGCGAAAACATCCAACGAACCCCGGGCCTGATGATTGATAGCTTGGCCGTCTTTACATCGACTGAGACGGCTATACTGGTACTCTTTTCATTTGGTGGCTGCGCGTACCGGGAGAGCTGGTAGCAGGAGTACACACAGTTGAGCTGCTTATCGTATGTCTTGATCAACTCTTCTAGTGCAGAGGGCTGCTTGAAGGGATTGGGTGACGTCGGCACTCTCCATTCGCCTGGGAAACTGTATCGCGTCGGGGCCGTCTGGACTGGCCAGCGAGATTGCTGATACTGGAACATGACGTTTGAGAAGCGATCTGGCTGGAGAAGCTGTGAGTTGCGTTTCTGGGAGATCGACTCGCGAGTTTCCCTTCTGTTTCGATCCGCGCATCGACGGAGAGGCTGTTGATGGCATCTTAAGTCGGAAGCGTCATATAACAGGCGGTGCAGAGAAGTCCATGATCACAAACTTTCGAAGATGAGAGAGCTGCGCGCGAAAACGAGGGTAGTTTGTTGAAGCATATGGAAACATCAAGGCTTGTCGTTGTTAGATGCTGACCTTCACGCACCAACCAGAGGAGGGCATGACTTACTGACGATGATGTGTGGGGCAGCCATCTCATACCTTAGTTGACAGAACGACTATGAAAGGAAAAATGATGAGACGGAGCAGCGCTTGACACCGACATTGGGATGAAAGATGCATTGCACAGGCTTCCCTGGCTGCGGCTTTGGGACGAGAAAAAGGACCCCTGTCCCGGTCTTGGACTATCTCATGTTGTCTTAACCACACTTGTCGCCTTTGTTTTCAGAGAAATATCGACAAGTTACGAGATATGAAAACCAAGAATCTTACCTTCAAAGGGTCAGAAAGAGAAAGAAGAAGATTTCTTCCTCTCAAACCTCGACTCGAGACCATATATCACCGAGTCGCTGAGGTGCAACACTAGCTGTGGTGATCAGGCCATTTCACTCCGCATACCACCCCGAGATCCTCCACCCGCCACATCTGTCGGCCCAGCATGGAGACCCTTCGGCTATTGCGATTCTCGGATGAAGGGCGTCCAGAACGGAGGATCCACCTTGAGGCTCAACGGCATGTCGTTCCCGTCCGGGCATTCGTAGAAAAAGGTTTCTGGGTCCCCGTGGCGGACCCTGGCCACGGGAATAGCGTTCTCATGCACCTCTCCCGTTTCCACCAGACACCTTCTTGATTTTTTTTCTCCTTCCCTCTTGCATCCTGGCGAGAGGAGTGCCCTTCCCGGGCGGACACATCCCGAACGCTTGTCCTTATCTGCCAGGGGCTAAAGTTATGACGCGACTGTGATTTGTCGGGATGTTTGGGTCTCGAACCGGCGTGGACTACTTTCGGGTTCAATGGTTGGTACAAGACGGTCATTTCTTCTTGCCACTGATTTCCGAGATTTCTCGCACCCGATACTTCATCGCCGAGCATATGAAAAGGTCGAACACCTCAGGACTTTTCGATTTGTTGACGAGACGCGTCCAGGAGCCTGTACGTACCTCTGGTTTCAACAACATGAGATCGGCCGGATGATCCGCAGCTTGCACCGGGTCGCATCAGTGACTTCCAAGACGGCGTCGCATCTGCAACACAACAACCCAAACTCAACGAAACAAAACAAACGGCACTAGAGCGTCTTCGGAACATCACGAAGCCTCGATGAAGGACGAAAAACTGTTGTTTCCATGACGGACTGGCTCCACAGTCGTATGTCGAACCTAGGAACTGTCGAAGAAAAGCGGGCTCCAACATTGCGAGGCTTCTCCGACGCACTCCCGAGACATGGTGATGCGATTAGCGAAGGTGACTAAACCAGTACGTACCATCTTTTTGGTCTTCTTGGGGACTGGCTGCCTCGAAATTCTTGCGACTAACAAATACCACAGACTAAGATTTTTCTCTCTTCCCTGGTCGTCTTGAAGAACATCCTTTCCCTTTGGAACGAGAGACTATCACGGGCTCAGGCGAGCCTGCGAAGGATTCATCAGCGCTGACCGCAATCTGAAAGGCGTTGGCAAGTGAGACCCGATGCTGTGGCACAACGGCCGGACGTGCGCCGGCGGCGGCAGCTAGACACAGCTGAGGGCTAGGCAAGTGCCCGGTCGAGATTTTCCTGCAGGTCGTATGGATACAAACACTTATCTGGGCCTCGAGGCTTGCGAGCGCAAACCGCGTCCAGTCAGCTTCACATGCAGTCATGGGTACACGACCAAGGGGTCCCACAAGCTCGTTCTCCTCGACCATGGCTCGGCGCCGCTACGGTCTGCTCTCGGGGGTCGCCTTTTCTCGTGGGTATAAAGATTCACCGGCCCCCCTTTCCGGGAGGCCTGTTCCCGCTTCCGTTGGTCTCTGTTCTTCAGTCTGATTCTCGCCTTCCCTCGTGAGGGCTTCTCGTTTTGTATTTAAGGGGTCATCGTTCGACCTTTGCCAGTCCAGTCGTCCTCTGCTTATACCCACCCCAAATCTAGAGCCTGGATTCGATCCTCTGGTCCCTTGATCCCTTTCCACTCTCTTGACTACACGTCTCTCTGACACTCGCACATCTCGTCGGTCTTCACCTTCATTACCATCACGATGTCTTCAGATCAACAAAAGCCTCTCAGCTGGTGGAAGCGCCACTGCACTCCTCCCCCGGCAATCAACCGAACTCCCCAATGCCCATGCTCTGCCTGCTGGAACGGCAACGGTGAGCACTGGAAGACGACCGAACCGCAGACCGCTGCCCCAAGCACGACGACCCCTCCTCCAACAAAAGAGACACGAACAGCCACTCTCCGCCGAGAAACAGAGACAGATCTTACGCCCCTCCGCCGGGAAGAAACGTCCTCGACCACGAACCTCAGCGTCTACTCCCAAGAGAGCAGGTCCAGCTCGGTCTCACTCACCAATATTCACCGCCTCGTCCGGGGGAAGGAAATCGTCTAAGTGAGGGGTCGTGGTTCACTCAGCCGTGGCTTGCACCAGCATCTAGGGCCACGTACACTGCCACCTCCAAAGGAAGCAGCTTGGCGTCTAGACCGGTTCTCTCCTGCTTCTTTGTTCGATAACGGGCGGCCACCACCAACATTTCAGGCGGGTTGGGATGGACGAAAGTGAATGGGAATGGGCGAAACCCCCTCAGAATCCTGTGTGACCCCGGACCGCCAAGAAGCTGACTCTCATAAGAGTGTTCTGGGCGCAGGATGTCGACAGGTTGGACCAGCCAGTTTTAGGGTTTGAGATGCAGATAAGGGGTCCTTGGGTTGCAGTCTTTGCACGGTTTGGGACGCGCCGGCGGGCGCCGCAGCGGGGGAACTGTCCCGTTGGGTTGGTGCGAAGTCGTAATCCTGGGGAAGCGAGGACCTGGGGGAGGGGTAGCTTGCGGCGCGTGGTTGGCGTTGCTGGGAAGCTGGGCTTGGAAAAGTTGGGGGAAAAGTTGGGGTATCTGAAGGCCTAGACCAGGGACCGTCTGGTTCCCGCATGTCAGCCAGTCAGGCGGGACAAGAGATTGGCAAAACTCATTTGCCCTGGCTGGTGGCAGTTAGCGGGAATCGTGACCCGGAACGATATGCCTCGAGACAAATGTCTAGCTAGGGACGATGATGATAGTGGGCCTGAGAAAGCGATTCGGAAGCGCTCTGGTGTTTTAGGCGAAGAAAAGGACTGGATAAGGTGTTCCTGTTCGATTGCTGGATATGGTTTGATAGTTTTGTCGTTCGCGGTGTCATAGGAACTCTAATCGAGATACTTGGCATCATCCTGAACTGGTCTTGTGAACAACTCGTGTGACCAACAGACATGTCATGACCGGAGCAAATCGGCCACATCACGGCGCGGACTCGGAGACGGCAGACCCACCTGCATAACGGGGCCGAGTCACTCGCCCACCCAGCCGGGAATAAGCAAAATGAAGCACACATTGGCCAGAATGGTGCAATACGTCGAGCTGCGGGAAGAGCAAACGTCCGGTGGTGTAGACAAAACGTTCACATCTCATAACACCTTCTGACATGACCACAAGCTGTAAAAACAAAACACCAAGGACCGACCGCGGTTCGAACGCGGGGCCTAGAGATAATTGCTGTTCAAGAACTGCAATCTCTCGCTCTACCACTGAGCTATCGATCCAAGTGGCTGTGGAAGCTGAACGAGATGACGGTTTGAAAGCTGATGACTCGATGGAATGAGGACACCGTGGAAGCAACCGCAGCGGTTGGGGTTTGGTGGGGCCGTGGAACATGCGGGCCGCTGAATGTGGAGGCCGGGCGTGGCTGCTGCTGCTCTACGTCACTTAGAGCTCATCCAATGTGTGGCTCGGGAGGGTAGATGTATGCTTAAGTTGAGCGCATCTCATGAGGATAACCCTCCCTTTCGCAAATTCAACTTTTCAAGTTAGACTGTTTCTTCACAATGGCTCCGAATGTTGATCCTGCAATAATCGAGGCTCTCAAGCTCGACCCCGAACAGACCAAGATAGCGTCACACGGCGCATCCGGATTTGCGTCATCGTTCAAGCTCACGTCCGTCGTTGATGGTCAGCCCACCAACTTCTTTGTCAAGACCGGCTCTGGGAAAGATGCGGAAGTCATGTTCACAGGTAATTCAGGCTCATTTTCGGAACAAATCCGTCTGGTCGATGCCAGTGTTAGTCCTAACAGATGACAGGTGAACATGAATCGCTAAACGCGATTCACAATGCCGTCCCGAATTTCTGTCCCAAGTCGTACGCCCACGGGCAGTATCAATCATCACCCGGCAAATACTTCATGGTCACGGATTTCCTGGATCTCGGTTCGTCGGCGTCGGGCGGTTCTGGGCTCTCCCTGGCAGCGAAGCTTGCCAAGCTGCACACGACTCCGGCACCGATCCCGGAAGGGTTCGATAAGCCCATGTACGGATTCCCCGTGACAACGTGTTGCGGATCGACGCCTCAAGACAACTCTTGGAAGGAGACGTGGGCCGAGTTCTACGCCGAAAACAGGTTACGCAGCATCCTGCGCGCCGGGATCAAGAACAACGGTTCGGACGGGGAACTGTCAAAGGCCGTGGAGACGGTAGCGAGCAGGGTCGTCCCGCGGCTGATCGGCGACGACCACGTCAAGGGGATGAAGCCGGTGGTGATCCACGGCGATCTCTGGAGCGGGAACCACAGCCGGGGCCAGATCGCCGGGAAGGGCGGCGCGGAGGAGGTCGTCTACGACTCGTCGGCCGTGTACGGGCACTCCGAGTACGAGCTGGGCATCATGAAGATGTTTGGCGGTTTCGGCGGCAGCTTCTGGAACGAGTACAACAAGCTGGTTCCCAAGGCGGAGCCGAAGGAGGAGTGGGAAGACAGGGTTGCGTTGTATGAGTTGTAAGTGCCATCTTCGTTGCCTGGTCAACTATCCGTCTAACTGAAGCGTAGATATCACCACCTCAACCATTATGCGATATTTGGCGGGGGATACCGGAGTGGAGCGATGGGTATCATGAAGAAGCTGATTTCGAAATACGGCTGATTAGTCTTCGAACTTTGCTTTCTATCTTACCTATGCAGAAGCTCCAGGGTCGCTGAACTGAATTCGAGGACCACCCATAGTGCATAGTGAAGGCCGGCCCGCGCCGTCGAGAGCGCTAGCGGGCACGCAAACTTGACGGGGCATTGATTAGTTTCAGGAACAATGCGTCTGTCAATGAAATTTCGATACACGTTTTTTCTGTACCCTCTCGGGTCTTTTCCAGCGCGCTCTGTCACACGACGTTGGGGAAAAAATGTCCGTGGTGTCGTCATGTCTGCCGTCTGATGTTTCCGTGTGATTTTACCGCAGTCATTAGGGATTCACATGCCAGGGGTTGCCCTGAAACCGAGCCTAATTTGACCCCTGATTGGGGAAGCATTCACGGACCATCTATTCATCCGGCGCATTCGCACCGCTGGAAAGCAAGATTAACAGCGCATGGCACAGGGGATTTTGATCACAAGGGTTGATCTGGTCACTTCCCAAATCCCATTCCCCGTTGCCAACTCCGATAGCCACCAGTCGCCCCTTGTAGCTGCACCAACGACGTCTGGCCTTTTCTCTATTTTTTTCTGGGAGGAATGACAATGTCAACATAGAACACACATACGCTCTTCGTCGCTCCCTTTAGATTTTTGCCTCATACGTCGCCGTCACAACCATGAACGGCCACTTTGCTGCTGTCGGTGACGAGCCGGACGCTCAGAACTACGAGCATGGCATCCAAGTCATTGACGACCAGAAAGACTTCAAGTACGACTTTGCACCCAATCCACCACATCTCTTGGGGGGACACCAGCTAATTTGCGATTTCCTAGTGTCGCGGTCAACCAGTATTTGCAAAAAGTCCACGTCGCCGAGGCGGGGTTTAACTATCACCTCATCTCCGTCTTCGGATCCCAGTCCACCGGCAAGTCGACGCTGCTGAACAACCTATTTGGTACCGACTTCTCCGTCATGTCAGAAACGATGCGACAACAAACCACCAAGGGTATTTGGATGTCCAAGAACAAAAAGGAGTCGGCGGGCATGGCGGAGAACATCCTTGTCATGGACGTTGAGGGTACCGACGGCCGCGAGCGCGGCGAGGATCAAGATTTCGAGAGGAAGAGCGCCCTGTTTGCCCTGGCTACGAGTGAGGTTCTCATCGTCAACCTCTGGGAGACACAGGTCGGTCTGTACAACGGTGCCAACATGGGTCTTCTGAAGACCGTCTTCGAGGTCAACCTGCAGCTCTTCCTCAAGGACAAGCAGTAAGTCGCGTGTGCATGGTGCAGACAGACCGCCACTTGCTGACATGCCACCTCAGGTCGAGCCTCAGATCCCTGCTCTTCTTCGTCATTCGAGACCACCTTGGCACCACGCCCCTCGCGAACCTGCGCAACACTCTGATCCAGGACCTGACCAAGATCTGGACGTCCATTTCCAAGCCCCAGGGCCTCGAGAACTCGCGCATCGAGGACTACTTCGACTTCGCCTTCGCCGCCCTCCCCCACAAGATCCTCCAAGCCGATAAGTTCACGACGGAGATCCAGAACCTGGGGAAGAGGTTCGTTGCGGGGCATCGTTCGGGTGGATCCACCAGTCAGGAGTTCGAGGGCGGTGTGTTCCTGCCAGAGTACCACCGCCGCATCCCCGCAGATGGATTTTCGATTTACGCCGAGGGCATCTGGGACCAGATTGTCAACAACAAGGATCTCGATCTGCCGACGCAGCAAGAGTTGCTTGCTCAGTTTCGTTGCGATGAGATTTCCCGCGAGGTGTTGATCGGTTTCGACCAAGCCGTCGTGCCGTTGGAGGAGAAGCAGACCGAATCCGCCCGAGCCGGGAAGCCTGCGGTTCTATCAGAGCTTGGTGTTACTGGACGCGAATCCCGCGAGAAGTGCTTGAAGGCTTTCGAAATCCAAGCTAGCCGATACCATAAGGGTGTGTACACGCGCAAGCGCCAGGACCTCGAGGGCAAGATCGACGCCAGGCTTAAGACGCTTTACAACGCACAGCTGTCCGCTGCGCACAAGTCCGGTATCACGTCCTTCAGCGATGCAGTGTCCGGTGCTGTCAAGGCTGGTCAGAAGTCCGGCGCCGCCTACGAGTTCGCCGAGATCGTCGCCGAGGAGAAGAAGAAAACCCTTGAACTTTTCAAGACCGAAGCTGAGAGCCTTGCGATTCCGGGCGTGGCGTGGTCGAACTTCAAGTCGCAGTACGTGCTGTTCGAGAAGGAACTCGACGATGTAAGCGGCAAGCTGCGCAAAGAGGAGATGCGTCGGTTGGCTACGAGAGTAGAGCGATGGGTCAAGTCTCGATTGGGTGATGCCATTGGGCTCGAATTCAACAAGTTGGGCTCCGGCAGGGCTGGATCGGGTGCGCCTGAGACGGGTGACAAGCCCTCAGAGAAGGACCTCTGGGACCGTATCTGGACTGTCTTCGTCGATATCGTCAAGGATGCTCAGAGCAGGTTTACCGACCGTGCCAAGAGCTTCGAGGCTACCCAGGAGGAGGTTGACATTGGTCTCTGGCGCCTCAGGCGCAAGAGCTGGGTTGCCCTTCGCGAGAAGATTGAAGAGGAGGTGATGGAGGGCAACATTCTGTTGAAGTTGAGGGAAAACTTTGAGGACAAGTTCAGATATGATGAGGCGGGCGTGCCCAGGATATGGCGACCTACCGACGATATCGAGGGCATTTACACAAAGGCGCGCGAGTCTACACTGACTCTCATCCCTCTGTTATCGAAGTTCAAGCTGTCAGAGAGTCTCAGCCCTCCCGACTTGCCGTCTTGGATCGGTGGACAGCCGCGCGGTGTCGAGGCCAGCGATGAGGAGGATCTTACTCCGATTGGCGGCGTTGATGAAGAGGACGGCAAGAGTCTCGAGGAGGAGATGACGGTCCTTAGCGAGAGCAAGCGCCAAGACCTTGTCATCAGATTCAAGAAGACCGCGGATGGCGTTTACGTCGAGGCCAAGCGCAGCGCCATTGGCGGTGTTGCTCAAGTGCCCCTGTACTTTTATGCCCTGCTCGTTGCCTTGGGATGGAACGAGATCGTTGCTGGTGAGTACTCCACGATACCGACTTTCAGAATGATGCTAACGTGAAGACAGTCCTGCGCAACCCGTTCCTCTTCATTTTCCTCATCTTGTTGGCTGGAGGCACTTACGTCGCCTACACGCTGAACATGCTCGGTCCTATGTACCAGATGGCCAATGCGGCGGCCAACCAAGGTGTCGAGATTGGCAAGCAGAAGTTGCGGGAGTTCATTGAGAACTCGGACACAGCCCGCCAGGCGCTGGCCATGCCCTCCCGACAAGACAGCTCCATCAGCATGGATACGCTGGACAGTCGAGGCAAGAAGAAGGCCTCGGAAGACGATATTGATGACATTTAGATTTGTAGCCATGAAAGCCGAAATGAAGCGGTCCAGACGCTGGCCATTAAGCCAAGGAGTAAGAGTAGGAGTAAAGGATATAATGTCTATAAGATACGTTACAGCTATCCTGCCAAGTTTCCATGGTGATCCTACATGATGCAAACGCCGAACGCCGCTCCTGAGTGATATACATAAATTTCAGAACGCCTCAAGCCCTGCTGGTCTTCCAAACCAGGTTCCCAATTCATCGCCATCCTCCTTGTCTGCCGACGTGAAGAAATCAGTCATACGAGCCTCGCCGTCGTCGTCAACCGGCCAGTCCACCTTCAAGTTGCCCTTGGCCTCGAGCATGTCCTTAGCAGTGCCCCAGCTAAACCGGCATTCGGGACCCCATCCAAAAACGGGGTGCATGTTCCCCCTCATCCAAGATACACATCGTTGATCAGAAGGGTACCCGGATCCCCAAGCCATACCTTCCTCCGTCTCAGCTGCCTCGGGCGCACGCGCGCGGTACAGGACCTCAAGCGCGGCGTCACGGGTGACCTTGGCAGCGACGGAAGCCGCCGAGACGCAGGGGTACAGACTATCGGCCTTCTTCGCGACGGTGATCTTGGTCGCGGGGAAGAAGCGCTGCAGCTTGGCCTGGTACGCGGCCGGCTGACCGACGGTGTCGACGTAGATCTCGGCGATGTTGACACCCTGGGCGAAAACGCCCTTGATGAGGTCAACCGTGGCGTCCATGGCCTGCGCATTGAGGTTGTACGTCGCGCCGGGCCGGAGCATGCCCGTCGATATGTCACGGGCTGAGAGGGAGCGGGTGGCGAAGCCGCAGGACTCATAGAGGTCGGAGCCGGGCTTGCAGACAGCCTCCATGAGCCTCGAGCGCACGGCGGGCGTAAGCACCTTTGAGTCGTCGAAGTGGTGGGTTTCGCGCAGGAGGGGGTCCGAGAGGGGGATGGGCAGGTAGAAGACGCCGTAGACCATGGGGCCGAGCACGGGGCCGCGGCCGGCTTCGTCTACGCCGAGACAGACGGGGGTTCCGGTTGCTGGTGTTTCCGAGGGCGTTGTGGAGGTTTCTGATGGAGGTGGGAGGAGGGATGGCGGAACGGGCGAGAAGTATGAGTAGGAGTCGCCTGCGAGGAGGGCCTTTTCGTCGATTGAAGGTGGGATAAAGACATCTGAGACTGGGGTCTCGAGGGCGATGTCCTCGACTGTTTGGGAATCTTCCATTGTGAGATCTGGAGACTTGAGGAGTGCTCTGGATGTGTCTGGTACTGAGGTAAGGTACTTGAACTTGGTGAGAGCCGTAGTCCGTGGCAAGAGCTGCGCGTTGTCTGGGTATCTGTAACCTGAATTTCCGAATCGTCTTATTCAAAACAATAAAACGGCCAAAAAGGAAGCAATAGCGAGAAGTGAGAAGTGAAAGTGAGTGGTTCACGGAGTGACTTGAGACTGAGAAGCTATCTCGCCTTGACCTATTAGCACTTTCTGTCTCTCAACGCGTCGACGCGTTAATGCATGTGGATCCCACCGCACACGTGCCCCCATCCCTCCCAATTATGCAGCCACTGACAGGCCCGGCCCAGGAGCTCCAGCAGTAAGAGCACTCAGCGCGCGACGCCAATACGTCTTTCCACCGCCCAAAAAGTTGCGCGCTCAACACCACAACCACCACACCTCATCGGGGTAAACAAATACGACCAGCTTGCCCAGGGACTTGCTCGATTTTGCTCGTTTGATCGCCTCGGTCATCCGTCTCGAGCTATATCTTCTGGTTTTTTGGACCAATTTTTGCTATTATTATTTATCGAGCTTTCCGGGAACTCCACAGTCGCGATGGCACCGCGACCGTCCAATGTTCGACGTCGCGAAACGTCCACAGGCGACTTCCACGAGCTCGGCGTCAAGGGCCGGTACGTCGCGCCCCTATCTACTTTGCAGTTGCGACGCGGCATATGAGAACAATGCATTGACTCTTCTGTAGAAAAACTGGAATTGAGTTGCCCGACACTGGCGTACGCGATGAGCATGGCATGCAGCCGATCGAAGGCCTGTTCTCCTCGCCGGAGAAGGACAACGGGTCCGCCGACGAGACCACGGGCGAGCAGGATATGGAACTTGACTCTGGTGAGTTTCTTGCGTCAGCGACTCGGCCATCGCGCGGCTTCTGACGGAACCTATGTGCTAGACACTGGAGCTGGACCTGCGACACTTCTGAAGGGCCACCCTCGATTGATCCCCCGAGGAACCTCGCCGCGAAAGACGAACCTTTCTTCCCCCGCAGTACGGCATCCTAGCTTCGGCGTCTCGTCATCACCGATTCGAGGATCTCCCTTCCGAGAATCGCCTCCCCCGCAATCGCACTCTCAGCCCGCACGTGGAGCCCCTGTTTCTCGCCGGTTGGACTTTGGCGCGTTGGAGACCAATGGTCCTGGTCTGAATGGAAAGCGCCCCGGGCCGAACGGATTGAATGGGCGCGTGCCGTCCCCTGAAGATGAGACGGAGGAGCCTACGGAGAACGAGCCACCTATTGAAGACGGCGGCGAGGAGTCGATGCAGATGGTCGGCATGAACGGAGACGATGAGCCGGAGCCGGAGTCCGAGGTCGCAATGCCAGAGGTTGAAGAAGTCGAAGAGGAGGAGGTGCCGCCGCAGCCGGTCAAGCGCAAGGGGCGCCCAGCCAAAGCGAAGGCACCAGTCGCCGAAGAACCAGAGGAAGAGCGTGCGGACGCGGCCGAGTCGGACGAGGAACCAGTTGTTCCCAAGAGGAGAGGTCGCCCTGCCAAGGGCAAAGGAAAGGCTGCGGCCGACGAGGTTGAGCTGGAACCTGAACCGGAAGTTGGCGCCCCCAAGCGCAGACGCTCGCGCAATTCCAACGACAACGAGGATGAGCAAGAGGAGGCAGACGACCGTACCTCCAAACGGCAACGTACGGAGGCCGCAACGGCGAAACCTGGCAAGCGTGGGCGACCCAAAGCCGCCCCTCGAGATGAAGAGGGTGGATCGAGCAAGCAAGCGGACAAGCCCGAACCGAAACCGAAGCCCGCCGCGAAGGGCAGGCCTGGCCGCAAACCGCAAGCAGCCGTCGGCGACGATTCCATCCTGGGCGTGGTGCAAAAGGGACCGCCTATGCCCAAGGCTCGTGGCTTGGTCTCGCGGAAGCAGCCGCAGGACCCCCATGCGATTCTCAAAACAAGGTCCGGCCGTCAGTCCTACCGTCCATTGGCATACTGGAAGAACGAGCATGTTGCATATGACGAGGAGGATGCTTTTGAGGCCGGCAAGGAGAGGTTCTTGCTACCGAGTGTCAAGGAGGTCGTTCGTGTTGAAGAAGAGGAGACACAGGAGCGCAAAAAGAGGGCGAGGGGCCGCAAGCCTGCCGCCAAGGGGAAACGGAGGCAGGTCGAATCCGAAGACGAAGAAGAAGACCCGGAACCCTGGGAGAAGGAAAAGCCCGGATATATCGACGGCGAGGTTGTCGTCTGGCAGCCGGAGCACGAATTCAACCCTCCCGCCATCAACGAGCAGGTCGAGATAGATGAAGAGCGTGTTGCCTTGGCGGCGGGCGCCATCGAGACCCGCGACATTCGCGACGCCACGTTCCGGTTCGCCAAAACGCTCAGCTTGCCCTTCTTCGGTTCTGGCGTCGTCGACCTTCCGCCCGGTGCGGAGAAGCGGCCCAAGAACTCGCGTAAGATGCAGATGGTGTTCTTCGTGTTCCAGGGCAAGGTCTTGGTCACCGTTCACGAGACGCAATTCAGAATCAGCGCCGGCGGAATGTGGTTTGTACCAAGAGGTAAGCATCCTCCGCCAATAGGCCACGAAAAGCATTTGACTAATGATTTGGCACAGGCAACTACTACAGTATTCACAACGACTACGACCAACCAGCACGGATTTTCTTCGCTCAGGGCTGCGAAGTGAGCAATTCCATGGCCGGGACGCCTGGCCTATCTCAGGACACGACGATAATGGGCTAAGCGGTAGAGTGTGGTCTTCCGGAGAAATCTAGGGCTGGAGGAGTTGCCGTTCGCAGAATGACGAAAAGTTCGGGGAGCCTCTATACCCTTGAATGGCTCACTTGGGTTTCGTCCATCAGGGGAGGAGTCTTTCTTTTTGGCAGGTTGAGGGACATGAGAGGCGCCCGTTGCGCGAAGTGGCATTTTGTGATGCGAGCGTTCGACTATTTGATGTTTGGACTTAACGAGGAGTAGCGGTTGGAGGGTATGATAAGGACCTCCGTGATTGGCATAATCAAACATTCTTCCGAACTCGTGTGTATTTTGGCTTCTTCGTTTTCTGCTGGGCGTAACGTTTCGTGTCGGGCCTTGCTTGTGAACTCGTGAAGAGGCTGAAGTGGCGAATGTGAAAGTTTCGTGGTGTATTCTTGTATATTGGTCGTCCTTCACGTCACTGACACAGAGCTTTTGTAGTATATCAGCTGCCTTACCCTAGCTGGCTGGTTTTCTTATCCGGTCGATCAATTTTAGCGTCCTCATATCGGGGAAGAGCGAAGGGCTGATGTTGGTAGCCGTCCTTACTGTGGGTTCTGTCTGTTGATTCATCTCGTCTGCCGGCGTTCTCCCACAAGAATGGATCATTGCCGTGCAACTGCTGTTTTTGCTCTATTTTTCTTTACTCGGGTTTTTTCCGAGATGGACCATGATCACCATATGTATACATCGTCAACTTAATTAGCTAAAAGGCCGAGCTTTTCAGTAGAAGAATCCTGGTCCACCCGGGTCTTCTTATAGGATCAGAGGTTCTTAGCTGTACTGCAGTCTATGCTGCAGCTGGAGTTGACTTCTTTTCTTCATTGTCAGTGAACAAGCAGCGAACTACCTGTGGCACTTGCCGACTACTAATAACCACATTTCATAACCACAGGTATAAAATCAAGGTCGAGAGCCAACAGCCCGATTAGCCCTCGTTTAACAACGAGTCTGAGTTTGGCGCAACGGAGAACTACTGTCTGACGTTCGACAAATACTACTTACTTTTTTCCATAAGGGACTCTAGCCACTGCCAATCGGTTACCAGTGCCGTTTGAGGCAGTTCAAATACCACAAAACGCGGTGTATGCGGCTTCAGGCGCGACGAAGATGGATCAAATGGGACTCGAAGCTAGAGCTGCTGCATAAAAGAGAATACGCACTATCCAGTGAGCCTGAAGTGCAGAACCAGACTCGTTCTTGCATTGGACTTGGTTGACAGCGTACGCTGAAATGTTTCGGTCTCGTAGGGCTGCGACACCTGGGATTGGACGACAGAGAAACCTCGTCCAGGAGAGAGCATGTTCGATCTATAGAGAGAATCATCAGCGCAATGAAGCTACACGCGACAGATGAGGTCTGGTTCGTCTCTTTCGCATCTGTGATGTTTGATGAACAGAGCTTGGAGGTAATTACTCGATAAGCCGATAAGCTGTTTAGATAACATCGCCGATCTCCAACTCGCCCCTGTATTAGGTAAGGCATATCAACAGTGCGTATTCGTAAGGCTGCTGCGGCAAGGAGCCCTGGCCGCTGCTGAGATCGTTGCCTGGCTGTCTCCAGGCGGGCAAACACATCGATGGGGATTGGAGGGGGAGGGGAATGGGAAAAAAAAAGTTCGCACGCCTGCCCGGCAACAAAGAGGCAATTTCTTTTCCGCATGCAGCCAGCCATTGAGATTGAAGTGGAAGTTACCCAACACTGTCGATAGTCGCTATGAATAGATGAAATTCTGCGACATGGAAGATCAAGTTTTTTATTCGTCTCATGGGCGACGTCGCATTGCTTCAATCACCGCCGTTTGCTGGATGCAATTTCAACGTACCTTGTACGTACGGCGGAACACCAAGTTGGTTGGCGTTGGATTCAGTCACTGCTATCCGTCTGTGCCATCTGCGGCTGCCGGTTGTCTGATTGCCTTGCCGGCGCCTGGACTTCCGGCGTGCTGCTCCCGTCCGATCCAAAGTGTCTCTGAGCTTCTATTGCAGTCTTCATGTGTTCCCTGCCACCGTCTTTTCCGCCACGTACGGCCGCCTGGCCGTCAGCCTACGCGTTGCCTTCCTTGATTTCGAATCGCCTGATTACTGCATCGCTCTGTGAACATTGGCAACGAAGAATCAGATGGAATTGACAACTCCCCATTCAGCTCTGCAACATAGGGGAAATGGAGTTTCGATGCTTCTTGAAGAGTCGCAGAACCACAGAATAAACCCCACTGACGGCGGATGATATCACTCCAAAAAGTTTCCATCAGTTGCTAGCGGTGTGGGGTTTGACTGACTGAGGGGCACGAAAAAGGTCCAGGGTACATAATTGTTAGCGTGCGCAAGGCCCTGTCGCGGGGTACCAGGGACATGGAGGGGCAGCCCCTCCAGCGATTCCATTCCATAGAAGTCTTGCGGAGATGATGTCAACGGCAACGGGCTCTCGAACAGAGAGAGAGTGCAATCGAATTGCTTCCAAAGAGACGAAGAGAATCCCCAAATCCCTGGAAAACCGGAACTTCGCCCCCTGGAGAGGCTGAATCGGTAATTAGCGTGGTTTTTTCGAGATCCCTGTAGAAAAATTCAGCGGTTTCTGGAGGCGCCCTGAATCGAGTGGAAGAGTCTCGCTGGGCCGCGACGCTGGGTTCGACCCCACCATTGGAGAGCAGGTGGAAGAGCGAAGAACCCTTTCGAAGTTTTGCGGGGCCTTGCGTCGCTCCTGCCAACAACCTTTTAAAATCGACCCTTCAACTCGATCACTTCCACCATTCCATCTTCACTCTTCACGAAATTCCTCAATCACAACAATACCCTACATCAAACACGAAGCGTCCAGTGTTCTCTTTTTCTACGAGAATTTGATCGCTGCTACCTTTTCTACCGGAACACATCAACAACCGGTCTTCGCGAAAACGACTCTCTGATACCCCCACCTTCACAAACCAACAACACCTCAACACCACATCAACACATCACGACATTCACAATGGCGTCAGGCAAGGCCATCGGTATCGATCTCGGTACAACCTATTCAGCGCGTCTCCCATTTTAATCCTTTTTGAATAATTATTTGCTAACTAGATTTAGTGCACCGGTTTTTTTTCGAACGACAAGATCGAGATTATCGCCAACGACCAGGGTAACCGCACGACCCCCTCATATGTCGCTTTCAACGACACTGAGCGCCTGATTGGCGATGCCGCCAAGAACCAGGTCGCCATGAACCCCCACAACACCGTCTTCGACGCCAAGCGCCTCATCGGTCGCAAGTTCGCCGACCCTGAGGTTCAGGCCGACATGAAGCACTTCCCCTTCAAGGTCGTCGACAAGAACAGCAAGCCCGTTATCGAGGTTGAGTTCAAGGGCGAGACCAAGACCTTCACCCCCGAGGAGATCTCCGCCATGGTCCTCGTCAAGATGCGCGAGACTGCTGAGGCCTACCTCGGTGGCCAGGTCACCAACGCTGTCATCACCGTTCCCGCCTACTTCAACGACTCCCAGCGTCAGGCCACCAAGGACGCTGGTCTCATTGCCGGCCTCAACGTTCTGCGTATCATCAACGAGCCCACCGCCGCTGCCATCGCCTACGGCCTCGACAAGAAGGCTGAGGGTGAGCGCAACGTCCTCATCTTCGATCTTGGTGGTGGTACCTTCGATGTTTCCCTCTTGACCATTGAGGAGGGTATCTTCGAGGTCAAGTCCACCGCTGGTGACACTCACTTGGGTGGTGAGGACTTCGACAACCGTCTCGTCAACCACTTCGTCAACGAGTTCAAGCGCAAGCACAAGAAGGACCTGTCCTCCAACGCTCGCGCTCTCCGCCGCCTTCGCACTGCTTGCGAGCGTGCCAAGCGCACCCTGTCCTCTTCCGCTCAGACCTCCATCGAGATCGACTCCCTGTTCGAGGGTATCGACTTCTACACCTCCATCACTCGTGCCCGTTTCGAGGAGCTCTGCCAGGACCTGTTCCGCTCCACCATCCAGCCCGTCGACCGCGTCCTGTCCGACGCTAAGATCGACAAGTCCCAGGTCCACGAGATCGTCCTGGTCGGTGGTTCCACCCGTATCCCCCGCATCCAGAAGCTCATCTCCGACTACTTCAACGGCAAGGAGCCCAACAAGTCCATCAACCCCGATGAGGCTGTTGCCTACGGTGCTGCCGTCCAGGCCGCCATCCTGTCTGGTGACACCACCTCCAAGTCCACCAACGAGATCCTGCTTCTCGATGTTGCCCCTCTCTCCCTCGGTATCGAGACTGCTGGTGGCATGATGACCAAGCTCATCCCCCGCAACACCACCATCCCCACCAAGAAGTCCGAGGTCTTCTCCACCTTCTCCGACAACCAGCCTGGTGTCCTCATCCAGGTCTACGAGGGTGAGCGCCAGCGCACCAAGGACAACAACCTTCTCGGCAAGTTCGAGCTTACCGGCATTCCCCCCGCTCCTCGCGGCGTTCCCCAGATCGAGGTTACCTTCGATGTCGATGCCAACGGTATCATGAACGTCTCCGCCGTCGAGAAGGGCACCGGCAAGTCCAACAAGATTGTCATCACCAACGACAAGGGCCGCCTGTCCAAGGAGGAGATCGAGCGCATGCTTGCTGAGGCCGAGAAGTACAAGGATGAGGATGAGGCCGAGGGCCAGCGTGTCGCTGCCAAGAACGGTCTTGAGTCTTACGCCTACTCTCTCCGCAACACCCTCGGCGACTCCAAGGTCGACGAGAAGCTTGAGGCTGACGACAAGGAGAAGCTCAAGACTGAGATCGACAAGGTCGTCTCTTGGCTCGACGAGAATCAGCAGGCCACCCGCGAGGAGTACGAGGACCGTCAGAAGGAGTTGGAGGGCATTGCCAACCCCATCATGATGAAGTTCTACGGCTCTGCTGGCGGTCCCCCCGGCGCTGGCGGTGCCCCTGGCGGCTTCCCCGGTGCTCCCGGCGGCGGTGCTCCCCCCGGCAACCACGACGACGGCCCCACCGTCGAGGAGGTTGACTAAATTGATACCCCTGATGAGATCTTTCCTTAGAGTCACAGTCTTGGGTGTTACAACAGGGAGGTTGTCGCCAGGTTTCACGACTAGACTTTTGCTTTCTTTGCATTTATGAAATCACGATGGGAAAAGCACGGTTACGCATGGGATCAGATGTATTCTAGTTCGGCTGTCCAGGTTTAGGAGGCCTAATACAAGAAAGTTCAACAACTTACTTCTCATTTCGCATTGTGACTATGCGTTGGATGACTTAAGCAACTAATGATTCTAGCGCAGAACATACTCTTTGCTATTACTGGCTGGGAATGGCATGGGTCGCTGCAAAGTACAACCTGCGCTGCAAACTCGGGTGCTGATATGAAGCTTGGCCTGTTCGTATTATGACAGGCCTGAATGAAGATGGATTTGTACATAAGACATTAAGAGAAAGAAATGCTACCGTTTCCTACATGCTGCCCATCACGCCGATGCTCCTTCAATGCCCAAGCCCGTTCTAATTTGACGTCGCCTGTCCATCTCCATCCTCTGCCACTCCTCGTCGTCGAGTGTCGGCTCCTCAAACTTCTCTGTGAAGACCGTGCCCGGCGGCACCTTGGTCTTCCTCGCCTGCCACACGTCCTCGCTGTTCGGCTTTCCGTCCGCGTACTTGTCGTGCTCCTTCTGTCGGTAGTGCGCCTTGATCGCCTCTTCCTTCATTTTCCCCGTATATCCCTTGATCCTCATACAGAACCAGAAGTCCTCCCAATGCTCGCTACACGACCGCATCGTGCCGTACCGGTAGATGTGGTTCCACTGGCCGCCGACGGATTGGCAGTGGAAGGCCATGTCGAAGGCCTGGCGGCACGACATCTCTGTCGGGAGGAGGGACTCGGAGACGGGGTCGCCGGGTGGCACAATTGTGCGGTTGCTGGTCTGAGATGGGGAGTCGGGGGAAGACTTGAGAGAGAACCACGAAGACGAGGAAGAGGAGGTGGTCGGTTTGGATGTTGTCGATGATGTTTGCGCCGGTTCGGGGGCTGCGGGCTCTTCTTGCTTGCCGTCTGACTGGAACATGGCAATGAACTTCTGGATCTCGGGGTCCATGTCGGAATCAGTCGACTGGGTGCTCGAGGATGGCGGGGTCGACGCGGGAGCTTGGGGAGCTTGTCCCGGGGCGGGAGACTTGGGGGGAGACGGGGAAGCCCAGAGCCAGCCCATTTTGGCGAAGTATTATGGAAAGAAGCTTAGATGAAGAGAAGAGAATCAGGTTTGGGTTGTCGTTCACTCGATCAGTTCATGAGGCGGTTGAAAAGGAGGGGAACCGGCTATCACTATCCTTCGATGACCTGCCAGACTATGCGCCGGGCCAATGAGTGCTTGCATTAATTTTGCCATGGCTGCAAGTGCTCTGGCGGGGCACTTCGGTGCGGATGATGGTGTTTCCGTGTCTTCCCCCGGCTCTGAGCGGGAATAAGGTTATGGGGTTGTTGACAAGGAGCCTGACCCTTGTGTAGTGGGTCTTCACAATCACGGAGCGATGATATCATTTTATCACGCTACGAGCTCGTGAGGAAGCTAACGAAGCTGTGTATATTCAGCTCTGGCGTCGTCGTTCCTGTTTCTTTCGTTCCTCGTTTTTACCTCAGAGCGCTATGAGAATGCGCCGTTGAGGACGACATATGTTTTCCAGCAGAGCGGTGTTTCGCGCGGGTACTGCGGCTCGGCTGCAGAGGACCTGGGGCCCTGCTCGGTCGGTTCCTCGCCCGGGCGTCATCGCGTGCGCTGCGACGAGGGCGTGGAAGACGACGACTACGACTTCGACAGGCGACGAGAAATCAGGGCATATCGCGACGTCTCAGAGCGAGTCGATCCTTTTCTTCGACAGTAAGTAGTTGAATCCGGTTCCTGGTGCATGTTGTTGGTAGTGCCACAATGGCGGGGTATGCCAGCCAGCGGCGGTGGAGAACGCACAAAGTGACGCTGGCGACGACAATGGATGATGAGGGACGAAATGGACAATATGGATGATCACCAGGGCGTAAAACTATGCTGACTCGGGTCTCATAGATCTCTTCCCCCTAAAGCTCACTTGGCTACTTCGGTCCCGAGCCTGGCAATCAGACACCGACTTTGGCGATCTCCTCCAACGGTTCGAAAGCTCCAGCTTGGGCATCACCGACCCAATTTCTTTGGTCAAACGAGCCATACCGAACGACCTTCCTATCAAAGTGACAGAGCTTCTACCACGTTTCAAGGATGGAGGAGTTTATGTCAAGTTCAGCCATACTGCCGATGTTGACGCTAAAGAGATTGAGAGTAAGTGCCTCGGAGTTGCACGCGCCCCCCTAGAGATCAACGAAGTGCCCGCAGTCAAAATGCAAATCAAGCTCTCGATACTAATTCGACCGTCAGCCTCCCTCGCACGAACTCTGGAGAAGAACCCCATACGTCCCTGGTTCAACCCCTTTCGCGGCATCAAAGCTGGACTTGTCAAAGGCGTACCCTGGCTCGAAGATCTATACCGATTCCCGAAAAACAGGGTGAAGGTTGAATTCACAGGCAAAGATGCTGGCGGAGAGGCCGTTGAGCTCTCGCAAGAGGACTTGTACAGTCTCTTCCGCAAGTATGGAAAAATCGCGGAAATCACCTCTCAGCCGTCCGACTCCAAGGTTCTGCCGAAATACGCTTACGTCGACTTCGCACTTGTCCGTGACGCAATCATGGCGAGGAACTGTATGCATGGCTTTGTTGCCGGGGAAGCTCTCGGCGGAGGCAAGAATGGTACAAAACTTCGACTGTCGTATGAGCAACGGGTCAATCCTCACAACATCTGGAACTGGCTCAGCAATCACCCAAGAATCGTAATTCCTATACTTGCCGCCCTACTTGCCGCCATCACCGTAGCAATCTTCGATCCTATCCGCGAGTTCTTCGTCAAGGCTCATATCCAACACTCCTTCCGCCTGACAGACAACAAGCTTTACAGATGGGTCAAAAACCAGACGACGGACATCTTCTCCTCTTTTGGTCGCAAAAAGAATGACAAGGCCGGATTCAATGCGGTTTGGCAACACCGACGGGACCTGATCGAGCAGATCCAGACCTGGCTGCTTGAGAGCTCGGACACATTCATTGTGGTTCAAGGCCCACGAGGTTCTGGGAAAAAGGAACTCGTTCTGGATCAAGCTTTGGAAGGCCGCAAACACGTCTTGGTTATCGATTGCAAGCCAATTATCGAAGCCAGAGGAGAAAGCGGTACGATCAAACGTCTAGCTAACGCCGTGGGATACAAGCCGGTCTTTGCGTTCTTGAACGGCATGAGCAGCATGATCGATCTCGCTGTCCAAAGCACAACTGGAGTCAAGGCTGGTTTCTCTGAGACGCTCGAGTCGCAGGTTGTCAAGATCCTACACACAACTGCTGAGGCCTTGAAGGAAGTTTCGCTTTCGGGCCGTGACAAGGATGGCAAAGACGCTGGCCTCTCAGAGGATGCCTACCTGGAAGCCCACCCCGACAGACGGGCCGTTGTTGTTATCGACAACTTCCTGCACAAGAACGAATCGAGCATCGTGTACGACAAGGTTGCCGAATGGGCTGCTGCCATGGTCCAGAACAACGTCGCCCACGTCATTTTCCTGACTGACGACACGGCTTACTCGAAGTCCCTTTCGAGGGCGATGCCTGACCGTGTCTTCCGACAGGCTGCGCTGGGTGATCTCTCCCCCGACGTCGCCAAGAAGTTCGTCATTAGCCGCTTGGAAGAGGATGAACTCGACAAGGTCCGCGAGCGCTCGAAGGAGGCGCAACAGGAGGCAGAGAAGACTCCCGTTAAGGAGGAGCCGAAGCCTGATCTGTCGGAGTTGGACGCAGCCATTGGTATCCTTGGTGGTCGTCTCACTGATCTCGAGAACCTTGCTCGTCGCCTGAAGGGCAGCCAAAGCCCCCAGAAGGCAGTTGAAGACATCATCAACCAGAGCGCTACCGAGATTGTCAAGATGTATCTCCTAGGCGGCAAGGACACCGTCGAGGGTAAGAAGTGGTCTACTGAGCAAGCGTGGTACCTGATCAAGGCGCTCGCCTCACATGACGCCCTCCGGTACAACGAGGTGCTTCTCTCTGACACTTTTGCATCTTCAACCACTCCCGGGGCTTCCAATGGCGAATCGTCTCTCGAGGGCCTTACCAACGCGGATCTCATCACCGTCGAGACGTACAACGGTCGCCCACAGACTATCCGCCCCGGTAAACCGATGTATCAGGCAGCTTTCAGCCTGCTTCTCGAGGACCGCGTACTCAGAGCGAAGATGGACCTTGCACTCCTGAAGGAGCTGGCCAAGGTCGAGGCCAAGACGATCGAAAAAGCGGAGAGCGAGCTGGCGCTGTTGGGCAACCTGCCTAAGCAGCCTTCGCAGACGGGTTCCCGCATTGCATACCTTCTCGACAAGCTTGAGGGAAGTCAGGTGAAGATTACTCAGTATGAGAAGGAGATCGCGGGGCTGAAAAAAGTGCTGAAGCATAACTACTAAAAATACAGTGGCACTTTGATGGAGCTTAGATGGAAGTACTGTAGTTGATACCCTTCTCAGCAAAAGCTTAATCGCACACATTTCTACTCAGTATTATCCATATCGTTGTCTCAATTGTCCTAGTCGTCTTACCTATTCGCCTCCTGAGTTGCTAGCCTCTGCCCATCATCCCGAGAGTGGTGCATGCTTTTACCGTAGAGTTACCATCGTTGCTACCCTCATTGCAGTTGCTCTTGTGGCCATTGTTCTTCTTGTCGTCTTCGTCGTCTTCGTCCTTCCCTGGTGTCCCCCGCTTATTCATATTCTTGTTATACATTCAGTCCTTTTTGCTTCTCTTGTCCTTACTCTCACTATGATTTTCACATCGTAGGTAACATCTCAATACGGGGGGAAGAATGCTTATCCTTCAACATGTCTTTGCTCACACGAAATAAGCTGGGATGTCCCATCCTCTGGACGTAAACAGGACTGGACACTTCTTTCGCCAGCTGCGAATCTTATATCCCGATAGATCAAATCCGGATACACTCAGCGCGGTCCGGTGACTATTCATCGTACGTCAGTTCCGCATCGGCTCCGCTCGCAAACGGAGTCTTCGTCGCAAATGCCCCCCCCCCCCCCACGGGGCTCCCATGGGGAACTGGAAGCCCCAGTGTAGAGATGTCGAGAATGATCTCATTGGCTAGGTGTACGGCACTTCATCTTATTTGCTTCTGTCACGACTCAGGCTTCAGATATCGACCGGGGAGTTGACCGATGTCTTGGGAGTGCCAAGCTTCGCGGCGACAAACAAGCCCTTTTTAGGGGCTGGGCATTCCCTCGGCACTCCTGGGCACCAAACGGGGCCCCGATGACGACGTGTTTTTAATGATGGACATCGTATCAAATAACATGGACGCCGTGCCGGCTTCCAGGCGAACATACACTATCACCCTGTGAGTAATGATTCGCGATGGATCGAGCAAGACGCCTCTTCATTGTACAACGTCTGGGGAATAGTTATCCACGGCTTCAATCATTCTGGTTGTGGTTCTGACCGGGGATTTTTGAAGCTTGGCTCAGCTTTTGAGATCTCTTGGCTCTCTTGGCTTCAATATCTACCCGCGCCCCGAAGTAACCTCCTGGTCGGTTCTCTTTTCATTCAGCGATATGGAAACCAGGAAATATAGTCAAACATGCTATATTGAAACGGCATCGGATTAGAACGTGGTTCCTGTCATAGTGCTGTTCTGATAGCGCTGTTACCTCCAGCCGCTTGGACCTGCCAGTGTGAGCAATGGCAGCAGCATTGTGATTACAGCCAGAACTGTGACAGGGGACTCCGTGCTATTTGCGACACGGACGCATGCCGTTACGTCTGTCTGTGGGTGATGTTGGAGTGTTCTCCACCATGGGGAAGTCTGGGGAAAAGCGAATCTTAGGCTGAACAGCAGCGTGCCGGGAACCGTTCATTCGGATGATTTGAATCAATGGCTTGAGTGAGATTTTGACTTTACATCCGTTGCCTGCGACGACTACAGCCGGTATCATCTATGCTGATCTCTACCAACCGTAGGACGCTTCCAACGTGCCGGGCGTCAATGAGCAATTCTCTAGTTTATTGAGTGATCCATTGCCATTTCACGAGGATTTCAAGCTCTACTATCAATGATCGTGTACGCCTTAAGGTGCAACCGTCGTAATCCAACAACATACCAGTGGAGTGAAAAGACGGAAAAGCTGCCCCCTATGTGACCCCCTACGCTGATGAGCTGGTCTCAAGCCATTTCTTGCGCGTGAACTGTTCTTCTCCGCCCTCCAGTGACCTACTCCATCTGAAGATAAGTAGCCATCTCCCTGTTACCAACCCCAGCGGACCCATCCAGGAACGTTTGGTCTTCCCCATGGCGCCCCAATGACATCGAAGAGTAGCAACTCTGGACTGCTGTTCTCGTTTGAGGGGGGGAAGGTGGTTGCGCCGGTCTCTTACCGCAGGAGGTGAGATGAAATGTCTGTGTGGCCATCTACAAATACTACCGAACGCCCATCCCAATCCTTCCTCGTCCGAGCATCGGTCAGATCGTTGTATTCTCGTTCGTCACTACCTTTAAGACGGCGGGTGACTTTCATGCTGAGGACAGGAAGAAGTATTCACTTCGTATTTGTCGCACATCCAACCACTTACATCACCCTTTGAGTGGCTGAGTGCTCTCTTCGTCATAAACATGACGACCGAGAAACGCGCCGACGGGGTTAACCCGTGAGAACTTCCTTTACATTCGCCGGTTTCAAATCTATCCCGGTCTAACATATGCTAGGTCGAATGAGGTTGCCGTCCAGAATATCGAAAAAGCCCGTCGCGGATCCCAAGCGACAGTTGATCTTAACGACAACACGGAAGCCAAGTACATTCCGCCTAACTCCTCTTGCCCTGCCACAACATACTAACACATATACCAGAATCAAGAACCCCCTCCTCGGCATCACACGCGACGAGCTACTCCGGGACGTCGAACATTTCGCCCACGACAAGGGCTTAGACGAGTACTTGCCCCTCCTCAAAAAGGGTGCCCTCGTTGCCCAAGACCCCACCGGCTACGAAGACATCGACGGCGCCGAAGCTCTCGATGCCGACGAGATTCAGGCTCTACGCGACGAAGTCCTGCACAAGTGGCGCATCCCCAAGATTTTATATCTCACTATCATCACTTGCTCTATCGGAGCCGCTGTCCAAGGATGGGATCAGACGGGGAGTAACGGAGCGAACTTGTCGTTTCCCACGGTGTTTGGTATTGGGTCCAACTCACATCATGATACTCTTCTTGTAAGTCACTTTTTGATTCTGGTTTTTCTTTTCCTTTGCCGTGTTGTTACTTCTTAGTCCTGTAGGTCAACTGTCATGAAAAGTTACTGATGAAGTATACAGGTCGGTCTCGTCAACTCTGCCCCTTATATCGGTAAGATTCCGACCAACTCTCATCCCTTTCACCACAAGTTTAACTTTTTCATAGGCTCTGCACTCATCGGATGCTGGCTTTCGGATCCTCTGAACAACTGGGTGGGCCGTCGCGGAACCATCTTCTTCGCCGCCAACTTCTGCATCTGGGTAAGCCATCAACCACCACCACCACCTATTACTTCCTTCCAACGAAGCTGACCAAGACAGCCTGTAATTGGAGCTGCTTTTTCTCAAACATGGGAACAGCTCCTGGCCTGTCGTCTCCTCCTCGGTATCGGCATGGGCGCAAAGGCCAGCACCGTCCCCATCTTCGCCGCCGAGAACTCTCCAGGTAAACCCCTATATAATCTTCAACGCAGAACAACGCTAATAGACTTATAGCACCTATACGAGGCGCCCTCGTGATGAGCTGGCAAATGTGGACAGCCTTCGGGATACTCATGGGTACATGCGCTAATTTAGCTGTTGGAAAGGCGGGAGATATAGCATGGCGTCTCCAGCTCGGTTCCGCCTTCATCCCGGCTGTCCCGCTGGCTCTGCTCATCTATGTTTGCCCAGAGTCTCCGCGTTGGTATATCAAGAAGAACAAGTATCCGAACGCCATGAAATCGCTGCTCCGGCTGCGGAATAATCCGATTCAGGCGGCGCGGGATATCTACTACATCCATACCCAGCTTCAGGTCGAGGCGGAGATCATTGGGCGGTCGAACTACGCCAAGCGGTTTATCGAGTTATTCACAATTCCACGTATCAGACGGTAAGTTATCATAACCATTCCTTGGTTACGAAATGAAAGGGACACAGGACTGACGTGGTTGATACAGCGCAACCTTGGCTTCCTTCACGGTCATGATTGCCCAGCAGATGTGTGGTAAGTCTCCGGCCCACATTACCACTTACACGTAACCTCAACTAACTCTGACAGGAATCAACATCATCGCCTTCTACTCCTCCACAATCTTCAAAGAGGCGGGAACCTCCGAGTTCAACGCCCTCCTCGCCTCCTTCGGCTTCGGCATGGTCAACTTCCTCTTCGCCTGGCCGGCCATCTGGACCATCGACACCTTCGGCCGCCGCAGCCTCCTCCTCTTCACTTTCCCCCAGATGGCCTGGACTCTGCTCGCGGCCGGTCTCTGCACGCTCATCCCCGGCACCGGCGGCCTTCACCTGGGTCTCGTGGCCCTGTTTGTTTACCTCTTTGCCGGTATGTCTTGCTTTCGTTTTAAGTGAGAGGTTTTGAAGGATAGCAGCGACTAACACCAAGTTCTCTAGCGTTCTACTCTCCCGGAGAAGGCCCGGTACCCTTCACCTACTCGGCCGAGGTCTTCCCGCTGTCCCACCGGGAGGTCGGCATGGCCTGGGCCGTGGCGACCTGCCTCTTCTGGGCGGCCGTGCTGTCCATCACGTTCCCCATCATGCTCGCGGTCCTGGGCGTCATCGGGTCATTCTGCTTCTACGCAGGGCTGAACGTGGTTGCGCTGTAAGTCTCCTCTAAAACACTACCATCGTCGATGAGAGAAGAATCCAAGCTGACCGATGTCATCCAGGGTGATGATATTCTTCTGGCTACCCGAGACCAAGCAGCGCACCCTCGAGGAGCTCGACTACGTCTTCGCCGTCCCGACGCGGGTCTTCATGCGCTACCAGCTCACCAAGGCCTTGCCGTACTGGTTCAAGCGCTGGATCCTGTTCCGACGGGACGCCACGCTGGAGCCGCTGTATAAGTTCGACCTCACACACGAGGATCACCACGACGATGGGGGATACGACAAGACGCGAGTCGAGATGCGGGACAAGAAGGAAGGCAGCTCGTGAAGACGGAGGAGGGAGTACACGTCACTGCGGTTCGTAATTCGAGGTTCAAAATTCGTCACGGAGTGAGTAGCTTAATCGGGTAAGGGGGCATCGGGATTTAGTCAGATACCAGTGAGGCTGAGATGGGAGTGAGGCGTGAGAGAGAGACATAGCTACGTAATGGTCGTCCTCGAGCTTAACCATGTGGATCGCGAGTGTTAGGGGGGTTGTTTTCAGCTCCTCGACCCCATCGCCCACAATCCGTAATCAACATCACGGAAAGATATCTGCAATCAGGTCCCGATGATACCATTTTCGCCCCCCTTCGTGAAGAATCAACTTGCAGTGGCATTTCAGCTGCCCCTCTCATCTTCACGATTCATGTGTCACATTCTTCACGAGTTCATCCCATCCATCGCCCGCCATCAGCCCCGCAGAGGAGGAAGGGCGGAAAATACGGATGTCTCTGGACAAATCTGCATCAGGGGGGTCGTAAAAAGTCTCAGTGATCGTCCGAGCCGGCGCGAGACCGTCGAGACGGCGGCTCTTGGATACGGGGCACGGAGCAGGGGGATTGCGTCAATCGACGTACGTAGCCGGGCGGCGTCCGCCTTCCGAGCAATGACAAGAAGACCGGCAAGGCGTTGGGAGAGTGATTTTCGGCGCTTGGCACGAGGGAAACGGCGGCTAAGGGAGGGAAGAGTGTTTTTGAGGCTTTCCCGTGTCGAGAAGCCGTGTGTGCCAAATCGAGATTCCAGCTCGCCTCGTGTTGGGATGAGTCTAGCGCCAAACCCCAATAATGCGGTCTGAAGGCGATCATTCACAGTCACGGGCTGCAGATCCGATCCCTCCCCCATCCGGACCGGTTGGAGATTGTCGAGCATGTGAGACGTGGCAGTTGGTCTGTAGTGCAGACAACAAGCCCATTATGTGAGCACAATGCAAGTGAAGAAGCAATCACATCGAAGGGGGACGAGATGTGCGGGATAGAGTTCCCTCCTGTGCGAGACTAGCAGGCTGAGACCGTGCCAACGTGCCTGAGTCGGATCAGTTGCACTTGAAATATCTAGCGCTTGCTTTTTCCGGCAACGAAATCAGGTACCCGTGTCGGTGAGGTGTGAGGGTCTGAGATGGTGTTTCTGATGATCACCTCGGGTTTGGTAACCGTTCTTGGGAAGCTGAAGGAGGAGTTGTGTCATTGGTCGCCACTGGCGCGAACCGTAATGAAGCCAACGTCGGGCTAGAGAGACGCCGTTGATGGCGCCGGCTGCTAGGCTGCCGTGTGCCGCGGGAACGGGGGCACTGGTGCACACGCACACGAGTTGGGATGGTTCGTTAGCTAATGTAGGTCCCGAGAATAGGGGGGGAGGGCTTTCTTCGAGAAGGGCGCAGAGAAGGTGTGGCAGGCAATGCATTGGTCGTCGACTTTCATCAAGTTGTGGCCAATTGTTTGTTATTTTGAGAAAACCTTGGGAGCCGCAATGTTAGAAAGCAATTAACTGCTGAATCCAATGAGTGCAGGATTGAGTGGCCTGTTAAAAGCAAGGGCCATGGAGCAGTCCAGACGGTCCAGACTCGAACGCGCGGTGCAGCCAGCTCCTGTGACACTTTGTCTTTCTGCTGTCCTTGTAGGGCTCCGCTCGGTCGCAGGGGGCGGGGATGGAGACTTGGAGGCTGGAATACTGGGAGATTTGAGAGAGATACATCATACTGGTTGGTGTGTGAACTTGCTCTGGGTGGGCGGGTGGCTTGGTGCTAACGAGAAGTGTGAAGCGGCGGAAACGAAACAGAGACGACGACGGCTTGTGGGCGAGTTTGGGCGGTTTGATGTTGGTCGTACGTCGTTATGGTGGTTTTCCAAAGACATCCATTTTTGGAACGACGCGGTCGGCATTATTGTCGAAGACGGGCTGGACCGGCGGCGGCAGCCAGGAATATGGTGGAGGGAGAGGGCTGGAGGGCTGGCGGACTGGAGAGAGAGAGTCGTGGACGTGCCAAGAATTGTGGACGCTCGTCTCCAGATGGGGGAGAGCAAATCGGTTCCAAGAGGTTGGATGATGGGTGATTAGTGTGCTGCGGTAAGGATTGGATCGGAGGAATACTGCTTACGACAGTGGATGCTCTTCATCATGCACTGGATGGATGATGCCTCCAGCGGCTGTCAATGGCAAACATGCCACTGCAAGGTGGTGACATGTGCCGGAGGCGAGGGCGGAAAATGGGTGGGAATGACCCTCAGTTCCGAAAGCAACAACCTGGGAGAATGAAAAACTCTCCACGCTCGTATTCCACCTGGGTGGTGGAGCAATAATTGTTCGAAGTTGGAGTTGGCGCGTGCTGTTATTCCTGGATCGAGTTGGCCCAGATCTCAGCGAAAATGTCACGAAGGTCGGAAGGGATTGAAATGATCCACGCAAGGAAAAAAACGAAAAAAGAGAAGAGGTTAAGCTTCTAACGCGTTGCCGATTTGCAGAGGTGGAGGAGCGATAATCCTCTACCGAATGCGATTCGTCACCAGGTGGGCCTGTCCGAAAAGCAAGCTGCCATTGGACCTGTGTGCTGGGCGATATTTCCCAAGTTCCCTCGAGGCTTTTCAATCACTGAGTGGTCAGGACTGGGGGCCCCGTACAGGCTACGACGTCAACCAGGGACGCCGCGGCTGTTCCGTCCAGGATGAACGAGGAAGAGTCAGGGAAGGCGCAGAGAAGCTGGGAAACTGGAGGCCGAGGGTCCCAGAGAACCCTTCGGAAGGGCTCAGCTCACTCCAAAACCGTGAATGGGGCATGAACACTGCCGGCAGACGTCTTGTCCTTGAACATATGTCGTGATATTAAGGAACAAGAAACGACAGATGAATGCGAGCATGGAGACATGGGTTACACTACGCGTCTGTAAGGCACAGCACTCATTAAACAGGACTATGCTACGCATATCTGCACCGTACCTGTACTACGAATACAATTCTACGTGTACATGTCGTCCACATGCAAAGTGCAGCGTTTCATTGAAGGAATACCAAGCTTCCACAAGAGACGTCTGATATGCCGGACACCCTCTCCGGGAAAAGATGGCCAGAGCAGTCCTCTAAACTCTGTCAGAGTTCGGACAGAAATGTCAATCAACGGTGACGCACTATGCAGTCATACTGCGAGATGTGGACGGGAAGGAGCAACTCCCGACGCGTCTGCTCACCTTCTCGGGCAGACGCTGCTGCAAGGCACGGCTTTTCGAAATGTCAACAATCTGAGAGTCATCATCGATCAGTGACAGTGAACCTGGACAAGGAATTAAAAAAACCAAGAATTTGTCGGGGAGCACGGCATCGCAAGGCCCACCTGAGAAAGGGTCGTTCGCTGAGCTGAGGTACGTACCGTTGTGGACACCCTCAGACCGTCCACCCAGAATCGGGGACGCCAGTATCGGCACCGGCCAATCCCAGCAGTCCACCACTGTGACCCGAGACTTGAAACTGGAAATCGTTGTCAGTGGCTTAACCCCCTGCATTATCAAAGCCTGCAACAGCCAATTCTGGTCAATTTCTGCTGGGTTCCTGGACGTCGTCGCCAAACCAAGGGTACGTACCTAAGGTATCTACAGGCTACCCGCACCGCACCATCCAAGGTGTCGGCCCTGCAATTGCTCAGGTCGCTCCCGTAGGACGACAGACCTGGAAGACCGCGCAGAAAACCCAAGAGAAAAAAAAAACCGTTCAGGGGTCCCGCCAGTGCTGCAAGCTCCAAGCCTCCGTCTCTTCACTAACGCGCTCTAGGCTCTAGTGGCGGCGGCCCCTTTCGTCCTGTCTCTTGCTGAGATCGTCAACCAACCTAACCCAACCTTGCTGTCATTCCCTTCCTCTTGCTCGCCTTCGCTTAAACCCTGAAATGCTTCCCCTCCTCACGCTCTTTTCATCTTGACCTCTCCTTGTTTCGACCTCTCTTCTCTCCTCCTCACCTCTACCTCCTCACCTTATCCTCCCTCTCTATACGATACCCGTTTCCTTGTAATTACTTTCGCTGCCGGAATTGGGCTTCTCGTCATACGGAGGGCTACACATACTTCTACACGCGCCAAACCTTGCGTGTACAACGAACCAACCTCGATCGTTTCTTTGGTTCTTACGGCCTGTTCCGCTTTTTCGAGTCCTACGAACATCAATTGTTTCCTATCGTCGAGACGGATTCGATATCCACTCATACATGCGTTAATACACAGCATCTGTACAACATCGAGTAGCTTGTCACTCGCCAATTCACGCATTATACCCCGGGCATTCCTACTGCTCCCTCGGTCAGACACGACATTCTTCATCTGCTACTCCCCAAGCCCAAGTCGGCATGCCAGGACCCCTCTCTCCGCGGCACTCTGGGTTCTTACCTATCGGCGGCACACAATCTCTCGATATGCCCGACACCGACATCCCCTTGACCCAGGTCAAGAGCGCAGCTTCCACAGGCGCGCGCAAACCGACCATGAACGCAACCAACCACGAAGATTCAGGCTCGCCGAACGAGAAGCATGGCCTCTTCCACCGCAACAACAAGGGTGGCCGCCGCAAGAAGGCAGAGCTGGGCCGCCACGGCACTGGTGGCTCCGACGACATCAAAGTCAACGCCATGGGCAGATTGTACAACAAGCTCACCAACGCTTCCGTCGTCACGCGCTATCTGGTTTACATCATTCCCATCTGCCTTCTCCTCGCCATTCCCATCATTGTTCTCCCCATTCTGGGCCATAAGGACGATCTTCGGCAGGGAAATAATGGCGGCCAACCACTGTTCAAGATCTTCCTGTGGATTGAGATCGCCTGGCTTACACTATGGGCTGGCAAGGTCGTCGCTTGGCTCCTGCCTCACATCTTCATGTTCTTCTGCGGTGTCGTCAGCTCTGGTGTACGAAAATATGCCACGGTTCTTCAAAACTTGCAGATCGCGCTCTCGCTCTTCTTCTGGGCTCTCGCATCCTGGCTTTCTTTTCAGGGCTTGTTCCAGGTCAACTTGGAGACCTCCCCCTCCTGGGTCATCACCATGTACCGTATACTCGGCGCTACAATGGTGTCTTCGGCAGTCTATCTGGGTGAGAAGGCCATTGTTCAGCTGATCGGTATTTCTTACCACCAACGCTCCTTTGCTCTTCGCATCAAGGAGTCCAAACGCGAGGTTCGCCTTCTCGGTCTTCTCTACGATGCCTCGCGAACACTGTTCCCCATGTACTGCCCCGAGTTCGAGGAGGAGGATTATGTGATCAACGATAGTCTCGATTTGATCCTGTCCAAGGCCGCGAAGGGTGCCAAGGGCGCCGGCGCTGCTACTCCTCTGCGTCTCGTTGGTGACATCGGTCGCATGGGTGACAAGATTACGGGTGTTTTTGGCAACATCGCCTCCGAAATCACCGGAAAGCAGGTTTTCAACCCGAACTCGGCTCACTCTATCGTTATCGAGGCGCTCGAGAAGACGAAGCCTTCCGAAGCCCTCGCCCGCCGTATCTGGATGTCTTTCGTCGTCGAAGGAAAGGATTCTTTGTTCCTCGAAGATTTCCAGGAGGTTCTTGGCCCGGCCTACTCCGATGAGGCCGAGGAGTCCTTTGAGATGATCGACAACGACCAGAACGGCGACATCAGCTTGGACGAAATGACGCGCAAGGTTGTCGAGATTGGCAAGGAACGCAAGGCTATTACCGAGGGAATGAAGGACATTGGTCAAGCACTCCGCGTGTTCGATAAGGTCCTCATGTTTGTTGTCATCTTGATCGTTGTCTTCATCTTCCTTGCTTGGTTCCAGTCCAGCTTCTTGACCGTAAGTCCACTGGATATCAAAACCCAGGGCATTGCTAACTGCTGCAGACCGTCGCTACTGCCGGAACTGCGCTCCTGTCTCTGTCCTTCGTCTTCGCCGTCACCACTCAGGAATTCCTCGGTTCCTGCATTTTCCTCTTCGTCAAGCACCCGTACGACGTCGGTGACAGAGTTGATATTGTTGGCTCTGAGAAGCAGCAGCTCATCGTCGACAAGATTTCGCTCCTTTACACTGTTTTCACCCGCATTGACAAGATGCAAGTGGTGCAAGTTCCCAACATCGCACTGAACAACCTCTGGATCGAGAACGTCTCCCGCAGTAAGGCGATGAAGGAAGTCATCGACCTCAACATTTCTTACGACACCACCTTCGAAGACCTCGAACTTCTGCGCGTTGAGATGGAAAACTTTGTCCGACACGTGGACAACTCGCGCGACTTCCAGCAGGACATTGCCATTGGTGTTTACGGAGTCGGTGACCTGGACAAGTTGCAGCTCAAGATCGCCATCAAGCACAAGTCTAACTGGCACAACGAGGCTGTCAGAGCTACCCGGCGCTCCAAGTTCATGTGCGCCCTCGCTCTCGCCCTCAAGAAGATCCCCATCTACGCCCCTGGCGGTGGCTCCGAAGCCCTTGGTGCCCCTGGCAACCCGTCCTACTCTGTCGCCGTCTCTGATGAGGTTGCGGCTGCTGCTCGCGACAAGGCTGCCAAGGACAAGGAAGCTGCGCGCATGGTTCCCTCCGCGGGTGCGGGAGGTGACGACTCCGTTGACTCGGCCGTGGAGAAGGCAGCCATGAACGAGTTCAACACGCGAGACGTCACGGCCGAGGATGAGTGGGGATACAGGGTGGCGGACGACGATACCTTGTCGGGATCTAAGGACCGTAAGTCGGAAGACCGCCGCCGATCCAACGACATCAACCGCGTCCGCAGCCAGCTGCTTCAGCGCGGTAGCACGAAGGGTGGTGGTGGCCGCCGCAAGCCCGGCGAATCCATCCCCATCTCCCCGTCTCTCGAAGGCCCTAGCATGTACTTGACCAAGACCACATCGCGCAACCGCAACCACTACGATGAGGAGGCCGAGACTGGCGTCATTGGATCTTACAACACTCAGTACTACGGCGGGCAATCCAACAACCCCTACGCGGGCCAGAGCCTCTCGCCAACCATCTCCCCGCCAACGGCGACACTCGAACCCCATCCCCTCCAGAGCGCGCCCCCGTCAGGACAGCGCCCAAGAGGACGAAGTGTGTCCAACAGCCAACAGGCAGCACAAGCTCAGCAGAGCACGCAGCAGAAGAAGCAGTAGTGATGGAAACGTACTGGGCAGAAATCGATAAAAAGCAAAAAGAAACGGAGAAAATGGAGAAAGAATAATACCAAGCTGGTCAGATGGGTTCACATCAACAACCCCTTTTCTTACACGTGGGCATTGAGACTGGCTCCCCATGCCTAATGAATTTTTCCTTACACTCACACATGGGGGGACAGATAGATTACGAATAGAGTATGATGACATGTCGTCCGCAGATAAATACTATTCCCGAGAATTACACAATCCAGTCTTCGTACCTCATGTGACGGAGAATCTCACCATCACCAGATATGACAAGAGAGCGATCAGCAGACGTGCTCAGGCTCGCTCACACCCTCCTTGGGCCCCAAGTCCGTCTTCAACACACGCCCGAACAGCTCCAGCAGCACCTCGAAGCAGACCTTGGTGATGGCCGGGTCGTAGCGGCCCTTGCTGAGCTCGTCGCGGATGAAGGCGTGCTGGGCCCAGGCGAACTCGTAAAAGGAGGTCGTGACGCCGGCCTCGCGCAGCTTGGCGCGGATGAGGTCGCGGCCCTCGGCGGGGACGTGGGTGTCCTTGACGCCGAAGATCATGGCGACCTCGGCGTGGGCGAGGGTCGGGAGGAGGTCGAGGGTGTGGGTGCTGTTCTCCGGGGCCGTGGGGGACGTGTTCTTGGCCGTGTAAGGGCCCAGGGTGCGACTGTGGATGTCGGTCGCGAAGTAGGAGACGCAGGCCGTGATGCGGGGGTCGAGCTTTGGGCGTGTTAGTCATGGGATGAATGAGAACTTTTGAAGGGGATGAAGATGACGTACCGAGGCGCGGACGGCGAGGTGGCCTCCCAAGCACATTCCCGTGCTGCCGATGAGGCCGGTGCAAGTGGGCAGGGCAAGCAGGGCGTCTACCGTGCGGCGGGAGTCTTCATCGTAGGACTCGAGGGTCTACACCACGGGGGGACTCCAGTCAGCTTGTGATGACGAAGGCGGATCTTCCAGATTTCACCTTTTCGACCTTCCAAGCGTTGCCCTTGTCCGTGCCGGGGACGTCGTAGGCCAGGGCCTCGGGGCCGGTGAAGTCGTGGTACGAGGACGGGGCCGCGACGATGTAGCCCTGTCCCGCGATCTGGCGCGCGAAGCGAGCGACGGGCCCGGTCACTACGGATCGATTTAGCGAGTGAACAAAGTCCACCGGGAGGCCCAGAAACGAGAAGAAAGAAGAAGGAAGGTGGAGGGGAGATCTTGGCGGGATCCCGGTGTAGATCGGTAAGGGTTCGGTGAGTGTGGGGTTGGAGATGTGGGTTATGGAGGGGTTGCTGTTTTTTTTGGCTGTGCTGCTGCGGGGAGATCGGAGGAGCTTGGGTGTTTACCCCGCCAAGTGGGATGACGGACTTACCTTGGTAGATCTCGGAGAAGAGGCAGACGCCGGGGAACTTGCTATCATGCTGTCAATTGAGCTGTCATAAGTCGTCGAAGTAGAGGATTCTGGCTTACGCATTGGGATACCCCGGGATTTGGGGGTGGAAGAGGAAGATTCCTGCGAGTTCGTGAGCTGCATATCTTGGGACCGTTGGGGGGTGGTAGGGGGAGCGAACTCATGGAACCATCCTTGCCGTCGGCCTTGGTCGGCACGTCAATGTGAGACTCCTTGATGAGCATTGTGAATAGCTTAGTTCAGAGGATTCCGAAACTCTGTGAGACTGGCCGTTGAGCTCGAGGTGTTTGTAGTTGTAGTTGAGTGGACTGATTCTCATTGGCTGATGTCGCTTCATATCTTCTCTGCGGGGACTTAGTAAGCCCTTTCCTTCTCCCCCTTCCTGCCTACAATGATCAACCTGATGTATGTTGGACCGAGACTGAATTACTCTTCTCATTGTTAGGAATTCGTTTTGGATCAATGAAATAAAAATATACAACAAGAGACTATCTCCATGTGCCACACCCTCCCTATGTGATGCTTGCCCCGAAAACACCCACGCCTAGCCGATGCTTTTCGAATTTCGTAGTGGTAAATGCCTTCAAGAGCTTTCGTGATTCCATACATTAAACCTGGATCTGCGCCAGTTACCGTCAACATACATGCTGGGTGCTGTGTACCCTTTCCACAATGATTGAAATACCGTTCATGACTTTTTGCCATGCTTCTCCTCGACCTGCTTGGCGTCCTTGAAGGTTTGGCCCAACACCGATGATATACCGGATCTCAACGCCTGCAGCTCCTTGTCCCTCTTCTCGGACACTGCCAGTAGATCCCTGTACCTCTGCTCCCACTCCGATTCCGGCTCATTGACTCCTCCAATCGTCGCCTTCACTTCGGGCTTATCCCTCTCTTTCTCCTCAGGCGTCTTCTTCCACCGATTATACATAACCGTCTGCACCATATTGTAGTTGCCACGGATGCTCCCCATTCGGAATTCCCAGGAGCACGAGTACGTAGCTCTGTCGGCGTACTCCGCCTCTCGCTTGACCTTCAACTTGCTCGTTGTCATGAGCGAGCGTCCACCCGCCAGTGCGGCGAGGTTGATGAGGAACGCGTCTTGGTTCGGTGCCGTCTGCCACATTCTCTCCACTGTCGTGTGTACGAGCGCGTTCGCCTCGGCCATGCTACAACCCTCGATAGGATCATTGTCCGCGTTCACCCACTCGCCGTTCGCCGTTTCTTCGGTAAAGTAGCCGAGGACCGCCTCGATGTTTGTGCGGTCCTCCATGTTCTCGAACATACCGATAGGGATATCGTTCGGCTGCGGTGGGGGCTCGTTGCCTTTCACTGCGGGCAGTATGTCAGGAGCAGATTGTTGCGCCTCCAAGTCGACGGGCGGTAACGGCGGTTGAGGGTTGTTGCCAGGCGGGAGCTCCACCGGCGGTGCCGTAGTTGAGAGATCGCCTGCGTCTGGTAAACCACCGTTTACCATTACCACAGGCGGAGGAGGTGTTGCGAGGCGAACCGCACCCCCGAGTCGTTTGGGGACCTGCAAGGAGATGTTGGGTTTCGCTGGCCGAGGCACCTGAGATGGACGCGGGAGGTAGTCTGACGGCACGGCTGGTGGTGTGCTCTGTGTTATCGAGGCTTCGGGCGTAATCGGTGTCTGCACGCCCTTGTTCTCTGGACTTGGCTTCTTGTAAGCCGGCCCTTCCGCAGGGAAGGATACGAATGGCCCTTCAGTGCTCGACTTATTCATAGGCGGTCTGCCGCGGGTCTTTCCAGAAGCTCCTGGTCCACCACTCCGCCATGCAGAAGACACAACTTTGGCACCGTGCCGTCGGTGAGAAGCCTTGGGTTTTGACGGCGTGATAGCTGACCTAGGTTCAGTATCGCCCCAGAACGCATTGCGGTTTGTTGAAGGCGTGATCGCGGACATTGACGCCTGCGGGTAGGCCGAGAGTGGTGTTTGCGCCAAATCAGGAGCTTGGGGCCACCCAGAAGTCGATGCCATGTTTGCACTGAGTTTGAGAGGGTCAGAACAGCCAAATGTGGCCCTGCTGTCGGGATGCGCGGACCATGATCCAGGATTATCGCCGCGAAAGCCATTCCCTATCGGCGGCGAGTCGATTCTCGCCTTCTGCGATGGAGACTTGGCGAGGTCGTCGTCATCTGGACGTTTCCTTCCACGTCGCGGTCTGATTTGCGGTAGTAGGGCTCTGAGAGCCATGTCATCCTCCGCCAACACCCCGTCTCTTCCTGCCTCGCATACAGGAGTCGGGTCAGGAGGAATCTCCGTCCAGTATGGATGCAGATGGTCCATGAGGTACTCGAAGAAGGCATCCACATGCATGGAATGCATCCAGCGCTACAATCGTCAGCATCTCCAACTCCAAGCGGAAGGTCTGTATCACCTTTAGCCGGACAGCATACTGCTGGATCTTCTGCGAACTCTGCCCCTTGTCCTGATCTGGAGGCTCAACGCCCAACTTCAGGGCCAACTCGGCCCATGTCTTAATCTCCTTAGTCTCCAACTGCCTGATTAGCTGGAAGAGGGTAAAAGTGCTGAAGCTCTTCCCGCCGCTCTTGGGCGGCACCCGGAACGCCTCCCGCAGCTGCGCCGTGTCCGTCTCGGCCGGCACGGCGGGATTGCAGTGCAGCACGAACTGTACGTAAGCGTCCTCGATGGTGTCAGCCGTGACGTTCCTGTCAGGAAGAAGCGAGCGGGAAGTAATCGAAGACGAGGAAGACCGCGGAGGAGCGGCTGCCATGTGCTGCTGCTGCTGTTGATGATGCGTCATGTGCGGCGACTGGGATTGTCCATGTAGGCTACTTGGAAGCTGCTGGTGTTGTTGGTGCTGCTGCATCGTCGCTTGCGGGGATATCATCGCGCACGAGTCGGTGTTGGAGGGTCCGTGGTAATGGACATCATCACCGGCGATGCGTGAGCAGGTCGGCGCGCATTGAGAGATTGCGCGACGAAGAGAGCGGGGACCTAACGACGCGACGTGGATCTGGGAAGCATCACCAAACAAGAGCAGGTCTGGTGTTGATGGTGTTGAGATGGACAAAGAATTCAAAGTCGAGGAATAATCCCCGACACGTAAAGCCGACGTCGTTGACAATTCGTCCGTATCTCACCGGATGCTAAGTTCCGTCTCAATGAGGGACTCCCTTCAAGATGAGAAAAGCTTGGTTCAATCTAGACATCAATTCTGCTAGTCACTCAGGCAAAGTCGGGTTTAATTTAGGGCCCTTGCGAGTTATGCTGCGAGAGGAGGTCCCAGCTACTAAAATTAGACTTTTGTCACCACCGCTGAAACGGGGAACTGCCCTGGCACCTCAAGCACTGGACACCAGAGACCTTTCCTTCACCTCAGCGATTGGAGGGGGGTTCGCTGCAAGCAGAGTGCCCAGTGCACAAGTAAACTCCACCTGCCAGAAACCACCCAGACGCTGCTGAAGAACGTTAACAATGTCGATGCTCGGAGGGGGGGGGAAGGGATGTGGGAAAGATGTGGGAAAGCGGCTAGTGACCACCCTTCGACAGTTTGCGGAATCGATAGCACGGAGACGTTTACACGGTGGGAATGTCATCATCGACCAGCTTCCCCAGATCGCCCTCTGATTATGTAAAAGGCATCTCAGCCATCTGCCATGCTCTTATTCCCGGCAGCCCCATTTTCGGGGAATGCTTTGGGTTTGTACCGGCATTCTTCGGCATCGCGATCTGATCTCGCCGTTTGGGATCTCGCACCGGTAGCCGCCAGAGATTGAACCTAATCAAGCACTGACGAACTCAAGCTCGAGCGTGCCCAAGTCTGCTTTTTCTGAAAGATGACGCAAAATGTTGGGCTGAACTGGAAGTTATGTACGCATTCCGGCGGAGTGACGAGGCGAGGGTTTCCTCGGCTCCGATGAATGGGCAGCTGGTACTTGAATACCGCTGGACAGCTCCGTGAGTCTGCGGGGTTGACTACGTAGGATGAAGAAGGAGAGCTGTGTTGCCCAACGTCTTTACTTTTAAACGTGCCTCGGTCTCGATGCATTCTACTAACCTGGATTTGATGTCGTGAAGCGATGTGTTTCGTCATCAATAACTTTTGATATTCGGAGCGAGAAGTGACCAGCGCCTCGAAAGGTAGAGGTAAGGGCACTCAAGACGACGACACAATGTTTCCACTTTCCTCCGATGTCCTTCCCGTCCATGTTTATTGCCGATTCAACAATGCCCTACCGTGCCTACATAGCGTCGTTTCGGCGTTAAACATCGTCCAAGCCCCCAACCTGCAAAGTCGTGTTCTCCGTTTTGTCATCCTGAACCCGAGTCAAGATCTCCAACTACAAGACGTCTCTCCAAAACTTGCAGCTCTTTGCCGTGCGCACTTGACTAATACAGAATCTACCGCGGTGCCACCTCCACTCGGCATTTTCCCCAATGCCCAGGTTGACTAATCCTGTCTCTTCCCGTCCAATCACCAAAATGACGTGATTACCCTCTCACAAGCAAAGGCCGTTACTGTGGTTCGAATGGCTTCATTTCTCGGCTTGCTTTGAAATACACGATCAATACCTGCGAGTATAAAGAAAGAATATGTTTACTTGCTACTGAAAAGTTTGAATGATTCGAATCACACTAAACATCATCAACAGCTCTTCATCGTGAATCACTTACAACCAAATTCCCACCGCAGACCTCGGCATAAGCTCTTAAACTCAATTTCATCACCCATTCCTCGAGGCCACTAAGAATATACGGCCACCCAGTATATTACCCAAAATTCGTCTGACCACAACACAATGGCAATTGACGCCGTCCCCCGCGGCCCAGTCCGGGCAACCCTGAACTTCTACGCCGCGCCCGAAGACGGCTCCGCCCCCTACAACACAATCGTGCCCCAAGGCCTGCCCGGCCGCAACTACTCCGACGACGCCCAGGAGACCCTCATCCACGACGTCCGCGGCCGTGAGTCCGACTACAACCTCGACGCGGACGCATTCCTTGTGATCCGCGACCAGCCGCCCTCCGCCGAGAAGTCCTTCGTCGACGACGACTCCATCAAGGCCAACTACTACCCGGAGCTCGAGCGGCTGATCCTCGAGCACGTCCCCGGCTCCAACCGCGTCCTCTTCTTCGACCACACCATCCGCCGCGCGGACCCGGAGGCCAACAGGAACCCCGTCACCAGGGTCCACATCGACCAGACGCCCGCCTCCGTGATCCAGCGCATCAAGAGGCACCTGCCCGAGGAGGCGGACAAGCTGCTCGCGGGGCGGTATAGGCTCATCAACGTGTGGCGGCCGCTGAACAAGAACCCCGTCGAGTCGTTCCCGCTTGCGTTTGCGTCGTCGTCGACGTTGGATGACGAGGATATCGTTCCCATCGAGCACAGGTATTCTACGGGGTATACCGGCCAGACGGCCGGTATCAAGTTCAGTCCGAAACAGAAGTGGCACTACCTGAGCGGCATGACGGGAGACGAGAGGCTGCTGCTTGAGTGCTTCGACAGTGAGGGTCTTCGTGATGGGACCGGTGTTCAGGGAGGAAGGCTGGCGCATACCGCCTTCGTCGACCCAAGGACAAGACCGGAGGCTGAGGGTCGCGAGAGTATTGAAGTCCGCGCGCTAGTATTCGGGCCTTAGAAAGGGGGAGATTCAGATTGTACAACTAGATCACGACATTTACGAGAATATGTTTAATTAACAACATTAGGGTATTGATGCATGCGAGCTGCCCCAAAATCAGATCGGGGTCTCCATTCGCAGTTGAAAGCCCTTTTGCTACATGCCACCCTCTCGTGCCTGGAGTCGTATGCGTCCATGACGTATAATCCTCAATCATAAGAAATCTTCAAATTCGAAAATGCAGGTTCGCTCTATGCAGCGGAGTCTAGCCGCGGAAAAGGGGACTGTCTCCCCAGAAGTCGTTCAGATGATGGCCTACCCGAAGGAAACAAAAACGTCAAGAGCAAAACCAAACCCATGCCTATTTTCCGAACTCCGTAACACCAAGAAATCATTCACCGATCATGACTGGTTCTTTCGGCCCTTGCCGCGCGAGCTTCCCTGCCGGCTCATGGCCGCACCACCTGCCGCGCTGCTGTTGCGGCTCATCGGGACCGCCGCGACGGCTGCCAAGGATGATGACATGGGTACCTCATCTCTCACGCTGCTCTCGATTGGCTGAAGATCTTCTGTAAGATTTGTTGGGTCCGGTCGAGGACCCGGCTTGAAGCCTGACCACGGCGTCTTGGTATAAGGAGCAATGGAAGCTTCAAGCAGCTTTCTGCTACCGTTGGGGTGGTCAATCGAGTCGCCGGGCTTGTGACTGGCGTCGTACTTTTTGAAAAGGTCCATGATCATGATATCGGAGCTTATCTCGTCTTGCGACAACGACTGCGGTAGGTTGGCGTCGGTGTTTCCTCTCACCGGCTTGAAGTAGTTGGTCATGGACGACGACGGCAGCTTGGCAGGCTCATGCGGATGCATGATTTCGAGGTACTTGGGCAGTTCCAAGCCATTGGCCCCCTCGACCGCGTCAATAAGATTCTGGTTGATACCAGCTCTTGTACTTCTAGTAGCATGAGAGCTTGTACGCTCCATCATCGGCGCCGCTGGCCAAGCCTCGCTGTCCTGATCGCCGTCCTCGCCGTGACCGGAGTCACTGCCAGGAGAGGAACCGCCGTTTGCGTAGGCCTTGTGCCTCAGAATATGCTTGTGTGCGGCAATGGCCGCAGCGTTGTATGCCATGGTCAGCTCTTTCTCGGTGAAGAGCTTGTCGATGCTGTATGCTGGACCGTTCTGCTTGGCGGCGACGCGGAGCTTCTCGTTCTGCCAAAGGGGTGTGGTGCTGTTCGGGTCGAGCGCTCGCCTGGACGGTACAGGGGAGCCGTCGTCTTCGCCGGGGTTGCGCTTCCGCTTCTTGTTGTCCGAATAGCCTGAAAGCTCCTCGGCATCCTTGCGCAATCTTGTCGCTCGCTTTCCATGCGTGCCACCCGGGCTGGCTGGGTTGGTGATGCTGAACTGGTTGGGGTGAAGCAGAAGTGCGGAGGAATCGGAGATCTCCAACGCCTCCTTCTCCTTGTTGAGGCGGTATTTTCTCGAGAGAAGGGTATTGACAAGACGGTCACGAAGTGTAGCGGAAAGGGCGGCGTGCTCGCGCTTAGCGGTTTCGACCTTGTAGAGGCATTCGTTCTTGTATTGGTGGAGGCGGCGTTCGTGCTCGTGCTGTTGTTGCGGATGTCAGTTAGGGCCGGCCCGACAGAGGGAAAATTTAATTAGACTCACCATGTGTTGCAGCAAATGAAAGTCTCGGTACTCTATGAGATCTTCGATGCCCTGAACGAAGTCCTCGAACTTCGGACCGGCCATTTGCAGGAGAGTGCGGTTCGTATCGGCGAGCGACTCTGGTCCCTGGGTCTCGTCATGCTGCTGGCGCAGACCGGCGATAACAGTGAAAACGTCATCCGAGTACGGGTCGATGCGCTGAACCAAGTGAGTGTCGGCCTGGACCTTCTGGAGCTGATCGCGATATCCAAGATCACGATCACGGTGAAACTTCTCCTGAAGATTGTTAATCTTGTCGGCGAGGATCTGGCGCTTGCGGTCGCGCTTCGACTGGGCAGCGGGTGCTGGAGACGCTCGACCGGCTTTTTGCTGGCCGGAGGCGGCTCCCAGGTTGAGTGGAACTGTTTCGTTGGTGGCCATTGCGATGGCGTTGAATATTCCGTGTGTTATTTGCTAGAATTGAGGACCAGGACAAGATCAAGTCGTGGGGGAAGATTGGTGCTTGCGTTCCAAGAGAGGAACCTCGCCAGGTGGTGTGTAAAGCCGGCCGTCGCAAGCCGGAGCTTGAGCGACGAGTGTTGGAATGAGACGGGTGGGTTTAAGATAATGAGAAAGAATAATGTGTGAGAGGCTTGTCTCTCAATCACCCGCTCGGGAAGGGGTTAAGCCATCCAAATGTCCATTCGCAGGCAGGTCTTGACGGTGATTGTGTGGGAGACCGGTTGGGGAGAGAAAGGTGAGGGCACTGCGAAATGGAGGAACGGTCCTGTGCCGGCCTTGTCAGCCTTCCCACTAATTGACTACAAGGGTCCAGTGTTCTGTAAGTGCCTGGGATGCTGAGGGGCTCAGTTTTCTCATTGGTTCAGGTGTCTCCGATGACTTCCGCTGGGACCAGCCAGGCCTGCTGCTCCCGTGGCAGAAGAGATGAAAAAAACGACAGGCACTGTGCCACGCCAATTTTCAGCGCATAATCCCTGCCCGGAAATAGATCGTTGCTCACTTTGCCGACGACAGTGAAGTCACAGACAGCAAATGACAAAACGAAGTCAACATTCACACACCTTTTGGGCTAGAAAACATATAGCTGGTTCGCATGGCAGACTTTGATTGGATTTAACTCTTGCTAGCAGCTCTGAGCGCAATATGGGTTAGTCATGTTTTCTCACACGACATGGTTCTTGGTGTGTCTTGTGACCAAAGTCAACAATCTACAACCCGCTTCTGAGCTTTTGCAGCTGGCTCATCAAGCCATAACCTCCGAGATATGTCTTGGTCTCTGCCGGGTCGGCGTGAACACTGCCCTTTCTCGCCCGCCCCTCGTTGCCGTTCCCTTGAGTCCGACTCGCTTGGTCCACCTCTCTCATCAAGTCCCGGTGTCGGTCCTCAACCATCTTAGCCAAGCTCTCGATAAACTTCGTCCTTCCCTTCTCCTCCGCAGTGCCCTTCCAGACTTGGTTCAAGTTCTTGAGCTCTTCGATGCGCTGCGCTGCCTTTTCGATGCCCTGTACGGGGTCCTCCGACTTCTGAAGCAGCTGCGATATCTCGTCTCGCAACTTCTGGAGCACCTGCTGACCCTTGTCCTCCGTGCTGTGCTGGTCCGACCCCGGCTCAGGCGCCGACACGGAGAGGAAGGAAGAGCTGACGGAGAGCTCGGACGGCGGGAACACAAATTCCATAGCATCGCCAAACGTCTTGATGACCGAATCCAGACGAGACCGGACGACCGTGAGCGTTCGCAGCTGGTCGATATATGGCGGCTTGGTGGTCTTCTCTTCCTCTGCAGCGGACGCCACGGCTTCGGTGCCATCTTTCGCCTCGGTCATGCCGACTGATGCCCTCCTTTCCTCGCCTTCCGGTGCCTTGCTGCCGGTCTCCTTAGCAGCCTCATTGAGTCCTCCAGGCACGAACTTCTTGATGTCATCCTGTAAAGTCTCGTTCATCGTCTCAGCAAGGCTAAGCGTCTCGCCCCGTAGTAGCTCGACTTCATACGCAAGCCGACTGCCGCTCCGTAGGATATCGTCTGTGAGCTGGGTCAGAGTGCCCGATAACCTAGTCGTATGGATGTTGAGCTGGGACAGCAGCGTCTGCGCCTCGGTCGATAAATCGGCCAACGGGACAGCCTGGCCGCCATTTCGCTGGTGACCGCTGGGCTGCAACGGCGGCAACGAAGCGTTGAGGTATGCCGCAGGATCAAATGAAGGGTCTAGAAAGTCTTGCAAGAAGTCGTCTGCTACATGGCTCGATTTCGGCTGGATTATCGACTTCGACTGCTGTCGTGTGTGGCTGGGTATGTTCTTGGTTGAGGCCGCGTTGCTGCTTTGGCGTCGGCGTTGAGCTGACTTCGAGTCCCACGACATTTTGAACGACGATGTTGTTTTACACCGTATGGGGGATGTTTATCGTAGAGCCATGTGAAGACTCAGGTCTACCAGGATATCTCGTCCAGGATTCTTGAAGTTGATTGAGATGAGTCCATGTCGTGAGTTGATGGATGAGAGGCAGGACCACGACGTCGAGGGCACTTGGACACCTGGCCCCACTCACATCCCGCTGTCGCTCTCCCTTAAGCGAATGACAGGGGATTGCCGCTGCGCGGTGGACTTTTCGATGCGCAAAGCTATGGTTGCTTTTCTGACCTCAACTTCGATTGTGAAAAAATGACATGAGATGCAATTTTTGATTCCGATAGAGAGAGACACTCAGTGAGTTCTTCAATTGAAAGATTCTAAGTGCAGACTTTCAGACCATTATTGGGTATCTTTAGGCCATAAGAGCTGCTTTTTATACAAGCATTTAACCATTGTGCCGAACACACTGATCCATACGACAATCAAGCCTGCAGCCATAACGCAACCAAGAATTTGTAAACCGCTGTTTTGAAACACCTTTCCGAGCGCAGTGGTCGCGGTGACGAGCGCGGTGTTTGGAAAAACAAAAGACCACCAGGTCATCTGAAACGGCATCTTGTTTGCTGGCCGCACGTATTTCCACAACGACCCGACAGACACGACGAAGAACCAGACAGATAAGCCCCAAAGCCACAGCCCAACCATGACAGAAACCACCTTGACGATAGGCACAGCAATATCAGTGCCTACAAAGTTCGGAGGCAATATCTTGTCTGCTTGGTTTCCAAGTTGGACTAAGACCGTCAGCTACAACGTGGATAATCGGGGAAGTGGGCGACAAACCTATGCCTCCTACGGTGAAGGCAAACGGACCAATCGATATGAACTAGCATTTAATAAGTCTAATGTCCCACGGTTTGCCATGGCGAAGGGACGCATACCACACCAGGCCGCTGAAAGTCGCGAGGTAACTTCTGCGTCATTAGTCGGTAGATGAAGGCAGCTGAAATCATAAAGGCAATCAAGCAACCGGCGCCTTGGGTAGCCACGGCGCAAAGTGCAATCGCAGTTCTATTGAGAATCACTTGTTGCTGATTCGTTTGAGATGCAGCCATTATGAGGTTCGAGCCAAATGGTGCAGTTAGAAGCAAGGGGTAGGCTGGGAACACCCAAGTCGGTGTCATGGTGTGGATAGGAAAGATTCTTGAGCGCCGTCAGTCAGTTCTTCACATCACACTGATCTAATGACTGGGAGCTTACAAGGTTGACCAGAGAATCAGATAAATCGTCGAGGAGGCTAACACTGACATCGCAATGTAGCCCCAGTATAATATTTGCATGACTCTCAAGAGCCAAGGACCAACATGCGGAACACCGAACTGACATATGTTGATACAAATGATGGCAAATCTACCGATTGTTAGACGTAGTCTTCGTCGACATGGAAAAGACTCACGAAACAACCTTGAAGGATGTATTAGCAGTTGTGCCATATTGGTGGCTTTGTCTACTTACAGACGCCGGAATAAACAACGATTCCGTTTGATCAGTAAAGGAATGGACGAGTGCCCCGGGCCGCATACGGAAACGACATGCTGCTAGGACACAGTTCATGATGAAGAGAAGGATGTTAAGAAGGAAGAAGGCTACGGCTATTCCATTAAGCCACGCAGCGTCGTACGGAACTAGAGAACGTGAGTATGTTATTAAGGTAGACTCGCATCAGAGCCAGGCTTACGAGAATGTATCACGTTTGCCATACCGCCGGTAGCCTATGTCGTTGTGAGTGCCGGACCATAAAAGAGCAGTTCTCATCTCGTACCATCGTCTGCTACCAGTCAGCTTTGGGTGTACATATGCGACGAGTGATGAAGTACCATGGTGAACCACGTCCACGTATGACAGGCAATGCGGTCTCGAATCCCAACACGTCCATTACCAGACCGCTTTTCCATCCGAGCATCCAAATTATCAGGATTACTACCGTTCGAATGAGGCTGGGCCTCCGCCTCAGAAGGACTTGGGTTTGTCTCTGAAGGCAGGACTGGGCCGTAAGACGGACGAGGAACGAATGGCGGACGCCTCGCTGTCGAGTTGACAGCAGGAGCAGAGGCGGACGGACCTTCAACAGGGGTAGCGAAGTAAGAAGGGCGGTTGTATTCATCTGGTGTTTGGTAGCCGCAGTTGGCTACCATTTGGGAACTGGAGGCGGCCATTTTGCAGTTGGTGAATCCCAATCCTCAGGTCCTCGAGCCAACAGTTTTGATACGACATAGAGGGGAAAGAGCAGACTGGGCTCAGCATTGGTGAGAGCGATGTTCATGTAGACGAGGTTGGTGATGAAGACAACGTGGTCGAGGAAGAGTGATCCAAGATCGAAGAGAGGCATAGTCCAAACCGGGCGGGCGTCCAAGACGCAGTTACGCACACAGCGGCTCAAGCCAGGAAAAAAGTGGTGGTTGTGGTGGAGGACGGGGAACGGGGGACGGCGGGAGGGGTGACGATAAGCCCCGGCCGTTTGACGAGAAGGAGGTGTGTGGGTGGATATAGTCAGATGCCGACCCGACTGAAGCGTAGTGCAGGAAATCGAGTGCAGATCCTGGCCTCTTCCTTGTGGGATAGAGTAGCGCTGAGTCGTCCAGTGGCTGCGGCCAAGATAACCTGGTGTTGCTCTGTCTTGTGTCCGTTGCCTAAATATCCGTTCTTTTCGGAAGAAGGCAGATGATTGGTGGCGGTGGTCGCGTGGATGAAGTACGCCGGTTTGGCCCAACTAGCGGTGTTGTTGATGAGATCCAGCTGAGGAAACTTGGACGAAGAGTGGATTGATAGATGGGCAGAAAGCTTTGGTGAGGTCGTCAGCGATTCCTTGGTGAAGTAGAAGTTGGAGAAGATGTCCCACAATGAGTAAGGCAGGCCCTGGCAACGACGTTGAAGTTTGAAGAGGTGCCTGCGTCATTCAGACTCTGGCAGCGTCCAGTCTGTTATGTTCGCCTAGAAAATCGGATGCACCCTGCCGAGGATGACACAGCGCGCAGCGTGTTGGGGTGCTAATCCCCCTGCCGATAAACCTCCGGTCCACTGATCATGTGGATGCGAAGTCTCTCCAAATACACAATCAATTGCTAAAAACATCTCCTCGCCGAAAGTCCGAGAGCACCCTGGAAACGATGCGTTAAGCCAAGAACATCATACAGTCTGCCTTAGCGCAGCCCATGTTGACTGATGTTTAGCAGCAGCAGAATTTCGAGTCCATATTGACTGTTTAGCTGCTGCAAATAACATGCAACAGGCTGAATGTACCGTGTAGAGTGGGGCAACCAGCACTATCCCCGCAAACTGGGAAACACCGACAGGGCTTGATTTGGGGAAGTGCCTTCCCAACTTCATTTCTTTGGAGGCAGGTAACAACCTCCCGGCTCCTGCTTAACGACATCTCAATCTTTTTTTTCAACACAGCAACCTAGATTTTTAGGAACTATATTGGAATAACAAAAAATGAACAAATTTTCAACCAGTTGTCTTACACGTTTGATATCTGGCTCTTGCCTCTCGCTTGTCGTTTGACCATGAGCACATCCGTCGTTCACTTGGAGCAGTTTGGCATACACCAATCTGAGGGATCTCTCAGCGTCACTGTCGCATCCAACTTTTCTTTGCGTTCGCTGTCTAACGAACTGCTAATATCTTCTGCCAGCGATCTTCTTACTGCTAGCCAAAAGGGGGAAATATCAATTTCGAAGTCGCCAACATGCCGGCTCTATGTATCAATCATGGAAGAGGGAGCTCACGACACTGCTACCAACGCAGATCGCGCCGATCAAGTTTTGTGGTCTATCCAAGACTGCCATGTAGGTGAAGAGCTCGTTCTCATTTCCAGACTCGTTCTAACCGTCGTGGTAGATTTGGGAGCAGCTCGGAATCCGCTTAACCCCTGACAACGACTCTTCGACTGAGGGCCAAAACTCATCGTTCAAAATCGAGTACGAGGGCAGCGTGCCGCAACCCATTGAGCCGCCTGGCGCCGTTACTATAACTCTCCAACACATCACCTGCGCCTTCTGGTTCAATCACGGGAGTCAAACCGCCTTGCAGAACGTCGAAGCACGGCCAAGGACTCCTCCATGTATCATATTCCCGCCTACGACACGGCATGAAGGATGTCCTACGGACGAGATGTCTGAAGGCTAGAGGCCTCAGTACAAGCACCGAAACACCTTCGAAACACAAGATTCAGGCATTGGTCTTGATGATTTTGGTGAAGAAGAAACCACAGAATTCATGGACAACAAGCTGCAGCAACACCGGGACATACTTCGAACGGTTGAGGGCCTGACAGAAGCTAGTCTGTATCATTTGGTGTCCGGATCCAAAGGAAAGGCCGGATTCCAAATCACCTCGACCCTGAAGTCGCCATTAGGTCTCCTCATGCCGCAGGTACTGAGTATGAAGTGTCTATCGGTATAGAATTTCGTTTTGAGCGGAGATGAATTATACGGTTGCTAACAGGACACAGGACATCGCTGTTCAATCTCGTCTGCTGCCGCATCTGGCTGATGTTTTTGCGGAGGTCGAGAACATCAACTCTTACCGGTCCAGCAGGAGAAGAAAGCCGCAGGGACCACTTGGTAGTGCAAAAAATTATGGAAGTATTCATCGAAAGCTTTGGGGGTTGATCAACTCGAGAACCAGAGTACCAACTATCCGAAGAAAGAGTCTACCAAAACCCCTGACATCGCGGGCCAACACCGCTATCCACTTTGCCAGCTCGACCCCGGACTTTGATTTCGATAATGGCGAATTCGACGATGGCTTTTATGCCGACGAAGAATTGGATCATATTTTCAGCTTGGTTCCAGAAAGAGACATCTTAGACACACGCGAGGAGTATGCCATGGAATCCTACCCGCAAGACGATGAGCAAGGCGAGATTGGATATCGACAACCATACGACGCTGATCAGATATCCGATGACGATGCTTGGCTGCCAGAAATGGACACGGATTTGTATTCGGAAGATGAATTCTGCGAACGGCCACTGTTGTCACCAACATTTGACCTAGATCATCTGGACGACCACCTGGATCAACACGCTGATGATCAATTCGCCGATGGGCTGTCAGATTATGATACCGATCTTCTCGAACCAGATATGGACGTTTATGCTCATATTGAAATTAGCGAAGAGCATGAACCTCGCGCGGGCATAACAGCACCGTTCTACGATGAGGAGTCCGGGGAGTGGGTGGAATCGGCGCCGTGTGATGGAGGGGTAGATACGGTCATGAACGAGTCGGGGAACGATGTTGCCGAAACTCAGCCCGAAGCGCAAGTTGTCGGTCAAACAAGCCCAATACCACATTTCAACGCATCAACTGAAGAATGGATGAAGTCGGCGCCTTCTGACGATGGGATGAGTTGGACAACCAATGACAACGGTCTAGCTCCATACCAGGGATACGAAACGGTCTCTGAGCAAGAGTACGATTTGTCTTCAGAATCTCCTGGTGCAGTTACGACGGATAACCATCATATGTTTCGCCGCAGTGTTGACCAAGACCAACTCAAGGGCGATATCGATTTCGGCTCAACGCATTCGGAAAATTTGGTGCAACCCAGTGCACATCATGGGGAAATGGATGTCAGCTTGGAAATGACGCAAGCATTGGATGACCGGGACAGCGACGACGAATACTATTTAGAGCTAACGCCAGACCCGTATTCCTGGCATATGGAAACGGCGCCTGACAGTTTCGAAGATGAGTAGAACAAGGCATTGCGGTCTGCAATTTTCAATCGTTGTTGATTGTAGAACCTCATTGGTATACACAGATGAGTCTGGTAGATGAAAAAGAAAATCTATACCAAAAGAGTTATGCCGCAAGAAATCAACGTCAAGTGCAGCCTGTGACACTTGAGCGTCGTGAATTTGTCCTCCACTGAAACCGACCCGGCGTAGCCAGTCCAACTATGGGATCCCCATTTTCATTATTCCACACATCAACCACCATAGTCTCCTCCTCTTTGCATATTCTGCCGCGAAAGTCGATCTCGTCCAAGCCGCGAGGCGCAATCGGTCGTGATATAATCCAAGAAAGTCCAATCCCGAGTGCTTCGATGACGGTGTTGTCGAAATGATCTTGCTACTGAGTCGACCCATAGACCAGCCTATTTCTTTCCGCCCTTGCCGCCCTTCTTGGGCTCCTTCTTCTTCTTTTGTTCGGGCTTCAGCGTAGCGAAGTGGATGTACCATAGCAAGACGATCTGGAGGATAACGGCGACGAGGACGATCAACAGGATCGTGAACAGGATCGGCTGGTCGTTCAGGACCGCGACGGCCTCGGGCGTGGCGCCGATGGAGCGGAACCAGTCGAATTGACCCATCTTTGCGATGTCCGGAGTGTGTTGCGGTGACGTCGCTTGCTTGTGCGGAGTAGGCGGTGCTCGAAGCGTTGAGCGACTCGTTGATACGGCTGATTAACGTCGACGGTTGCGTAGACGAGAGTTTCTGCTTTGGTCAGGCGGGTAGCGTACGATCGGTATGGACTGTGGTGGTTGGGAATTAAAGGTGTGTATCGAGAAAGTCAAAATGAAGGTCTGAGTCTCAAGTGCGCCAGTCACAAGGGAATAAACACCACAGAATGTACGGGTATTGAGAGTGGCGGGATTAGAGAGAGAAGGTTTCGAAGAGCAGGAAAGGAATACGGCACACGATATGCGGCGGAAGGGGGGAAAATAGAGAAGAATGGTTCGCGCGGAGGAACAAGACTGGTGTTGGAAAGATGATCCGCTTCGGGTTCTCGAAACGGGAGACGTCACATTCGCGCACGCTTAAGATACCTGGGAAAATGGCCCTATGGTGGTCACAGTGCCTTCGCAGGCTGGGTAGGCCGCCTAGGATGGGTGAGACTGCGGACGCGACAGCGTTTTGGTGGTGAGAGCCCAGCCCTGCCGTCCAGGGGAGAGAGGGGGGCCCGGGCTCGATGCGCGTTTCAGGCCTGCGGCAGAATGTCGACTGATGTCTGCGCCTGCTGATTGGCTGTGTTGAGACGGCCTGCAGCGGTTAGCCGGCATGTGGAAGGGGTCCATTATGTGCCGGTCGTTTGGCTGCGTTCAAACTTGATGAATATGCCTGAGTGAACATCGGCGACGGGATCAAGTGCTGCGGCTTCCGGTCTGAAGAGGGATGGTCCGATCTGCCGGAGTTGCTCCCGCCAGGAACTGTGATCATCGTCAATTCCAGCATCCGTTGCTTTCGATGGCGGGAATCATATGGCTAGGCGAAGGTGGTTAAGAACCAAAGCACCAGTTTTTTTTTTTGGTAAGGCAACCCCTGGAAATTAGCCAAGCAACGCCGTCAGTGAGCCGTCGGGTCCGAAGAGAGCGAAGCTTCAATGCTTTTGCCAAGGGGTTCTTAGATTCGGTGTGGCGTCAAATTGTCCTCCTCACCGATTTCACCGAGATCATGTGACATTTCCATGGATCAACTCGGCCCCGGTCTTGAACATCGGAGGGCACGGGCCAGACGAAAGAGCTGGGTGGGTCTAATTTCAGCCAATAATGTGGCTCAAATCAACCTCAGGCGATTGCACATTGGCTGGCCGATCCAATTGAGCTTCCAAAAAAATTATCGACCAGCTGGCGCGCGACCCTGAGCTCAGTCAAGGAGCCCTCACGCGACAGAAGCCCCCGCCGCCCACGACAAACTCAAAGACCTTTTGGAGCCGGCTTCGAACTGGCGCAGAGACGTCGCTACCCTCCGCGATCATGCATGCGGTACGACCGGCCCGGAGCGTCCTCGCAAGAGGCGTCTCCGCACCCTCGACGACCGCCGCTACCGCTCCGGCCCTCCCCGTCCGCCTCTTCCACACCTCATCCAGCCGGTCGACACGCAGAAGATCCAGATTCAAGAACATTACCGCAGAGAAGATGGGCTTGACGAACCCGGACGCTGCCCAACGCTATGCCAAGAAACACTTCCCCGACTACACCCCCGAGCAGTTGGCACAATTGAGGAAGAAATACACCCCCGAGCAGATGGAGGCCCTCGAGGCTGCGGAGGACGCCATTGACCCGAAAGATCTGGCTGTACAGGGCCGTTTGCGTGTAGACCCCTACCGACAGAACTACCTCGAGGACTTCGCGACCATCCAGCCCGTAATCGATGCGAAACCGCAGAAGCCCGTTCAGCCGCGGGAGGTGGAGTGGCTCCCACGGAGGGAATGGGTCGACGATTATGTTGAGAAGCTGGCGGACCGGGTCGAGGTGCAGCTCAAGGACTCTATGGGCAAGGCCTACGCCCGCGCCCTGCGCAAACTCAAGACAGACAATCCGGACCAGATCGACTTCACTCATGAGGAGCTGAATGAGCTCGAGAAGAACCCGGAGCTGCGCCGCAAGTTCCTGATTGAAGAGGATACGGACGTGCTGGGCAGCTCGTCGACAAAGCCGGCGTCGGAGCCGGTGAACACCCAGTGGTTCGACGAAATCGACAAGGAGTTCTACAAGGAGCTCGGGCGGGAGTTCAGCACAGACAAGAACCCGGTTGAACCCCCTCGGCTGGACTCGTGGAAGGCGATAGAGGGTCCCGAAGGCGAGACGGCGCTCGCGCCCAAACTCGGCAAGGTCGAGGGCGTCAAGGGCCTGTACACCCTCGAGGACGCTGAGGACGATGACCTGGATCCCACGGGCGAATACGCCAAGATCAAGGCCCTGACTGGCATTTCGATCCGCGACATCCAGACGCTCATCGCCAAACCCATCGTTGCGCGCATGGTCCACAACCAGACCCGTCTGGGCAAGATCCGCAGTGTTTCCATCATCGTCGTTGCCGGTAACGGTGACGGCAGGCTCGGTCTGGGAGAGGCCAAGTCTGTGGATTTCGGCATTGCCAGGACTACGGCTAGAATGTTGGCCATTCGCAACATGAGGCCGATTCGGAGGTACGAGAACCGTACCATCTACGGCGAGATCCAGAAGAAGATTTCGGGCACTGTGGTGAAGCTGCAGTCCCGTCCCCCAGGTATGTCTTTATTGAAACGACTGCAGATGCGGTGCTCACTCTTTGCAAGGCTTCGGACTCCGCGTTTCCCACCGTATATTCGAAATGGCCCGCCTCGCAGGTATCCACGACCTGTCGGCCAAGATCATGCGCTCCAAGAACCCTTACAACACCGTCAAGGTCGTCTACGAGTGCCTCACGAATCAGCCCGACCCGGAGCAGATCGCCATCGGCCGCGGAAAGAAGATGGTCGACGCGAGAAAGGTGTACTACGGCGGCTCTGTATATTAATCCAACTGTATACCATTTGTATACCACTGTACCATGTCAAGCGCACCACTAGAGATCTCCCAATAGTCTGGTTTGTTTTGTGATAAGGATATGAAGAGCTTGGGCATTCCATGTGATCTGCCTGCTCTGAATAGGGGTATCTCCTCTTTTTGGTCGTATGCTTCATAATAGCCCATCGTGTGTGTATTCTACGTTTGCAGGACACATGCCTCATCATGTTATCCGGCGGCTCGTCAAAACCTTCCTCCGCACTTGTTTACTCCTCGTGATCCCCGGGCCGCTCACCCCATTCCATTTCCTGGTTGCCACAATCCATCTCCTGCTGGAGCACTATACTGTAGACGCTAGCCTTGAGGAGGGTGTAGACCAAGCTCGTTTTGCGCTCCAATTCGCGGAGGCCGTCGAGGATCTCGGTGCTCGGTGAACTGCTCAGATCTTCCAATGTCTGCGCGAGCTGTGTCGAACAATCAGTCAGAATGGGCCCTCCTGCAATGCTTCCAGCTGGGCAGGGAGGGGCATGGACAAACCTTCTTCATGTTATCCGCCAACTTCTCGTACTCCTCCAGAACCTCACCCTCGAGGGGCGTGAGCTCCGGCTGCGAGTGCAGCATGGTCGATTCTCGTCCTTGATCCATAATTATGGGGATTTCGTTCTTGCAGACGAAGGGCTCTTGGGTACGGCGCGTCGTGAAGGCGTCGTCGACGAGCAGTGCGATAGATGTTTCGGTGAGTCGCGGTGGGACGCGTTTGGTGGTTGCAACCCCGCGGAAAGACGGGCGTGCAAGAGCTGCACCCCACTTCCAGGTGACCTTCGGTGAACAGCCAATGACAATGTCAACGAGTCAAGCGCCACCATCCCCAGATGCTGTCTTTGGCCTTGCAACATTTGCACCTCCATCTTCTGAGACAGGAAAAAGCGGTAAACAAGCCATCTTCCACGCGCTTCGTGCAAAGAACCCGCGTGGTGCGGCTTGACGTGGCAAGGCGTGTTGATCTTTTTGCATAGCTTCGGGGCTAAGAGCTTCACGAAAAGCCGCGATTGCCCTCATCTTAGGGGAGGGATCTGGCTGCTGCCATGGCTGTCGTCCACACATCACTCAGTGGCGTCGACTAAGTTAAGGGGGAGCTAGTGGGCTCCGGTGAAGCTGGAGGAGGGAGAAAAAGATCAATTCGATATTTCGAGACGGTCTTAGCGTAGGTCACTTGACGGCTCCTTCGACAAGTGTCCCAGCCATGGCGATCTTCTTTAATAACTGCAATTTCTCCCCCGGGTTAAGGCTGACCCAGGGTTTCGGTTTCATGATTTTGAAAGACAAGTAGGTTGGATACGTCGTCGACAAGCCTGCAAAGATGGCCAGTTCCGAGAAATATGATCACGAATCACCGCCGCCGACGGCCAGCGACGTAGTCGAGCACAAGAAGCGCTCCAACACGCCTGCGCTGCTCGTCCGCAGGTCGTCGATGGGAGGCAAGCTGCCCGAGACCGTTTCGTCTGCCTATGTCCTTGATTGGGAAGATGAGACCTGCAGACAACGACTCCTAAGCCGCGCCGAGGACCTTCTGGGAGAAGCTGTTGGGCGGAGGAGGCTCACCGTCATTCAGGGGCTCCCGCTAGACTTGGTTCAGATTCTGAGAGATTCTTTGGGAGTCGACCCGGGGTTTCTCGAAGCGCATGCGGGACGGCGACGACATCGGCCGTTGAAGCAGGACCATGGCGACTGCTTCGTGTCTTTCGAATATCCCGAGCTTGTCAAAGTCGATCGAACCGCCATTGGGCCGGATCTTGGGTATAAGCCATCGGCCAGGCAGTCGGACCTGGTGGATGTGATGGACGAGGCACCGTTCCATTCCATGTCTCGAGATGGACAGGCAGTCATATTCTGCCACGCGTCCTTGTGGATGAGCAGCAAAGCCGATAGTAGGTCTTCCCCGGGTTTCTGTAGTAATGCAAAGCTGACGTCTTTCTAGTTCTTTTTCTGGACCGACCTATTTGGAATGACCCTTCATCACAGCTCAGAAAAGCTCGCCGACCTCTTTCTGTCGCGAGATCATGGCAAACGAAAATCGACGAATCGCAACTCGACGGCACCTCTGTGTGGAATGTGCTGATTGCAGAAGGAGACGAGTTTCCTGGTCTCGAAGACAGCCTTCTTCGAAACTTCCGGCACACGAATGTAGTCAGGCAAGGCCTGCCTGATGTTTTGGCTGATGCGGTTTATGGAAAGTGGCTAGACCTTTTCGAAACACTTCCGCAGTCTTTGGATGACGCCAGTCTGTTCTGGCAAGCAACAGAGTCGTTAGAGCAGAATCTGGACGAGGCTCGCAACCAGGAACGACGTACGACAGCGAGCGATATGCAACACCCTGACTGGCGTCATCTTCTCGACAGGCTACAGCGTCGTGTCACACTATCGCAGATGGCGACGACGGCCCCACAGACCTCGTGGCTGCCTTCAACACGGGGGTTGACGACAGCGCAGCCCCGGACACGAGACGCTGGCTATCTCGGAAATACTAGGCCGCCTGCGGGTGTTGAAGGGCATTCGAAAGATGACAAGGAAGCGAACCAGCGAGCACTCGACCGAGTCACCTATCTGGGAGGCATTTTGCTCCCCTTTACCGTGGTGTCTGCCATACTTTCAATGAATGAACAGTATTCACCCAACGGATCCCGATTCTGGGTTTTCTGGGTAGCCTCAGTAGCAGCCGTCGTTTTCTCGTTGCTCATCATTTACCTTGACCAACTGCGCGGCCTCGAGGTCTACTTTGACGTCACAGCCGCCAGTGCCGTAGAGTCAGCTTTCTCATCCGGCGGCGTCACGGCTCAAGTCTACAGCAGCGGCGGGGTGACCGCTGCCGCTGCGGCATCGATGCCGCAATCGAGATTGCGACGGCCGTCGCGGCTGAACGCGGAGATTTTAGTCGATATGCCACAGCCTGGCGTTGGAGATGTTGAAGTCATGGCCGATTCGGCAGTCAATCCGACAATGCTTGTGCAGGCATGCAGCGACGGAAGGAAACCCAAGGCATGGCAGAGGGGCAGGCTTGGCTGGGGCGGTGCCATAAAGAAGGTCGTGGGATACTATCGGTGGAGGGGCAGGACGCCGATGCAATTGAGTTCGAACGGTTTGGAAAGGTTTCGCATGGAAAACATTTAATAGTAATACCTAGTAAGTTCTCGACAATAGCTTGTTGCTCGTAGCAACATATCGTGGTATGAGGAGATGTTGACGTTTGAAAGGCATTCCCATGACAAGACGTCGGTCCCGTACCTGGTGCATCTCAAATGACATGCCATTCAAGAAAGATCGGCGTGGGGCCGCGGCCGGAGGACCATCTCCGATGTCCCACGGATCCGGGGAAGAAAAGATTAGGTAATAGAAGGCGTTTGGATGGCTTTCCCCAACGTCCCGGTTGTTGGTCCCGTGGATTAATTTACCAGCAGTTTAGCGAACACCTATGCTGCCTCGAAGAGGACATGCGGTTTGCCACAGGCATCCAATCGCCTTCTACGAGCAGGGCTTGGCGGTTGTTGGTACTGCAGTGACCTGGGCTGTTGGAAACGAGGACTCGGAGACCCGTGGACGCACACAGGTAAGGTAGGCAGCAGGCGCTGCAGCCTGGGCGGTACCATGCTGCTGGGACGTGGAACTCGCCCCAGACTGACTGTCTGACCGACCTACCTCCTTACATGGGGGGAAGGAACCCGAACCAACTCACTGTCACCTTGCCTTGCCATACCTCACTTTTCGAATAGGAGGCGCCTTATCTTAGTTACTTCAACTCTTATTACCTTATTTCTCCGAAGAGGCAGAGAGAAACTTTGGACGCTCCGCGGCTGACGTACCCATACCAAAGAGGTGGTCGAAGCAAAGGGAAGGAGCCAATACTTGAGTGCAGCTACCTAAGGTATCTTACCTGCCTTACCACTTACCTACCTTCCTTACCTTTCCAGCCTGGCTTACGGCCCCGCCATTCTTCTTCTCCTACCTTGCGGCACCTTCCTGACCTTACTCTTTTTCCGTTGAGTCAACCTAGACTTCAAAGATCTCACTTTTGGAGATTTTCTGGCGTCTGTCAACTTCTTGCTCCTGGATTTATTGTCTTGTCTTTCAACTTCTGGATGGCACAGGAACCTCGAAATCTATAATATTTTGAGCCGTTCACAGTGAGTATGATTTTTCTCTCTTGCACCCTTCTTCTTTTCTCTTTCTCTTCACCTCCGGATTTCAATATCTGATCACTTATTAAAAGAATATTGCTAAACGCTCTACCAGCCCCCAAAGGCGTGCTCAGCGTCAGCCTCACAGTCACAATGACGCGCCGCAAGTTCAACAGCGACCTTGCAGACGCCTCTCACCAGGCCGCATCGCTCGCCCACATCTCCAACATCACAAAGGGAGATGACGACGGACAGATCGTCTTTGAGATCTCGCATGAGGCTCTGTTGTCGACATCTTTGGTAGTCCGTCTTGTTGCTTTGAGCATCGACGACTACCCAAACTGCTCAGGCTTCTTGGCTTACACCGATGACGATGCTACTCCTCGAGTCATCTCCAGCCTTCTCGATGACCTGCCCGACATTACTCAAACCAAATCGATTCTGGAGACTCTGACTTTGCTGTCGAAAAAGTTCAGCGCCGCTCTTGCTTCCGAGGGAAACAACTCTGACGAGGAAATGACGGACATCGATCAGGTTGACGACCTCGGCGAATCGCAGGACGATGACCAGGACGATTATTATTACGACGACGACATGGACTTTGGTCTGGATGCCGCTCCTGCCACCCTGCAGCAAATTCCCAACGCATCAGGAAAGCCTATCGAAGTCACCGGTCGCTTCATCGACGACCTTCGCCGAGCCAAGGAAGCCGGCTTCAAAATTGCGTTACTGACCGACGCCCACCAGATGGGTTGCGTCTTCGCACTGTCCCTCCCCGTCGCCCATCTCGGCCTTCCTGACGACACCCTCGAGGCTTGGGAGATCGCGCCCTCGGATTACGTCGTTCTGCTTTGCAGGTTTGACTCAAGCTACCCTTCTGTGGAGACGTTCTTGAACCTTGGTCCTGGCCACTCCTCCACGATGCAGTTCATCTTCGGGAAGTGCACCAAGTACAAGCCTACGTTGAGCTCGGCTCTGACTGCTTTTAACCCCAAGTTCAATCGTGTCAACATCGAGATCAACGAATCGACAGAGGACGCCGCCTTCATGCAAATGCCCATTACCAACTCAATCGCCACCTTCATGAACACGGAGCTCGCACTCCTTCTCAAGTACCGCCTGCATTACAATGTGTCATGGGACAAAGCCAAGGAACTGCTGCAGGAGCAGGCCAAAGCCGGTCATCTGCGCATGGATGAGGGCATATTCGCTCACGGCAGCACCGACCCTGCCATCGACGAACTTCAAGTATCTAGCACTGCCCGCCCTCTTCTCAACCAGGACTTCGTGCGCAGCAACCCTAACGTTGCAGGTCCGCTGCCTAAGGAACAGCTCAGCATGCCCTTGATCGCCATGCAATTTGCGCTCCGGTACTTCGTCAAAAGCACGCATTACTGTCTGGTCTGCCACCGCAAGCTGAACACTGACTTCACGGCAATCAAGCCATATGTCTGTTCCGAGCCACTATGTCTGTTCCAGTATATGGCTCTGGGTCTTGGCCCGAGCATTGAACACGACATCATTGCTCGACCCTGCGTTGTCGACCTTCTCGTCAGCTTCTGTGCTGCTGGCCTGCATGCCAATCGGATTCGAGAGTGGCCACAAGGCCTGGCCATCAAAGTGCCACTTTTCACTCTGGATCCAGTTGCTCTCCTCAATACCGAGGTTTACAATCGTCCCAGAAACCAGGCAGCCCAGGCCGCCCAGGCCGCCCAGGCAGCGACACCTCCAACTGAGACAACCATCAATTCCCCTATCTACGTCCGAGCATCGATCTCAAGCGGCAGATTGTTTCTGGACAACACTCAGGAGCAGCAGTTCAAAGTTGGAGATATTGTCGCCATTGTCAAACAGGTCACTGTTCCCCCGAACAACGAGAAACTCGATCTACACCATTGCCGTATCACGAGCATCGAAACCGTTCGCAATTCCAGCGATAACATCAACGGCAGAATCGTGAAGTTTGACTGCATGGTTTCCACTCAGAAAAACCCGATGGTCAGCAATGCGACGCGAGTCTATGGTGCCCCTGAACTCTCTGATCCGAAAGCCGCAGGCGACGTCGGTGCCGCGATTGTGGACGACGAAGGCGAGGCGGAGTTGTACGCCTACGAGCACGACCTCGATGACCTGGCTCCAGTTTATCAAAGGGAGGCTCTCATGACTCTTGTCCAAACGATCCCGCCCATAAGGGTTTTGCGTGAACACCTCCTCGACCGCAAAGGCCTACCTCTGATGAACTGCGACAAGATTACGAAATCCGCTCTTGCGCTTCTGCGTTGGATCGTGGCCTCTAACCGCTCCTTCATTGTTCAGCTTGACAAGAGCGACGACTGTGGTATGAGCGAGGCAGAGGATGTTCCGAGCAAAGAACATGAGAAGATCGAGGGCTTGGGCGACCACTGGATGCAGTTTCGTTTCGCTCAGGGGTCTCCGGAGAAAGAGCACAGCTTCAACCAAGCGCTAGCGCAACAAGCATCGCAGAACTACCCGACAATCTTTGCATGGCATGGCAGCCCGCTCGGAAATTGGCACAGCATCATCAGGTCTGGCCTAGACTTCAAGGACACGCTCCATGGCCGCGCTTACGGACATGGCGTTTACTTCAGTAATCAGTTCGGCATCAGTCAGACCTATGGCGGCTTCGGAAACTCGGGCGGTTCATGGATTGGATCAGAGTTGAAGCTGTCTGCTGCTCTTAGTCTCTGTGAGATTATTAACAGAACGGCCGAGTTCAAATCCTCGGCTCCGTACTACGTGGTTGACAAGGTCGACTGGATTCAATGTCGATATCTCGTTGTCCAGAGGCATTCATCTCCTAAGGCGCCCAGCCCCACCGCTCCTGGTGCCAAACCAAAGACGGCCAAACAATACATCACTCAAGACCCGCGTTACAGAATCAAGGGGGAAAACAACAGCGACGTTGAGGTCCCAACGGCTTCTCTTCCAAACTCGCGCCAGCAAAAGACATCTCCGGGCTCATCATCTGGTAACCCGCTTGTCGTCGAAGACCATGAAGGTCAGGCTGCTGATGAAGAGGCGGACGACTTTGACATTCTCTTGAGCAAGAATGCAGGCAACGGTGACGGCGTGAGCGCCGACGATGATGACAACGACACGGTTATTCTCGACTCTGACCCCGACAAGTTGGGCTTCACACCTGGCACCCTGGACGTGGCTTCACTTCCCCGACTTCCAGCCCCCGTCTGGGCCTCCGACCACGGACGAAAAGTGCTGGGCAAAGAGCTTGCCAAGTTGCAGAAGCTCCAGGCCAAGACGCCTCTTCACGAGCTTGGCTGGTACATGGACTTTGAAAACATCAACAACATGTTCCAATGGACTCTCGAACTCCATAGCTTCGAGCTATCCCTTCCACTCGCGAAAGACATGGAGCGCAACAAGGTCTCCAGCATCGTTCTTGAGGTTCGCTTCGGTCAACAATTTCCGCTCTCCCCGCCTTTCGTTCGCGTCATTCGCCCCAGGTTCTTGCCGTTCTCCCAGAGGGGCGGTGGTCACGTCACGGCTGGCGGCGCTTTGTGCATGGAGCTTCTCACCAACAGCGGTTGGAGCCCTGTCAGTAGCATGGAGAGTGTACTGCTTCAAGTGCGCATGGCGATGTGCAGTCTTGAACCTTACCCTGCGCGTCTGGAAGGCCGATCCGGTGGTGACTATGGAATTGGAGAGGCTATTGACGCGTACAAGCGGGCCGCTCAGGCTCATGGCTGGAAAGTTCCCCCTGATTTGGACATGACGGCCAACGGTCTTTGAATTGGACTGAGGACTTTTGATGTGGGGATTTGGCATTACGATCATTGACCTTGATCTAAACCAGGTTTGGCGTTAAAGGGAGGTAGGGTACGATACATCATGCCATTGAGCAAATGGAGTTAACGGAGGAGGACCGATGGGGTCTACATGTCACTTGCAGCTCAGCATAGAGAAGATACTGCCGCAGTCAAAGCAGTAATACCAATGTTTTCAATGAATCTTCCTACATGTGCCACCGGGTGACTCGGGAGGGGTGATGATGTAACATTCAGCCTCTACTTTGCGATGTGGGCTGCGAACCTGCGGGCGTAGACCAGACGACAGTAACGCTTGGCTGAGATATGCAAAACACAACGGACGTACTTCAGAAAAGGTCGATTGCCAGTGTGAAGTCAGGTCAAGGGGAACAGCTTAATCTTGTAGACAGGCGCGGGCCAGGATACCGGCAATTGAGTTTTCGGCGGGCCAAGTCAGACAGGAGGAGATCGCAATGAAGCAACGCGAGACGAACTGCGAATGCTTCCTCCATTGGACCGCGTCAAAATATGCATACATGACGACTCAGAAACACGCCAAAGCGTTGACGAACCTGACATGACAGGGTCCAGGCCTTCTGTTAAGGGAGCTGGGAACCTTAAGATCTACGGGTCGACTGAAGCAAAGCATGTCAGGTACTTTAGCGTGGAGGAGAAAGATCTGGGGTTGGCGGGGCCCGTCTGAGAGACGGAGGCAAGTCCCCTGTGCTTTCGGCTAGCGGGATCACCAGCAGGATAAGATAAGCTCGCCAAAGGAATCTGCCTTCCCTGGTGACACCCTGTAGGATCCATGTAGAACAACGAAAGTCGACTGCTCCAGAACGCAACTCCCTTGATTTCCTCACTGTGAGGTCGCAGATACCAGGAGCCTCTGCCAATTGTCAACTGAATCTCTGAAACATCCGACGACACAACTCACACTTCCTTAAATCCCCTGATTGGTGCCACCTCGTTCACAGCCCACCGGCAAACGTCGTCCTTGATCGTCTTGGCCCTGTTGCTGTCGCCCGTCTGACAATCTAAACTTAGCAGCATCGCAATCAACGACACCAGCAACGCCCGCCGCTACAAGTGACGCTATTGGCCTGAGGCACGACGTCTTGGCACCACCCGCACCAGGTCCCTCTCACTCAACCCAGGGCCCAGTGTCGTTCTTGCGAAACCCTCTCACGACCATTTTCTAACCACTGGACCCGGGCCGCCATCCAGTCCAAACGCCCCAAATGCATCGCGCAGCTGTGAGGGCCTTACGGACAACATACCGATGTACGGCACGTAGCTTGCTCGCACGCAACAGCCGACGAGGCCTCTTCGAACATCATCCCCCTTCCTCCTCCTACTCGACCCGTCACGGCCAAGGTCTACGATCTTCTCAGACGACAACCACCACGACCCAACAACGATCGCACCCCGAGCATGCTGCCGCTGTCCAGCCGCTAAAGTCCTCCATGTACATCCGCCGATTCTCCGTCGCCCTTGTGTCCACCCTCGTCGGCTACGGCGCCTGGTACTCGTACGACGGCACCGCGTCTCTGGACAAGTCCCAGAGCTTGACGAGGAGCTTCACCACCGGCGCCGCTGGCGGCGGCGATGCTGCTCCGACCCGCGCCGTCCTGGTTGTCGGGGCTGACCAGCTGCACACCGGTACCTTCGTAGGAGAAGGACCGATCTCGAAAGCGACGAGCGACGACGACGGCCGAAAGGTTATCGAGATGTTGACCCCCGAGCAAGCCACGCAGAAGCTGCGTAAGACGGAGCAGTCGTTCCTTGTGAACAGGGGCCAGGGCGTTGTGAGATACGACCTGGTACAGCTCCCCAGCAACGACCCGATCGAGGACGACCATGCCGAGAAGATTGTCGAAGTCCCCAACAAGGCCGCCGGTGCCGTTGGAAACAGCAGCGACTGGATGTTCTGGGGTGTCTTTGACGGTCACGCGTACGTGCCCGAGCTAGAGACGTAACGTGCTTGCAGATGCTAACAAGTGGGCAGCGGCTGGACTACATCGGCGAAGCTGCGTCAGGAATTGATCCTGTCCGTAGCTAAGGAGTTGAACACCACCTACCAAGCCTCCAAGGACCTCTCCCCCGCGGCCGAGGCTATCGACACCGCAATCAAGTCAGGATTCACCCGCCTGGATGATGAGATCGTGAACCAGAGCGTTGAGAGGGTCATCAAGGCCGGCTCCAAGACCATGGCCGCAGAGCTTCTCGCACCCGCCCTCTCTGGCTCCTGCGCTCTTCTCTCCTTCTACGACAGCAGATCGAAGCTTCTTCGTGTAGCCTGTACTGGCGACTCTCGCGCCGTCCTTGGTCGCCGCACCGCCAGCGGCAAGTGGACCGCTACCGCCCTCTCCGTTGACCAAACCGGTGGCAACCCCGACGAGGCGGCCCGCCTACGGAAGCTTCACCCTGGCGAAGACCGTGTCGTGCATAACGGTCGCGTCCTCGGTGGCCTTGAGCCCACCCGTGCCTTCGGTGACGCCAGCTACAAGTGGAGCCGCGAGATCACCAACCGCCTTAGGGAATCCTTCTTCGCCCGCTCCGCCTCCCCCCTCCTCAAGACGCCCCCTTACGTGACAGCCGAGCCCGTCGTCACCACCACTAAGATCGAGCCCGAGAACGGCGACTTCGTTGTTATGGCCACTGACGGTCTGTGGGAGATGCTCACCAACGAGGAGGTTGTCGGCCTCGTCGGCAAGTGGATCGAGACTCAGGCCGCCGGTACCGGGTCCCAGTTTGACTCTACGTGGTCCAAGATCTTTGGTTCCAAGCAATCCGGTCTGCCCGTCGAGCAGGCCAAGGACAAGGGCGTTGACGGCCAGAAGACGCCCATCCGCCTGCAGCAGTGGGGTATCTCTCCCGACGCCCCTGAGCGGTTTGTTGTCAAGGACAAGAACGTGGCCACCCATCTCGTCCGCAACGCCCTGGGTGGAAAGAACGAGGAGCAGGTCTCTGCTCTGCTTACCCTGCCATCCCCCTTTTCTAGACGCTACAGGTGAGTCGGCCCCTTCAGCTCTAGACAGCGTCATCCGCAGAATCGAAAAGGCTAACAAGCAGTGCAGGGACGACCTTACCGTCCAGGTTATTTTCTTCGGCAACGGCGAGAAGACGGGCCAAGTCCACCTGAACGAGGAGGCCACCGCCCCCTCCAAGCAGGAGCCCATAAAGGCGAAGCTCTAGGCAGCGTTCGTGAAGTAGCTCTTCGCAGCTCTCGGGGCTATTCCCTGGGACGTGTTCATTCTGACACTAAAGTGAGAGCCGAAAGTGCGCGCGCGCGAGAGAAAGTACGTGTATGTTTATCGATATTTGGTGTGTTTGTGATTCCACGAAAAAGCGCGGGCGTCCACAGCGACAACAGGAAAAGATGGCCTCGAAAGAACAAGACATCTGTGAGAGAGAAGAAATCCGAGGGGAAAAGAAATCAAAACAAAGACTTTGTTCGGTTTGAGCCAGTGTATTAGCGGAGATAGATTCGAGCTTACCGAAACGGAGCTTGTGCGGTCTGTAGTAATCCGAAGAAAACAAGAACTTCCGCAAATCGTCTCGTGTCGTTCGTTAGTCCTGTCCACACACGCGTCTGGTGTCCTCAGTTCAAGTCCCGTGGCCGAGAGATATCAGCCTGTAAGGATTGATGACGGAACAAATCAGATATTATTCGACCGATCGTCGGACGAGAACTTTACCGTCCACCGGGGCCGTCCAAACGCCGCTGTCGTCCATAGTCATTGCCTCCCACACAGACGAGCCAGCCTTGCGAGGGGCACACACAGACACGGCACAAGCTCGAATCATTTTTCACGTTTCGTTTGATTTGTTAATGATGGCAAAGAGGGTTTACAGCAACAAATTTCGCCTCCCCCATCCCTCTTCCTCGGACCGCAAAATCCCCTCATACACCTCATCCTCTTCACTCGTTTCTTCCTCCCCGCCCCCCGCCCTCTCCTGCCGTGGACACTCTCTTCTCTGTCTGTCTGTCTCTTTGGTTCGAAATGATTCCCAACTCGATAAACGCCAGTGTTTGGTTCGGTTTCCAGTAAAGACGCGCGCGAAGAAAGCAATAATAAAAAAAACCAGAAAGCAAGAGACGACCATAACGAGCAGAGATTAAAAACAAAAAACTCCCGATGATGAAGGCACGGAGACCATATGCTGGGTTTTTGATGTTGTTTTTGTCGTAAGAATCCCAAGGAAGACCGAAGGGTCGTAAAATAATTGCTTCTCCCCCTTTCACAATCCGGAGGCGTTTGGGGGATATCCTCTTCTTTCATACCCTTCGTTCCTCTGTCAAAAAACCATCAGGCGTGTTTCATCCTCTCTCCAATATCGTCGTCGTAAGTGATAGTCCGCGCGGGCCCAAGTAGCCCGACGCCTGCTCTCTCGCGATAGTAGTCAATTCGTCCTCCAATCAGCACCGGCTCACATGGCTCGTGTTGCGGCTTAAACCTGGCTCGGTGAACGTGCGCAAACCAGGGGTCGGTTTGTCGATCACGTAGATCTCAGCTGTTCACCTGTGCTCGTCACCCTCATGGTGGAGAGTGACGCTGTTGAATTCTTCGAAAGGGTCGGCAACTTCACCACCAGGAGTTGCCAGACCGCTGTCCAGGGGCACTCCTTTCACGTTCATCGGCCGCGACCCGCTCAAATCCACGCTCTCGCTTTCCTTGACGTTGCGGAAGTTGACAGTGTCGACACCACGACCCGCGACGGGTACAATTGGCGGCTTCATGTGACGAATCAACGCCCATTGGGTTGTTCTGAAGAACGGATGCGCCTTGATGTCCGAAGCGCCGGCTTTGGCACCTAACCTACGGTTCTCGTCCTTGATGAGTAGTTTGCGAATCAGGGATTTGCAAAGGCTATGGAATTGTTAGCTTCTTTGCCCCGAGCATAGATTTGATGTCCTTACTTGGTCAATTGCGGAGCCCCGGCGTGGTCGGGGAAGGGAATGTCCTCTCTCAGGATATTCGCGAAGGTGGCGTTGCGGTTCTTGCCCTTGAACGGGGTGGTGCCGTAAAGCATCTCGTAAATCAGGATACCAAGCGTCCACCAGTCCACCGCACTAGTGTGGCCGCTACCCTTAATGACCTCCGGGGCGATGTACTCTTCGGTTCCGACAAACGAGTTTGTGCGGAAGTTGGCGATACACGATCGAGTGTCGACGTGCATTGACGTAGTGCTGGCACCATTCTTGCCGACAACCATGGTGGGTTTACCACCGAGGTCGGACTGCTTAGACAGATCAAAGTCCGAAAGCATGATGTGGCCCGACTGGTGGAGCAAAATGTCTGCGATAGTGTCAGCAACCTACTGATTACCAATCGTACCCATGCAGACTTACTCTCCGGCTTCAAATCGCGGTAGATGAAGCCCATCAAGTGCAGATATTCCAAAGCCGCCGTAACCTCGGCGGCGTAGAATCGAGCATCGTCCTCAGGAATGCACTTGCCAGGGCGGGTCTGAAGTGCTCGGAAGAACTCTCCACCACTGCAGTATTCCATGCACAGGTACAAGTAGTCCTCCGATTGGAAGGAGTGGTAAAGCGTTACGATGAACGGGTGGTTACTCGTGGCCAGAATTTCTTGCTCGGCGAGAGCGCGCTTGATCTTGTTTCGCTTGATCATCTCCTTCTTGCTCAGCACTGTAACGAGTCAGCGTCACGTCGGGGACAAGAACGCATTCCGAGGGATGATACCTTTCATCGCGTAGAGCCGGCTGCTCTTCTTCTCGCGGACCAAGTAGACCTTGCCGACATCTCCCTTTCCAATCAACTTGATCTTGTCAAAACTTTGAGGGCCGACCTCAACATCGCGAACCTTGATGGAGTTGGAGCTATACGTCCTCCTGAAGGCGAGGCTATTGCGATTGGGTGGTGGCAGGTTACCAAGAGTATCTGCGTCGGGTATACCCAGGTTTGCGGCAGAGGCGGAGCCGTTGAGGCTGGCGGCGTCGACCATCTCGAGGGTGCCCGAGTCTTTATTTATGACGAGAGGATCCTTCGCGAGCTCTGCGGTGGCCGGCCGTTCGGCACTACCCTTGCCCTTGGAAAAAAGACCCTGGGCGTTGGGAGCACTCGCGACTCTCCTAAGTTTCCGTGCCAATTCTTCCCTCCCGGCACTCGTAGTCTGTTCGGGGCCACCGTCAGGGCCTTGAATCTTGAAGTTGGGGGTATCGGGGGGACTGGGTGGTACAGATTCGTTATTGTGGTGACGGAGGCCCGGCTGGCCCTGGTGTGCGAAGTAGGGATTCGCGTGTGCGGTCGGGCTAAGAGCCTCGTCGAGGGGATTTCCTTCGCTCGCGGTGGTGTTCGTCCTCAATCGACCGACGGTGCCTTTGAAGAAGCTGCTTCCGAACTTGCTCCGTACTTCGGGGCGCGTGGGGGCATCCTGAGAGGAATGGACGTGGGCGGTGGACGACTTCTCCCTGTCCCGATCGGCGCCGCTGTTTAGGTTGATGCGAAAGAGGTTCTTCAGCTTCTGGTTGAACTGGGCGGCGCCGTTCTGATGGGTGCGACTGGCAGGCATATCGGAATCTCGGGGGTGCGCTATCAAGCGACCGATGCCATGGCTGAAGGGGCAGCTACGAGAGAGGGACGCGAGGGACCGATTATGTCGGAGAGGCGGCGGAGGCGGAGAAGAGAGGTGAGGGGAGAGGAGAGACAGCCAGCAGCAGGGTCGGAGATGAGGTGTACGGGTGGGAGGAACGTGGGACTGTCGGCGAGGCGTGAGTAGGAAGAACGGCAGCGTTGGTAATGGCGAAGTACCAAGGCTGGAGGAAATGCAGAGGTAGATAGACGGTATGGACGGGATGGTAAGGTAAGGTGACGGGAGAGTTGGAGCGAGTTAGTAATGTGGGCATAGCGCCTTTCCGGACGGCTTCACACCTTCTCAGTCCTCAGTCCTCTCAGTCCTCAGTCCCCTCAGTCCAGCAGCAGCAGTCTAGTCCCAGTGGCTCTCACCTCACACACGCACCCTCGCTGCTGTGGGTGCCAGGTGGTGGGCGATAGAAGGAGCGAGACCACCACCAGCGGCGCAGGCAGTGGGCAACTGGCAATCACCTCCACTACGAAGTACCTAGGCCTTGCCTGTCCACCTCGCTGGGCTCCTGGGCAGTGCAGCGCAGGGCACAGGGGGCAGCCCAGTGCAAGCGCAGAACGGCCGACCGACGATGGACCGCAGCCAGCAGGAAACACACGCCTGTGCCTGTGCCTGTGGTGAGGTGAGGTGGGCGGCAGGGCGGCAACTTGCAAGGGAGTTTTACTGCGTCGGGTCTGGCACACACGCTGTCCTGCACCCGAATGGGACGGATTATTTCTTGACAGGGGTGTCCGGTGAAGGTGAAGTGGAGGCGGGACCCCGGCTTGAGATTCCATTGCCTGGACCGATTTCTCTTCCCCCTGGTGCTTTCCATCTCGCTCTGGGGCCACGGCTCGCCGCTCATGGGCTGGCTGACGGTGAGGATTGGCTCTGCCTCTTCCATTGGTGGCTCTTTTTGCCGTCTTTTACCCACGAAGCCAACCATAACCAGCAACCAATGCCGCCGCCACCTCCTCCTCCTTCTCCTCGCTCGCACGCGTGCACTGAAGACCGGACCCAAATACCCAGGAATTGTCGATGCTATGTGGCGTGGCCATCAGAATCCCGTCCCATCCATCGACTTTGTGGCTGTAGGTACCCGTCCGGTAGCTCGGTGGTACTATCTCACCAACACCCTCCTTGCAGAATACGCTCGCTCGCTGGTCTGATCCCCTCCTCTTTACTCTCAACTTTATCTCTTGAGATAGTTTCCGTGGTCTCGACCTTTCTTTCGCCCAATCTCTGCCGTTGCATCACAACCCGTCGGCCCTTCTTATGCCTCATCAACTTTTCTTCGCCTTAGTAATGCCCACCGACACATCGTGTCATGAAGAGACAACCACGACTCAGGAAGCGAGAAACCGGGGGCGACGAGAGAAACAACGGCAAAAACGGACACCGGCTCGGGAGGGAGGGCTTTGGTACTGAGCGCCAGCCCATGCTCGTGAAGCCAAGCCGACAATACGCAAGCTCACCAGAGTAACCGAAACCAGAGCAACACCCGAAGAAGAATCCTCTCGCAACCGCCCTGAGACCCCGGGTTCTTGGTGTCGTTACTGCCGATGTTGTTGTTGTTTGGCTCGTGCAAAAACGACCGAGAACAGGAACTGATCGGACGCATTGGCAACTAGAGCACGGATGATGAGCAATCCTCATTGCCTTTGACCCTGCAGGCCATTCCACGCCGCGAGCTCGGGACAAACTTTTCCTATCGACTTTGGATTGAGCTTGTCCATGTGCCTAATAAGACACTCGCGATACCTGCAAGACACCCGTTGGTCTACCTCTCGCCTACCCTGCTCCCGTGCAATCCCGCGCTACGGGTACTTCCTGTCTTGGTAGCGTACCATCAACCAGAGGAACCCGTAGCATCAGCGGCGTCCTCCATTGGTCCCGTTTTCCGGATACCATCCACCATCAACGATGGTAGGGGCGAGTTTCGACTGGCACTGGTGAGCCATCTTGTTGAAGCGGATTCTTCATCAGGAAGCAGAACAGAGGAGATTCGTCGAGCAAGCCTCACGCCGCGAACCCGCCTTAAGCCATCGCCACCTTCCGAACTTGGCGTCGTCTGCTTGCGACTTCGCAGCTCCTTAGTGGTTCCATCCGCCGCTGCCGTGCCGCACCGGGAGCAATTCTAGAACCGGATCTTCACGCCTCAGCTCCTTCCACTGCAGGTGTTGGTTTCTCACGATACGTCCCTCATCGGTTGCCTGAATGACAACTATGCGACGGAAACTTTCGAAACTCCATGTTCATTGATATCCGGTCCTGGACGAAAGAAAGGGCTGGGACTTGTTTCTTCTCCAACAGCGGCCCTCCCTGGATGCTGAGGTGTCACTCCACTCGCCTCCTCATGCAACACCCAGCAAATCCCCCCCACAAAACACCGCACATCCCCGCCGATGATGTAAAGGGTGGAATGCATCCCGAACCCATCAACACGCCCTGAGAGTCCCGGCCGCATCAATCAATCTGAACCGTCAACTTTCTGGCAAGAGCCGCAATGCCAAGTCATCCCTTCGAGGAAATTGAACCATGCTACGAGATTGGTCACGACACTCTCCGGCGCATCCGCATCCCGTCAGCACGCACGATGCCCCCGCGAACCGCCCACTGCTGCGTCTGGGGAAAGTGGAATACTACCACCACCACCGCCAAGCGGCCTCTCCAAGTATCCGAACGGTCCCCGTCTGTATCATTTCTAAGGGGAATATCTACAGCGAACACCCCCGTTTCCATCATCCCCTGGGGAGGCGCAGTCGGCCAATCCTCATCCGAAACGATGCCAGGAAGCTTGGTTTCTCCCAGCATTCTCGATTCGCCTTGCAATTCTCTTGGCTCTACTGTTTCCTGCCTGCTGTCGCCCCTGTTCGTTGCCTTCTGGAACCCGCTGTCGTTCGCGAAGTCTGCAACAGTGTTCAAGCAACAACCAGCATCATTCGCCTTCGACAACTACATCCTCCATTCCGTTGTCCTCCTCCTCACTTGGCAGGTTTTGGTCCCGCAGGAGCAAAAGGTCCTTGAGTCTCCGCCTGTTGTTGCGCCACGAGATGAAGTCCTCCTCCCTTTGGTCCCGGATCGACGGCGTGATCTGGTTGCCCGCCTTGTCAAACAGGTAGGCAGGGAGCTCGGTCCCATCGTCGGGGGCATATCGCTTGAATGACACCTGCGGCCCGTCCCCGACCTGCCAGGCAATGGGAAGCATATGTAGATCTTCGATATGTGATGTGAGGTCCGCCGATGTGGGGAAGTCACCAGGCGGTTGCCGTTCGGCGCACTTTGCCCATCGACACTGGAATGGCGAGTTTCTCGCATGGACAATCATGACGTGTTTTTTCAGTGTGGAAAAGTTGTGAAGCTCAGCCTCGCACCCTTGCCATTCGCAGATGAAGACGTTGAAGTGCGGGTTGAGACCCTCGTAGATGGCTCTCGGCTTGGGCGACTCTGCTCTCGGCGGTCGTCCTCGCCGCTTTTGCTTACCCGCGTACATGCTCCCGGCCTTGGGCCGGTCCGGCCGCAGCTTTCTCGGCCCTTCGGTTGCTGGCCGCGGAGTCTTGTTGGATCCCTTTGGACGACCCCGCCGTTTCGGCTGCGGCTGGGGTGTCGCGCCGGACGAAGTCGCTTCCGCCTCGCCCTCCGCCTCTTCCTCGGGCTCGTCAATGTCGATGTCTGGCAAGACCGGCTTGGCCAGGCTCACGCCCGACGCCGCCTGCGCCGCGAGTCTCCTGAACTGAGGCGAGAGATCGGAGATGACGAGGTCGTCGGCGTCGTCCTCTACGGTCCTCGGCGGCGTTGTTGCATGTTTGCTGGGGCTTAACTTAATGACCACGGCGAACGTAGACCTGGGCGGCGCGGTCTGCTTCGTTGGCGTTTTGTTCGCGGTGGTTGATGAGGATGATGCTGCTGCCGTCGGGAGGTTGCCGCTCGATCGATTGAAGAACTTGTCCAAAGTGCCTTGTCTCGGCAGAGGTATGTGGCTGCGTGAGGGGCCGAACTTCGGCTTCGGCTTTGGCTCCGAAGATAGTGGCGGCGGCATCGCGACAGCCGTGGTTGAGTTAAGGTGGTGAGGTGATGAGCTTATGAGGTAAAGATATTGGCTCAGATGAACTCGTGGGTCGGGTTCATGAAGGAATGAAGAACGGGTGGCGACAGGCGTTGCCGTGACTCGGCGGCGATCACAGACGGGATTGGCGATAGAGCCTGATTTAATTGAAAGGGTCACTGAAAAGCAAGGTGTTGGGCAAAATGTCGATGATACAGTAGAGGTGAAGTCAATGGTTTGATGAAGTGAGAGCGAACGACGCGTTGATGGGGGCTTGAAGCGCGATGCGACGGGCGCTAATCGGGAAACAGCGGGGTTGCCCGATTGGGCCAGCTTGCTTAGGAGCTTCCTGGCGGGACGAGCTGAACCACTTCACAGTCTTCTTGCCATTGTTACTGAGGTGTGGTTTTAAGTCACGATGTAAATGATTCCTAGAATACAACCTTAGTTGATACAGTAGGCCAGCCGAGCTTGAATAACTTTACATCTATGAATTGAAGTTCTAATGTTGCTATTTGGATCCTTGCGAACCATAGATGGCACCGAAAGATCAACCGATTTCAATGGTCATTTTTATCAAGAACATGAATAGCCTCAAATGATGTCAATCTTTGAATGATATGCATGGCAGTGTCTTATAAATCAATAGAGGACACAAGTCAACTGTGATTCAATCGTTTCTTTCACCTTCGGTCGGCCAGGATCGGAGACCGTACCGATGTGACCGGGTTTCAATCGCGAACTTGGCAGCGGGCCACTGTTAGTATCAGCACCAAATTACTGGGATCACCTTAACAAGCTGTGCAGTCGCAACCCCGGAGGAGAAATAATAATTGGAGCAGCCGGAGGGCGGTATTATTAATCGGGTCTGCCGTTCGGCCCTCCGCAAATGCCGTCATGCATCCGAGCGATGGCCTAACCTCTTTGCGGCATCTTACCAATACACCGGCTCATGTAGACATAAAGGCTTCACCCCTCATTCAGCATTTGAAAGAGTATACCAAACAAGTTCATTCATATAATAATTCGTCAAGCCAAACTAGACAGTAGACACTGAAGCAAGTTGATAAAATGGCGTCCAAGTCCTTCTACGCAATCGTCGCCGGAGCCGGTTCCGGAACTGGTGAGTATATGTTGACCCCGCGCTTCTGCTCAGTAACAAAGCTCACACGACACCCCAGGCCGCTCGGCAGCAGTCCGCTTCGCCAAGGTGTATCCCGTCGTGCTCCTGGCCCGCAAGCCAGAGAGCTACAACGACATCGTCGACGAAATCAAGCAGTCCGGCGGCAAGGCCATCGGCATCACCGCCGACGCTACGGACGAAAACGCCATCAACGCCGCCTTCGAGACCATCAAGAAGGAGTTTCCCGGCAGCAAGCTCGCCGCGGCCATCTACAACGTCAACGCCGGCTTCGCCCGCAAGCCGTTCTTGGAGCTCACGAAGAAGGATCTGGACACCAGTCTCGATGCCGCGCCGTGAGTTCCCCCCAGCCTCGCTTACTGTACAGAGCATAAGTAGCTGACTATACTTCAGAAAGGGATTTTTTACTTTCGCGCAGAAGACGCTGCCCCTGCTTCTTGATTCGGTGGCGGACTCGCCTCACCCGCCTTCCTTGATCATTACCGGCGCGACAGCTTCGATCAAGGGTTCTGCTTACTTTGGCACCTTCGCCGCGGGCAAGTTCGCCATGCGTGCTTTGGGCCAGTCCCTGGCTCGCGAGTTTGGCCCAAAGGGCGTGCATGTCTCGCACGCCATTATCGACGGTGGCATCGACACCCCTTGGGGCAAGGAGATTCAGGTGAACAACGGCGTGGAGGATGGCAAGATCTCCCCAGACGCTGTAGGTCTATGTCCGAGTCAAAGCCAGCCAGATTTCACCGCTGACAAGTCTTCCAGATCGCTGAAACTTACTGGTTCCTGCACACGCAACACCGATCCGCGTTTACACAGGAGGTTGACATCAGGCCATTCGTCGAGAAGTTCTGAAAGAGACTATACGGAGGGCAAGAGATCCAAGACTATGATAGCGTATGTCATAATTGAAAAGTAATCAACAAACAGTCTTACGCTGGCGTATCCGAATAGCCAGAAATCCTCAATTTCGCCCATGGATAGTGAAGCCTCACGAGGTTTGGTCCCCAAAACGTGATTTGCACGTCGCGAACGTAGTCATACTTCATTGATCTTAGGCCTGAAAAGTAGACGGTTCTGCCATCTGGCGTTACATCTCCACGGCCACCGGGTGAACCTGGTCTTGCAGGTGCTCGGAATCGGCCTGTTTCGTAGTGATGTTCGCAGCCTCTGGCGTGTACAGAAAGGTTGTCTCGTCGGTAGCAAAATCAAGAGCCGGATGCTTCGGCGGCCGCGACCGCATCCGGAGGCAACGTACCACCGTTGAGCGCCAGTAAGCGTTCTTCCTCCTTCTTGTCCCGTATGGCCTTGGTCTCGGCGCGCAGCTTCTCCAAGTTCCATACGCCGTCGTCCTCGGAGTCGTCCTCGTCGTCGTCGTCCTCCGTTGACCGCCAGTTGCCGCTCTCGAAGAGCGCACGACCGGTTGCTTCCTTGGCCTTCTTGGCCTGTTCCTCGGCTGCCTTCTTGTCCAAACGGTCCTTCTTCCACTTGGCGAACGTCTCGGGAGTAACGGGTGTGAGGGTGCCAGTAAGCTTGTGTCTTTCGGACTCGAGGAAGTCTTCGAGGGTCAGAGTCTTGAGAGGTGACTTGTCCAAGAGTGCCTTCTCGGCGGCACGCTGTTCCTTGGTCTTCAAGACGAATCTGCCAGATGTCAGCTGTGTCCTTGTTACTGTCGTCAAAAGACTTACCCTGGCGGCAAAGCGTGCTTGTATTTGCATTGGTTTCCGCCGTTCGGACAGACCCAGAACCAACCATACTTGCCGTCCTCGATGGCCTCGATGAAGAACTTGCAAACCTTGTCTGTGGTGGTCTGCTGGTTGCCCTTCTTAGAAAGGACGACGGAGCGCAACTTCTCTTCGTCCCAGTCTGCGGAGGTCTCGGCCTTCTTCTTCTCTTCCTCATCCTTACGGGTATCCGTGTACAAGCTCTTCTTCTCCGTCTTTCTCTCGTCTTCTAGGTTGTGTGAAAACTTGCACTTCTTTCCCTTCTCGCAGTCGCCCTTCTTGAAGAAAATGCAAACCACAGTCTTGGGGTCAACGCCAAAAGGAACCTTCTGAATCTGAGCGGGCTTGGCCATAAGAAGGGCAGTCTCCCTCTTGGCGTCTTCCGCGGCCTTCTTTTCTCTCTCCCTTTGCGCCTTCTCGGCCTCCTTGCGCTTCTGGTCGGCGCTGCCTCCGTTCTTCGCCGAAGCGTTCATCTGGGCAATCTGCTTCTGGGCGGCACCACCCTTCTTATTCTTCATGCCGAAAGTCTTGTCCTCGACAGCCTTGGCCGCGGTCGGCTTCTTGCCGCCGCCCTTGTCGGTCTTCTTGGGAGGCATCTTGGCGGGGTAATCGACGAGATCTAAAAATGTGACGTGGGGGAGCCCGAGGGCGTCTGTAAGGACAGTGTTGGGCGAATATTGGAGTGGTCGATGGGTGGTGGTGATCTGGAGATGTTGAGGAGGTCTGGGTCCGCTTCGATCGACGGGACGCAAAAAGTCGACACTCAGAAAAAGCCCAGCTGAGGTGGGATGGATGAAGTCAGAACTTGGAAGTTCGAGTGACAGTGGGCGGGTCACGTGAAGGGCTTGCGTTGGTGGGGGCGGAGCGTTAAGGTACCTCAGACCCGCGGTCCGGGCTGGGGTGCTGCAGTGGAGGACCCAAGTCAGCGTCACTCCGGCGGCAGGCCTTAGCGCGACAAGCTCCTGTGGTCTACCTGTCCGTTCGGCTCAACACCATTGAAGCTCATTTGCGCCGCGCAACCATCTCTCAGTCCGACGTCGAGAAATTCGAACCAATTGGTCTCAGTTGCGACTCCAAAACGGCACGCGTAAGTCAAATGACTCGGATGGTTCAGTTCATACATCTTGAATGTTGAACAAGGCTAAGAATGCTGTAACAGACGCTCTCTCAAGCTACGTTCCCGACATCCACCCCTATCGATACCGCCCGGTCGATCCGTTGCCCACAATGATTTCCGACAACGATCTTTACCGCCTTGCGATCTTCCTTGGCTCTGCCGCCATGGTCCTCATCATCCTCTACCACTTTGTCGAAGTCAACACGAAGGAAAACGAGAAGGTGCAAGAGAAGCCCGCCAAGGCCGTGAAGGGTTCCTCATAAACCCACATGGTTGCATCGGGGGCTGATGCTGTCGGAATGGACGAAAGAAGACGAGTGGTTGTACGATACCTTGGAATGGGACTACGAGCATCATTGTCGTCCAGGAGTGCTTCTCAACAAACCACGACATTCTCGTTGAGGCAGAAGACGGAGACAGTGCTGCGATTGAAGCATGTGATGGGCATCAAGAGAAGTTGAGAAACTACAACCACATGAGGCAGAGGAGACGAACCACTACACATCACTACAGTTCGCACGGCAATGCGATCCATAGACATACCCGCACCGACTGCAGGTGCTGCCGTTGAGAATTGAACACATTCGAGCGCGCCTTGGAATACGTATGTCTTCATGTGAGAGGAAATTTGGTATTGACTACAATGCAGTCGAATTCAGCCTTCTTATTTCAGCTTAACGGTTCACATCATCCAGACCTTCTTATGGCTATTCAAGTTCAAGGTCTTCATATCTAATCACAACAGGCCGTGGCTACTGCTCAGTTTTTGTTCCTCTTTCAGCGTATAAATCTTTTCTGCCCAACAGGTTACCAGTATACACAACTCCACGGTTATTATTCCTAGTTGAATACTCACGCAGTACTAACGGACAATAAGCGCAGTACTAGAGCTAAGAGCAGCAAGGATAGGCATAGAGGTAGCAAGAAGTAGTCGCAAGGGCCAGATAACCGTAGAGGACTGTACGCATGTCTTCGGACCTTGATGTCATCCTATTGTGGGTAGGTATTCCAGACAAACGAAGTATTTGCCTAAGGTTTAGATGCTGGCGTAAGGGCGCAGGCTCCCGAGCTGCCCATCCTATATTATATGTTCGAGGAAATGGTCGTTGTTTTTCGCCTACGGGCATTTGGTCAAACCGCAACAATACAGAGAAGATTAGCATGGCTACCTGCACAAGGATGACACGCAATACCAGAGGAAGCTAATGATTTTTTTGCGTCTTTATCCCATCACATTATGCAAGATATTTTGGTAATTCTTTTGACAATAGTTTCATACTGGTCAAGTATCATACTCTTGGAGCAAAATCCAGCTGAAATTTGGCATGACGATGAATCGAACAGAAACCTTACCAAATCCAGAAAAATGTCGGATTGCTTCACCTCTATTACTCTTTGCGCTGAGGCCAAAATGGTGCCACGATGCCACGGATTTTGCTGCACCTTCACAAGCTACCGAGCCACTAACATCACCAGTAGGCTGGTTGCCTGACAGGTCGCAACCTGGAGAGGACGGGATGCGGCCTCTTAAAGTGAAGCGGACCATTGCTTCCCAGAATGCAACAATCCCATTGGCAGGACTAGGACTGGAGCTGACAGGGTCGTTGTGGCTGGGGCGGGAGGCACCAGCTCAGGCGGACCCGACCCAATATAGATTAGTGTGAACCAATCACGCTCACGCCTGAGGCTCCTCTTGTTTTTGTCAGGCGCGCCGCCGCAGCCTGCTCCTTCCCGCTGGCCTGTCCTGTCCCCTTTCCCTTTTCGCCCCGACCCTGACAGATTCTCCTTCCTCTCGCAACATCTATCTCCTTTCTCAAGGCAAATCTCATAAATTCCCCCAAGAACACCACCACCCGTAACCACTTCGACTTCAGCATAATACTTTTCTTTTCATCGCTGCATTCCCCTTGACCGGCAGCTTCTGTATTCTTCGCAACTTTTCCCTTCGGACCGACCATTTCGCAAGAAAGCTCTAGCGCAGACTTTCGACGCGTCAAACTCAGATTCTCTACTTTCCACAACCACCGACCGCATCGCACCGCGATCGCTACCGCCTGAAGACTTCTCAGGATCAACCCATCTTGCTGCGCATAAACTTCGCAGCCGTTCATTCAACACTCCATCAAGAGCGAGAAACCCCAAACATCACATTCACCATGTCCGGCAAGCTTGACCAGTCTCTCGACGAGATCCTCTCTACCCAGCGCCGCTCTGCCGGCGGTCCCCGTCGCCGCTCCCAGCGACGATCCACAGGTGGTCGCCCTGCGGCGGCTGCCCCAGTCGGCGGTGTTCAGAAGACATCGAAGCCTGCGCGTGCCGCCGCAAACAAGCCCAACGCCGCTAAGCCCGCACAAGGCTCTGGTGACAGCAAGGTCATCGTGAGCAACCTGGTATGTCAACGCGCCGCCCTCCAAGACCCCATCCAACGCTAACTCCCGCGAAGCCCAAGGATGTCTCCGAGCAACAGATCAAGGTATGTTGCCGATAAGGCTATTCAGCCCTCGGACTTTGTTCGACATGTCTTTTCTCGCCCGTCTTCCTTCCCAGCCGACGTCGTAGCGAGATGAAATTCCTCGTGGCCATTGCCACCCACCAGCTGGAACATGCCAAGACGCCGCAAGTCTCCTTCCTTGATACTGCCATCCTGAGATACGGTGCAAATTCTATGGAAGTCGAGCACGTCCTCGTCGCGCAATGACACCGCACTTTAGGTAGCCTGGTCAGCACCTCAAAAAGTCGGTAGCGCAGACTGAAACAATAAGGACGTTGGCTGTCGATGAGGCATGTTCGTTCCAACAGCTCGGCGCGCGATTGCTGCCCATTCAGCATAGCATTACGAGATGAAGCCCTTTCTAGCGAGCACAGCAGTGAGCATCAGCACAGCACAGGCTAGGACGGCTTCGATATCCGGCTTCATTGCTTTCGATATGCCGACCTACGACGCCCTGAATCTTCAGCGAGTCCTGGGGTTTCTTGGAGACAATCAACAAGGCTGAAAGATGCCTTATGGCTATGGTTGTCAACGCCGGCTGCTTCGGGTTTCGCCTGCGACTGCTTCTGTCGGAAACTGGGGTGATACCCATCGACTTGACGACTGAGCACGAGACGACGACGGCCTCTACTGGCCTTTCGTGGGGATGGACGCTGACACGCGTATTAACGCTCACTGCTTTGCTCGCTGCCACCCTTTTCCGTGCTCGGCGATACTTGGATTTTTCGGTTCTTGCACTTGCGAGGCGCGGCTTCGGACGACGATCACAATTGAACTACAGCGCTTGCGAGTAACTAACATCGGACTTCCCATCAGGAATACTTTCTCACTACAGTTGGAGCTATCAAGAGAGTGGACATCTCCTACGGTCCCAACTCCGTCAGTCGCGGTATCGCCAACATCACCTTCCGCGAGCCGGATGGCGCTAGCAAGGCCTTCCAGAAGCTGAACGGTCTCCTTGTCGATAACCGCCCCATCAAGGTATTTATCTTGCGACGCTATCCACTTGGACTGTAGTCAAGTCTAACACGGTGCAGATCGAAATCGTCGTCGGTGCTTCCCAGGCCGCCAACGTCATCCCTCCCTCCAAGACCCTTGCTGAGCGCACTTCGTGAGTCTAACATATACAGCACTTCCTCCGCCAATACTAATATCTCAACAGTCAGCCCAAGGCTCAGCCCAAATCTGCTGCCAACAACAAGCGTAACGCCAACGCTAACGCTAACAAGGGGCCTGCTGCCGGTAACGCCCAGGGCAAGAAGCCCCGCCGCGCCCGCTCTGCTCGCCCTGCCAAGAAGACCCAGGAAGAACTGGACTCCGAGATGGCTGACTACTTTGAATCTGGCAACGCCAACGAGAACGCTCCGGCCCCTGCTCCTGCTGCGACTAACGGTGACGCCGCTATGGAGGAGGACATCATGTAAAGCTTGAGTGCAAACTTGGCCGCGGATACGCCGACGCGTGGGGGCGTTATGATCATTCCCTTTTTGCGCGTGTTGTGAAATTCATAAACAGAATACTGGAATGACAGCGGAAGCGAAGGTCAGGACCAGGACAGAGGACAGCGGAAGCGAAAGTCGGGACAGTGGAAGTGAAGGTCAGGACAGAAAGCAGAAGCGAAGGTCACGGAATTCTGGCTTCATTTTGGCACGCATTGGTTTTCAAGCTCACAGATTGCCTCCCAGCCTTTTGGCTGAACCCACAACTACAAAAGGGTGCACCCGGCTCCGGCCGGATCAGCGCCCGAACCACACATTTGCTTCGTCCGGGATCAAGGACATGTATTATAGCAAACACTCCGAAGTCAGAAGGACTTTAATATACAAAGCGCCGAGCCCCCAACTTTGACTTCCCTCGCAGCAGTGACTCTTGAATCCTCCGCATCTCACACCCCACCGTTGCGTTCGGACTGTCATGACGGATCGTGCGAACCCGTGGGCACGACTCATCACTTGAACACAATTTCACTTAACACACACTGTTGGATCACTTCACGCAGGTGGTGGCAGGCCGGCAATGCGCGGATGGGGACTAACGGGGAGAAATCACGTCAAGACAAAGGTGTACGCACACATAGACGTTGGCCAACAGGATGGGTGGAGAAATGCTGCTGAAATTCTAGAGATCGATCTGCCCATGCGTAGCACCGATCCCCAAGATCCATCCCGAAAACCGAGTGCCGACGACAGAAGATCGCGAAGAGTCTCGCAGCCAAGCAAACTCCTAGGGTAGAGAGTCCAGAGAACCATGATAGCCTTTTGCTGATTGTCCTCTCTCTCGCCAGTGTCCAGCCCCAAAAACCGACGCATCACGGGTCGTCTGTCTTTTTTTCGTCTTGATCAAAGAATACATTCAGGTCATGAATCTAGAGCGTAAATCCTGCGGTCGCGGCAACCGAGCCGAGGACGCCTGCCGGCTTTGGCCCTGTATCCGAGGGAAAGCCGGTCTCGTAAAGTGGTTGACAGCTGTAGAGGTGAAAAGGTGACCAGCTTATTTCTCAGCGGCCTTGCCGGCGGCCGGAGCCGCGGCCTTGTCGTCCTCCTCGCCCTCCAGAGGGGGCATGTCTTCGTCATCCTCCTCCTCGTCTTCCATCTCCTCCATGCCGGGAGCACCGCCTCCGAGCTTGGAGAAGTCGATGCCGCCGAAGTCGCCGCCTATCGTCCTTTGTTAGCTTGCCGTCCTGAGAAATCCAGGTGCGAACCACGCCTTGGGCTCGCAGAGTTGTCACGTACCTGCACCACCCATACCGGGCATGCCGCCTGCAGAAAACCCCGTGTTAGCAGCAATTTATAGACCGAAAATGGAAGGCGACGACGGAGCCCCGCTGGCGCGGGGTAGAGGGGCTCGCCGGGGGGTTCGAGCTTTCTACGTACCCATGCCACCGAACTGAGAGAAGTCCTCCTCGCCGGCCTCCTCCTGCTCATCCTCGTCGACCCACTTGTCAAAGTCGGTCTTGAGGAAGTGGACCTTCTTGGCCTCCTTCAGCAGGCGAGGCCAGTACTCCTCCTTGAGCTCCTTCTTTTGGAGCTTGAACTCGATGTTCTTGGCGGTGTGGTTGATCTTGCTCTCGGCGGGGTCGATCTCGGCGAAGAACTCGAGGTCAAGGGCGTACGTCCGCTTGAGGGTCTCGGAGTGGCCCTTGAAGGAGAGGCCGGTGGGCTTGAGGTCGAGCTTAAGGTTGGAGGCGAGGACGTCGGGGACGGAGATGGTCAGGTAGACAAAGTTCTTGGAGGCGTCCGAGGAGCTGGAGCGCTGGGCCCAGAGAACTGTTCAGAGGTTAGTTTCGGCGCACACAAGGCATGGCTGGAAGAATGGGGTATGGAGAGGTAGTCGGAGTTAAAGAGACGCGGCGATTGGCATATCGAACGCGACGGTGAAGTTGCACGTACCCTCAGGAGTTGCCGTGGTGTCAGACATTTTGGTGGTGGTTGATGTGATTCGTGTAAGGAGCTATGACGGGGGAATGAGGGGTAGTTCCTTTTTTACGCGGGATAGCGCAAATAGGTCGCAGTTAGACAGATCGCGAAAAGCGTAGTTGCAGTAGAGCTTGGGAGGAAAAGATTAAGAGAGGGGTTGTTGTGACAAGCAACGAAAAGACTTGTTGTTGGTGCGTGTGAAGGTTGAGAGTGTGGGAAGGGGGAAAGCTAAGGTAGAAGGGGTTTCTGAGGCTGCGCAGTTGAAAAGGCTGGGGGTAGTGAGGTCGAGGTCGGGGTGGGTTCCAATCGCAGTTACCGCCTGGGAGATCACGGGCAATTGTAGAAGGCGCTCGAATCCAAAAGATTTGGTAGGTAACCCACCACACACCACGCACCACACACTTACCTGCACCACCGCAGAAGCGCTGGGCCGCTGCGGACCGGACCCTGGCAGGGCTGAACGCACTGTACATAGTACGCGAAGGAATCCCGTCCCTTTTTCCCCTCTTCTGGACTCCCCTCTGATGTCCCCCTCCAGTCCACAGTTCCTGTGAGCTTGCATGCTAGCAGCTGAGCCTCTTGCCTGCTTTCCAGTGGCTGCCAGGTACTTCTCTCAACGGAGCAAGTCCCACTCAGCTGAATGTATCTTCTTCCCTGCTCTTCCCCTCCACGCTGACGTTTGCCTTTCCAACTGAGTTGACCATTGGCGAAACTGAAGTTGCCAGGCAGGCTTCCAGCGCCCCTGCGACCCCACGAAATAGGCATGGCATGGGCTTCTCAACCGCGTTTGTCTTTGCCTGCGGTAAGGCGCGACATAGAATCACAGCTTTGTTTCCTGCGAAGCTTTTGTCAGGAAGCCCTCACCAAACATGTGTCCGTTCTCTTTCGTTTACAACCATTAGTCTCATGCTGTCGGACTCCGTCATCCGTCCGAGACGCGTTGTGCTTGTCATCGTATTCCATCTCATCTTCACGATCAGATTAATGAGGCAGTGAGATCACCGTGGGTCTCCCTACCTAGGGTGCCTCATTTGCTGTTATACGGCCTGGCCGGGCGAGGCGGCTTTCCGCGGAATCTTTCATTTGTCGTTTGTCCGCAGGCTACCATCTGATGGTTGTGTTCCATTCTACGTCAAATAACGCCAACTCTTTTCTGGACACCCTTCGCCGATGATGCGACTAGGCGACAGGACGAACCAGCCTTCTGTAAACTCAGACTCAATCTTGTCTCTCAATCTCTGTCTGCCAAGCCGCCAGTTCAGAGCGGTCGAAAGGTTGACGAACCTCGATTGGTGATATGTATGCGTTACTCTACGACGCACGGATAACATAATAATCCGCATACGTGCACGACGGATAGCAAGGTCTCCACGTGACGACAATCCCCCACTACGGCCCGTATCAGTCGAGGCAGCGAATCCAGGAATGACGACACATCGCACCCTGATTCAAGGCAGCGCTTATTGAATCTGCCAACAAACGAGGCTGGCGGCAGCCCATCACGCATCCATCAGCTCCGCGCTCGCACATACACCTCGACACTGAATCCCCCACAGATCGACGCCTTCCACCCGGCCATTGTCCGCCGCCTAGCCCACCATGGAGACGCTCAAGTCGCTGTTCGTCAAGCCCGATCCGCAGCAACAGGTACGGCCGACCGCCCTTCCCCGACACCGAGACCGATTCTTCGGGTACTGACTAGAAATTTTTCTCGCCACGACAGCTGCGAAAATGTAACGCCCTCATCCGCTCCAACATTCGCAAACTCGACCGCGACATCAACCAAGTCAGACAAGTCGAAGCCAAGACCAAGAACCTAATCCTCCAAGCCGATAAACGAGCGCAACGAGACCCCACCAGGGCGAGGCAGGCGCAGAAGGAGGCACGCGACTTCGCGCGCGAGCTCATCCGCGCCCGGAAAACGAGCTCGCGGCTCATCACCTCCAAGGCACAGCTTAACAGCGTGCAGATGCAGGTCAACGAGGCCTTCGCCGTTCGCAAGATCGAGGGCAGCATCCGCGCGAGCGTCGGCGTCATGAAGGACGTCAACCGTCTGATCCGCCTTCCCGAGCTGGCCGGCACGATGCAGGAGCTGAGCGTGGAGCTGATGAAGGCCGGCATCATCGAGGAGATGGTCGGTGAGAGCTTGCCCGATGACATGGACGCCCTGGAGGACGAGGAGGCCGAGGGCGAGGTTGACAAGGTGCTTGGCGAGATCCTCAAGGACCGCATGTCCAAGGAGAAGCTGCCGGCGGCGCCCGTCACGCAGGAACCCAAGCCGGTCGAGGCCGAGGAGGAAGAGGAGGACGCCGAGGCTATGATGGACCAGATGCGCAACAGGCTCGAGGCGCTGAGGAGCTAGAGGGGATGTGCTATCATTTCACACTGTTTTGCATCTCGATACAGACGGCGTATGCGGCGTTTCGGTTGCGGGAGAGGCTTCCAAATGGGGTATTTTGACGCAGCGTCGCGCAGGCGCTTGGCATCGAGGAGCTTGGCCCGGCTGTATCACGGCGTCAACTGCAGCTTATACTATTGTTGTTCGCACATATCATCTACATGTTTCGTCCGGCGTTTGGAGTAGACATGATCCAGACATATACAATTCATGAAGTCCCCACGAGGCCATCCAGGTTGTCATGGCCGTGAGGGTGTATTCCTCCACATGCATCGATGCACTGTCTTTGTAGTAGTCCCTCTACTGGTTCGTGATTCGTTATTGACCTTTTGGGAGGATTGACACTATTCGGGGTAGACATTTCTTACGACAACCACGCTCTTAGATATGTGGTTGTTTTCACACTTCCAGGTTGTCCGGTAAAGGTCTTTATACGCGCTTCAAAAACATGCCACGGCTGTAAGTTCCATTCATCACTTTCCTGTCGGTTTTGTACCAAGCTGCAGTAGAGATGAAAACTGACCCAGGATGTAAGGTATATTACGCATCATCAAATGGATGATGCTGCCACTAAACCTAAGCATGGGACCTCAGCTGGCAATCGATCTCTGCCTGATATCTAACTAAATGATATGTGATAGTCATTGAATTCCAAGTAACGGACACTAAATGCTGAGTCTCAAGTCTACGGACACTTTGCTTGCTGCAGTTAGTTTTGGAAGGTATATAACCATCCCCATCTGCAACTTTAACGTACCTATTCGCCATTAACTCGGTACAGCCAATGCACCCTGGGAATCAGGTGCTTGTCCGAACGACTCCGTGAGACCCTTCATGGCTTGACTATGCCGTATAAGCCGAGGAAGCCGTCAATGACGAGTCTATCGACGCGGGCAAGCGAGACATCACACTTGATCTCGATGACAGTGCGCAACTCATCAAATGATCTCTCTAACGATCTGCCATTTTCATAAGAGATTGATGATGTAGCACATAAGAGGTTGAAGCCAATAGGGAGAAAGGGCATAAAGGGCGCTTCAGTCGTTCTGGGCGGCTTACAGAGTGTATCTAATGGGTAGGTTCATCAGTAATAGAGAACATTCAGGATAAATCAAAGAAGGTTAGCATAAGCTCAGCGAGAACTCTGAGTGTCTTGAACACCTCCAGACGAAGCAGTTACTTTGATCATTCAAGTTGGTTGAATCCATTCGCATTCGGTAACCCTGGCATTTGGTAGCTTCAGCACATGATACTATAGGTAGTGATAGTAAGCATCCTATGAGTACGCAAGCTACACTGAAGTAGAAAAGTCTCATCTGATTCTACGGGCGTCATTACATGGCTTTAGTATACATCTTGTTCCCAGGTTGAGGGGTCAAAGAACTATGGCTGCAACAAGGTTAGGGATGATTAAATACCGACTTCGCATCAAGCAGGGAGAAACTTTAGTTGATATAAATATCCTCTATTACGTATGATCTCAGTGACCACAAAACAAACCCCCCCGCCCAAAGACGGCCAATACTCTAAACTAGCCGTAAGGCTTGTCAATGATAGACAAGAAGATAGAAGAGCACACCCCCCCCCCCCCGATTTACAGCATATTACCGGAGGAATGCTACCAGTTGTTTCGTTTTTACGGGGATCATACCATCCTCCCGATTTTCACCTTCACCAGGCACGTTAGAGAGACCGTCTTCAGCGGAGGGGAAGAGTCTTCTGCGCGTCGCTGACGGTACCGTTCTCGACGGCAGCGCGGTGTCCGCGGGCGATGTAGCCGTAGGCCGGGTAGTACTGATCCAGCCAGGAGAAGAGCTCGTTGGCGCCGGGGACGTTGCGCCAGTCGCGCATGAGGTCGAGGGAGATGGAGAAGAGGGAGACGACCTGGACGCCGGCGGCGGCCATGCGGTCGTTGGAGATGTCGCGGATGAGCTCGGTGGTGGTGCCGGAGGCCTCGACGTTGGCCCAGACGGAGTAGCCCTCGGCGCGGAGGGAGAGGGCGAGGAAGGTGGTGCAGACGTCGGTGGTGATGCCGGCGAGGATGATCTGGGACTTGTTGGCGGCGCGGACGGCGTCGCGGAAGTCGGCGTTGTCCCAGGCGTCGACCTCGCCGTTGCGCTTGATCAGGGGCGCCGTGGGGTGCATGTCGAGGATCTCTTGGGGCAGGGGGCCGTTGGGACCTGTGTGGAGGGTTTTGTTAGTGACTTGGCGCTGAAGAGGGTTGCTGGGAAGGGTGTGGCATACCGGTCTCGGCGGAGGTGGTCAGGACGACGGGGAGGTCGAAGATGTTAGCCAAGGAGGAGTGGGCAAGCATGGCGTTGCGGTAGAGGGTCGGGTCGAAGTCGCGGGCTAGGTTGAAGAGGCCCTCTTGCATGTCGACGACGAGGAGCATTGAGTCGTTCTTGTTGAGTCTCTCCCAGGGGACGGCTATTTCGATGTTAGCGGGCTTATCTGAACGTGAGGGGATCGAGTTTCAACACCAAGGATACTTACCGTCACCAACAACGGTGGAAATGAGGGCCGAAGCCGCGAGAGTCATGGAGAACTTCATCTTGATGGAGATTTGAGGTTGGTCTTAGAGTGTGCTCTTTGAGTCTGTTGTTTGAATGGAAGACTTGAGCTCGAATTGTCTGCTGGATGAGGATGGAGAGGCAGATATGAGTTGAAGTTGAGCGACTACCTTTCTTATATACAGAGGGTTGACGATACACAACAGCGAAGAGTTCTCATCTCGGAGTCTACTCCGCAATGTCGACATCGTGATCAAGTGCTCTCCTACGACTGGTCCTTTCTCCATGAGCACCTCTTCGCCATGCTGTTTGTCGTTCTCGGTACCACTCCATTACACCGGACAGCAACTCCAAGTCATCGTGAAAGAACCCCATTTCAGCCTCAAAGTCTGAAAATTTCCCGATTCGGCAATATGTTGAAGTGTGCTCTCCAAGGATGTGGTAAACATTGGCTGCACGTTAGTCAGCTCCCCATGTCTCGTTCCTTGGCAGCAGTTCGAGCCTCATCGGCACTTCGGAGAACCGTCATTGGACCGTAAATCCTTTACCGAGAGGCCCGGAGTGGTTGTTGGGCAGTGGAACTCCGCCGGTGCGACCCACGATGCAGATGAGATGCGGAGAAGAGCCAACTGACGATGCCAGAGCTCCGTCAGTATCGCATCCACGATGTCATAAGCTGGGCGTAAGCAGCAGTGTGTTTGCAGGGCATGCTCTCTCGAAGCCCAGATGGGGCCCTTCGAGCCGATACGTGGGCTTGACTAAGCCTGGCGCAGAACCATGTCATTGATTTGTTCCATGCTGTGAGAAATGCATATTGGATCGGTCAACATAGGTATCCATTTGATACCAGGAGAGATGGCGCAACGAGAGACCTGGTAGGAATGGGGTGATGGGGTTGATTGGTGTTGGCTTAGCTAAGGACCATGCCGGCATTTGATAAGAAAGTGGCTCTGCTTGGTGAGATGCGTCCCGCTCCGTGGTGGGGCTCGCCGGTCCTCGCCGATGCCGCAATCACGTATGCTGTTGTGGAGAGCTTATGCCTGGTTTGTTAAGCTGGTAGGATGCTTGTGTCAGCAACCATGCAATACACTACTTGAGTGTGTCTGTCCCACTGCCCCGACTTTGAATCTCCAACAGTTCTCATCGTTTACTTACTGCCCATTCTACTTGCGAGTGCTGTGGCAGAAAGACCAAAGAGCTTGTGTTTTCGCATCTTTCCCCCCGAAACAAAAGCTCGAGGTCTGTATCCCCTCGGATGCCTGTGTAAGATGCATTTCTAGCCATCCCGTGTGAGCCTACGTTGGAGGTCCCCTCGAAGTTGGGACCCGGAGCAAATAGTCGCCCACAAGGACGCTGAGCTTCCCAACTACCGTCCCACCTTACAGGCTCGAAAAGGCCTGCCAGCAGATCTACGCCTCGATAATATGTGCCCTTGGCACCTAGAACGTGCTGGTTACGATAACCTGCCATGATCATGACAAGGTTGATGTAGAATCTGAGAACAGACGTGATAGCACAAACCTTGACATTTTCACGGCCTCGTATGAAGCTTGTACTTTACTCTCTCCTAATGGTACTTGCATCATAATCCCGTTCGGAAGTCTTTCTAGGAGTTGATATAGGAGTTTGCTGGATTTGGACTTGTTAATTAACTCTAACCGTTGATTTGTTAAATTGTACATAGACAGCTTATGGATGTTCGAAGTGTCCCATGACTCGTCCGTAGACTCGAAATTTCGAGAAACGAAGGCAACGACGGATCACACAGTTTACATTCCTACATCACTTAACTGATTGCAGCAAGTCTCATGAGAAAAGCAGGTCGGCCCGTTCGGACGTCAAGTATTCACGCCGAACTCCGGAGACGCGGCCATTAAGTCCCCGCAGTCCGTCCTCGCATTCCTAAAAGGGTAAGTCAAGGGTCCCCCGCCCCGGACAACCGGCGTCCGCCAAGTGGGTCCTCCCGAGCACACCACCACGGACCGTCGACGGTGCCCAGCGGAGCCGAGGCACGTCCTCGTCCGGCCGAGGTTTGATCAAGTCCCCCGCCGCCCACCACCACCCCGGTGCAGATCGGCGCGCCGCGGAAGCACCTCTGACAGCCTCGGGAACGCTGAGAATAGAAATCATGAAGGTATGCCCAGGGGGTTCGTCGGGGAGATGTTCCCGTATGCGGGGACGAGAAGCAAAAAAAGCAACCAACGACGGACGACGCTCCCGCGGGCCCCCGCTCCCCGTCCCCGTCCGTTTACGCACGAACAGATGCTCTATGCGGAACCAGGGACGGGACTGGACTCGCAGGCAGCCATGCAATCGATCGATCGTGCCTCCCCGTAACTTCACCCCTCGCGATCGCAGTCACAGGTGCCATCACAGCAAAGGCTCGGACGAAAGAGGGGGGTTCGTACAAACAGAGTTGGAGTGTTTGCGGGCCTACCACCAACACGTTACATA